CGTTTCAAATGAAGGCTACGTAATTAAACATGATTACACGTAGTTACTTCAACAAATTATTTATTAAACTTTCTTATGTAGCCGATCAATACACCCTTTAATTAGACAGAACATCAGATACTTCTTTGAATAAAGACTTTAGCCTTGTTTTTACTTTCTCGATCTAATTCTCTGCCTTCTGTCAACTTTTGAGTAATTTCTGTAAACAGTGAGTAGTACTTTACGCTTTTTGCGATTTCTAAAAAAAAAACGCATATAAAGTACTAATACTCCGCAGTATAATACGCACATTGTTTGCTGTTCACTTTGTGCGCAATTCTTTTTCTACGAGATTCTATTTTAAAAAGTTTAATTTAAGTAATTAAAGATGGATTAAAAATCATGTCTACATCCCGAGTTATCCCCGGTAGTGTTATACAAGTATATTCGAGAAAGTTTAAGGGAGATCACTCCCGGTTTATTTTAGTGGGTTTTTTTCCCGTAATAAGATGATTAACGGGCTCAAGCTATTCTTAAATCTTGGCCTACACTAGAAAGATCTCAACGGGTGGTATTGGTGAGTATTTCTCTTTAGGGAGGTAGACCATCTGATTGAGTTCGGATTCACTGCTCACCACTTTAGGGTTGGTTGCTCTTCCGCTAGACCACACTGCGTGGTTTTATCATCTTAGTGGGGGGGGGGGGGGGGGGGGTTCTAATGTTATTTAGCACTGTATTTTCAGTACAGTATTTGCGGCACAGTATTTTCGGCACAGTATTTTCAGCAGAACTGAGAGGGAGAATTGTTCCTGGTGGCACAATTTGATAGCGGGGTCGGTATAACTCATAGTCGCAGTGGCGGAACTAGAAAAAAAGGGCCACCCCGCAAAAACATTTTTTGGGCCCCCCCCCCCCCATATATATATATATATATATATATATATATATATATATATATATATATATATATATATATATATATATATATATATATATATATATATATATATATATATATATATATATATATATATATATATATATATATATATATATATATATATATATATATATATATATATATATATATAAACACAAAATACGAACATACAGTAATCATTGCTGCCCTGTTCGGGTTTTTAAAAATGTTTTTTTTAATTAGTACAAATTACAACATAATTCATGTGTGTAAGTGATTGGTGTTTTTTTTTGGGGGAAAATCAGTTAAATTTTATTTCTGCTATAGGCCTCTTAACATATAGTCGGTGAAAAGAATATAAATCATGAAAGCTTTGTATAAGTAATGGTGTCTCGTGTTATGTTTATTTTAACGTTTTTTTAATTTATTTTATTAATTTTAAATACATTTCCTTTTTGTACAATGTCACTTTTTAGTAAGTATTTTTATTAAAAAATCACAATTAAGAGAAGTAATTGCTTTTTAATTTGTTTAGTACAATCTATTAAAAGGAGCTTATGAGCATCCCTATTTGACTATTTATAAAAGGAAATAAGTCATGGTAGTGGTTTGAGCGTATGCTTATCTTTGATAAGTTTGATTGTAGGAGAAAGAGGACTCGGCTTTCACAGTGGTTTAAAAAAAGGGAAAAAGAATATAAAAGTGCGTGGGGTGGTGTCTATAGAATAAAGATAACCGGACCGCAGTTACGGCATTCTTTTTACAAAACAACCATCAAGTCGAAAATGCAAAGAAAATTAATTTTTTTAACAATTTTTTTTATTATGGTCGGCTGTGGGCCCCTAAATGGCGTGGGCCCCCCCGCATTGCGGGGTCTGGCGGCACTGTAGTTCCGCCCCTGCATAGTCGCTAAACCCACAAGTCTCGAGTTCGAACCCACAGGCAGATGAGGCTCGTTAGCTGGGGACAGCCACTCTTCTAGGAGAGACAACTCCAAAATCAAACAACTGCTGCCTTGTAGTTTGTTCTTGGATGGACAAAGGCTATGTAAGCAAATCCAAAAAGAAAAGCAGGCTGAAATTGGAGTCAGCTACCTATATGGTGCATAACAAGTTGACACGTAATACTTAACAGTGTTCGAGGGAATCCTTTCCAACGGTAAAAAATTAAGAAGGAAAAGCAAGAAGAAAGAAGATAGCGCGACATCAAAACGATTAATAGAAAATTTTGTCGAGAAAATAACGAAAAAAAATAACTGATTAAAGTTAAATATGCTGTTGAGATAAAAATTAATCATTTAATTTTATCAAATTGATCAAATGAAAGATGAATAAACAAAATCATATGAACAAAAGGTGAAAAAAAATACAATTTTAAAAAGTAACCACACACCAAGAGAAATCTAGTTAAAGTAAGATGGATCTGGGGTAAATTTTTTCTGGGTTTTCTCCCTTTATGTCGTCAGAAAGTAACTCGATATTTTAGAATCTTAGATCTATAATTGGTAAGGGTTTATAATCAATTTTTTTAATGGGAAGGTTTAAGATTTAAGCAGTTTTTCCATTTCATCATACACTATTTTTTTGTCTGTGTAAGCGATTATCTAAAACTGAATGAGAGGGAGGGGTAGGGGTGATGTGTTAGTCAGTGAACCGTGTCATTATTGTGTTTATTTTGTTGGGTTTATGACTGTAGAGTACAGGGTAGGGGAGGGTAGGCGTGAAGTAGTCGAAAACATGACATACGGAACTGTGTTCGGGTTGATTTTTATTTTCTGAGGTGTGAGGGTTACAGTGGGTTATAATAGTCAAAATTTGGTTCTAATTTTGTGGCCTTTTCGGGTACTTATGTGGTTTCTTTAGTTAACGCATAAAAAATGGAAGAAAATAATTTTAAAGAGGCAAAAATGGACATGCACTGATCAAATAAAAATAGGTGCTGACATATATTCAACTTGAACCAAAAAAGTTATCCTGTTTAATTTTCAAATTTACTATATTTTTAATTTGTCGTGTTTTAAAACAGCCAATTTTGACAAACTATTTATAAACACTATAATTTACTTGCATAAATGACAATACGAAAATCTAGATCATCATTCCAAATTTTGCACTGAATGAATTTTAGTATTTAATATTTGCTTTTATATTAAATGGTCAGTTTTCTCCCTTGATTTGTTCATTATTAAGGATTTATAATTTTACTAACGTACGTACGTTATGAGCAGAGGCGTAGCGACCAGTGTTTCTTCCAGACTTTTTTCTCCGGGGGGGGGGGGGGGGCACTTGAAATTTTCGGGGTGGCGGTAGACTTTCTTCGGGGGGGGGGGGGGCGGACACTGTTAAAAGTATATATTTTCTATATAAGTTATATAAATTTCATTTCGGGAGGGAGGGGGGGGGCGGTAAAAAAATTTCGGGGGGGGGGGCGGACACTGTTAAAAGTATATATTTTCTATATAAGTTATATAAATTTCATTTCGGGAGGGAGGGGGGGGGGGGACGTAAAAAAATTTCGGGGAGGGGGGGGGTGGCTTTGCCCCCCCCCCCCCCCCCCCCCCCCCCCGAGGAGATGCCTGGAAGAAACTCTGGTAGCGACCCTTCCCGGCGCCCGGGGACAAACTTTCGATTCGCACCCCCCCCCCCCCCTCGAACTTTTGATTTGTACCACCCCCCTCTCAAACTTTTAATTTGTTTTTCCAACCCATTTTGGCGCCCCCCCCCCCCTAAGGTCTGCGCCCGGGGACATATGTCCCCCCCCCCACCCGCTAGGCCACTGGTTATGACTTTCTGCGATCTAAGAAAAAAGAAAGACTCTAGTCATGATAACACTAAACTAACATAAAGTCTTTTTATATTGAAACTTATTATTAATTTAAAGATGTAAAACACTTAAAAGTGTCGTTTAAATTTTATTTATTTATTCTACTGTGTTTCTTGTTATCCTGAGGCCTACACACAAATAATCCCTTTTCAACGTGTGAGTTCGCGACATCCAGTTGTCCTTGAGAGAAACAGAGAATATACAAATCTTATCCTATAAACCAAACTGACTTCGAGAACGCCCTTGGTGGTTCGATTAAGTCATCGATTATAGTAGCTCGCCGTATTGCCAGCAAAGGCAGCACATTTTAAACAAATAGCGCCAACATTATCATGGGAAAGCCCGGGGCGCTCCGGGTCATCCGATTACCATTATTGCACAATAATGCCATTTCTCCAAAGGCTTAATATAGAACTGTTAAGTAAAATAAAACTTTAAAGCCTTGTTAACATTTTTGAATATATATATGTATATGTTTATATAGATATATATGTATATCCATAGTTGTATACTACAAAAACAAAAAGGACTATCAGGTTTAAAAAATAATTTATTTCATATAAACTTACAAAATAATATCTTCAAAAGCTTCATATGAACCTTAAATTTGCATACATAGTTTAGGAACATCAAAAACAAAATTAATTGAACAGAATGAATTTATTTACATAAAATATTACATTCAATGATGTAGGCCTATAATACAAACAAAAAATCGTTTACATTAAATTTACAAAGTAGTTGAAGATTTGCAACTTCTTTAGGGAATATCACAAATCACAGTTGGTTGAGAACTTGCGGGGAAGTTATAATCAAATTTACATTAACACTCAAAGTTATGGAAAAATGATATTATGCTAATCAAAATATGGGAAGTGAAAAAAAAGGACGATAATTTTAAATTTCTTTTTTTTTCTTGTTATTCAATAAAATATAACAATCATAAGTACATTGTGGTTAATATAATATTAAAAAATAAGAGACATTTTAAAACTCAGCAGGATAGGTAAAAAAAACTTTTCAATAAATACCTTGTATAAAATATCATTTTAAAATAAATAATGGAAGCTATCACAAAAATTGTATATTATTTTAAAAACATTTCTTTTGGCAAAAGATAAATATATATATTTGTTAGACAGCAAAACGCTGAAATAATTTTATGAGCTGATCTTATGGAAGGTTGTATAAATTTATAAATTAACATAATTTACATATTTTAGTATATAAGCTTTTAACTATTTATATAGGTATCTATATAAATGATTTTTGTTTTAGAAATGCGTTGAATAAAACAAGTCGGCTTTTTAAACAGTGGAATTGTAATGACTATTTTAAGAAAAAATTATGTATTTACCTATGGACAATATATGGCTTTGCTCTCTTTTCTTCACATAAAAAAGCTACACAAAATGTATGTATACATTAGATGCATATAAATTTTAATATGCATTTGCAGTTATATTTCCTGGTTAAAAAGCTGGATAAATTTTAGACATTTCCGATTCCAGGTGTTCCATTATTGTCATCCTCTATTTCATCTCCAATGGGTAGCTCTTCATCTTCTTCCTCATCTTCATCCTCATATTCATCATCATCTTCATCATCTTCTTCATCATCTTCTTCATCATCTTCTTCATCAATTTCATATTCTCCATCACCTATTGGCGCATCAGCTTTTTCTTTTTTTAAATCAGTTTCATTTCTATCTGAAGATCCTTTTGGAGAAATTTGTTCAGAATTGTTACCCCTGTTTGGTAAATTTGTTTCCCCTGTTAAATTACTGTCTTCTGCAGTTACTTCCCTTTTCTTGTCTTCTGCAATAGCTGGCTGAACTTGCTGTGGTACTGCAGTAAATGAAGCCTGGGTTTCTGGTTGGCCAGTTTCTGTTTTCTCTTCATTATCATACCCCTGTTTTGATGGTGATAAAACCTTAGGAGGTTTTGTATCTGATCTGACTGAATCATCTTTTCTTGTTGAAGATCTTTGTCCACTATGTTGACTACTGGCTGACAGAGGTTTTTCTTTAGATGGTGTTGAAATTTTCACAGGTTTCGTATCTGATCTGACTGAGTCATCTTTTCTTGTTGAAGATATTTTTCCACTATGTTGACTACTGGCTGACAGAGGTTTTTCTTTAGATGGTGTTGAAATTTTCACAGGTTTCGTATCTGATCTGACTGAGTCATCTTTTCTTGTTGAAGATATTTTCCCACTTTTATGACTACTAGCTGAAAGAGGTTTTTCTTCCTTAACATGTTTTGGCTCATCCCCTAACATTGGAGGTTCCCTCTTCAAGCTTAACATCTCCGGCAGGGGTGAAGCTTTAGGGGACATGGCCTTGTAGGACAACTGCGATCCCGAGGACTCGGCCACAGATGCTTCATCTTCGTTCTCATCTTCTGCTTCGTGGTTGTCTTCCCCTTCTTCTTGATTGTCTTCCCCTGCTTCCTCTTCCTCCTGACCTGGTCTCATGACGGCAGGTAGATGCTGCAGCATCAGGTAAGCTCTGGATTTTTTACTGAAACCCTCAGGTAACCCTGAAAAAATAACAGCCAGTGTTATGTAATACTATACCAAGTTTTCTGAATCAATATATGTATATGTTTACTAAACAAAAAAGTCTCAAGTTAAAACCCAAGCTAAATGAGGCTTGATTGCTGGGGACAGCAACCCATCTAGGAGAGATAACTCCAAAATCAAACAGGAGTGGAGCCCCTTTAGGTGATAGGATTACCAGCTCCTGCAACACAGCAGATGCCAAGTTGTATAGGTTAAGACTTTACCTTGGGAATATCAGCTGTGTGGAGAGGGTGCCTGATACATGAGCAACACCTAACTCTTCAATTTACTAGCGCCCTAGGGGGTTGGCGTGGTTGAGTCGGTAAAGCTCATGGTTGCTAAACTGAAAAGTCTCGAGTTCGAACCCTCAGGCAGATGAGGCTCGTTAGCTGGGGACAGCCACTCTTCTAGGAGACACAACTCCAAAATCAAACAACTGCTGCCTTGTAGTTTGTTTTTGGTTGGACAAAGGCTATGGAAGCAAATCCAAAAAAGAAAAGCAGGCTGAAATCTGAGTCAATGGCCTCAATGGCGCAAAACCAGTTGACACGTAATCCTCAATTGTGATGGAAACATGGTCGAGTCGGCAAAGCTCATGGTTGATAAATTTGAAAAAAGTCTCGAGTTCAAACCCTCTGGCAGATAAGGCTCGATCCCTCCCAACACTAAAAATTAAGAACGAAGAAGAAGAAGAAGACTAGCACTCTAATATCCAAGGTGCAATTATCAAATCGTCTATGGAGCCAATAATTATTATTATGTATATGTATAATATGTATGTTTATATGTTGTGCATACAGTACTAGTTAATGATTAACAAAGAATCCAATGTTACCTGGGTCAAGAATGAAAGCAGCACGACAAAGTGACCAGTGTTTTTTAGACTCTGAGCATGGAACTGGTAAGGTCCAAATTTGCATTTGTCGACTCTGGAATGTGAGAAAATTTTTAAATAACATCTGCTCTAAAAATATTTATGGAAAGACTTATTAAGCTACATTTAATAGTTTAACTAGTTAGAAGATAATTTTTTTAAAAATAAGAACATAAAATGTTGTAGTTTATCAGCTATAGATATACAATATTGTAGTAAATACAATCATTTTTTTTTAAAGTTTGGATGTCATGAACTGAACTTTTGATGGTAGATGACATGAAATGACCTTATTGATGGTGGATGATATGAAATGACCTTATTGATGGTGGCTGACATAAACTGACTTTATTGATGGCGCATGACATGAACTGACCTTTTAATGGTGGATGACATAAACTGACCTTATTGATGGTGGATTACATGAACTGACCTTATTTATGAAGACAGGCAATTGGCAGACAGCCTGGTCCTGTACATTCTTGTCTGTACTGCCATCATCAGCTTTACTTGGCTTGACCACTGGCTTGAGGTATACTGACTTAAGCACAGTCAACCCTGAGTCTCTATAGGTGGGATACAGTCATTAGGTTAAAGACAATAAAGGCTTGAGGTATACTGACTTAAGCACAGTCAACCCTGAGTCTCTAAGGGTGGGATATATTCATTTTGTTTAAAACAATAAAAGACAAACCTTCCATTGTTTAGCTACTATTAAAAAAAAATGAGCACATTATGGATTGTGCACATCATAAAACAACAAAAATACAATATTTTTAGCACAAAGTAAGCACACATAGTCCGTTGGGTTTAATACAATAAGGGCAAAACTTTAATTATTTATAAATAAATAAAATATGAGCAGTAGCCTATAAAGATCAGTTTGGGTATAGCAAAGCTCTGCTACATCCAAACCTTAATATTTTTTGGATCCAAGTTTTCAATAAGAGATTTTATCCCACTACATTGCTTGGGTGAAGCTAAGCCGAAATTCTTAAGTTTGGATCTCAGGCTTGAGTCTGTAGGACATCCCAGAGTCTACCCAGCTCTGATGGGTACCTGACTCATGTTAGGGTAAGTAAAAGCAGCTGGGCTTAGTGCTGACTACACTATCCAATCATTTGCCATAGTCACAAAATCAGATGAACTCTGGTTCACCTGTCAAGCTTCTATATAAATGATTTTTGTTTTAGAAATGTTTTGAACACCTAAAAACAAGACAGGTCGGCTTTTTAAACAAAGGAATTGTAATGACTTTTTTAAGATCACGATTAATTCCCAAAGGGTACACTGCCTGGTGTTGTAGTAAACTGTTGTAGACAAAAAAAACCTACTTGGCATCTATCAAGCACTTATGGTTGTAGTCCCAGGCAGCATTCTCCAGGACGAGGTCTGTGAGGAAAAGTCCACCTTCGTCCATCTCAAACTCATCCAGGTCCATGTGACTGAGTACCACACAGTCAAAGTGCACCTGAACATACAACAGGTAAGAGGAGTGTTTTGAAAAGGTGTTGAGTAATTAACAGATTAAGGGGAACAGTACAGAAATAACACTGGCTATCATGTGGTCACACAATTAATTAGTCTAATTGTTGGTGATGCATTTAAAAAATATATATAATTCTTTCATACACTACAGTTATACCTTCTTTATGAAGTAATGGTAAAAAAAGAGAAATAGCCTGCATGATTTTAGTGTAAAGTTGATTCATATAAAAAATGCAAAAAATAAAAATGAGTTTATTCAGGGGAAAAACTAAAAATAGGAAACAATCAGCTTTATGAAGAGGTAACTCACTGTCCCAGAAACAAAATAGATCTATAGGAGAGGGATAGCTCATGATGAAATTAAAATAGGTATAAACACACACAAAACACACAGAAACTAAATTACTTTCAATGGACTCACTGGAAATTATAAAATTATTCCATAAACAGACAAATCAGTAGAAACTATTAATTTCAATGATCAGATAACTAAATAGAAAATATAAAAGTATTCAATAATTAGTCAACTCATATAAAAATATTGGTGTTAATGAAGAGATAATTAATGAGGAAAATATTAGTTTCAATGGACAGACAAATCATGTGGATAGATAACTCACATCTTCTAGATTAACCTTGGCCAGGATAGCCTTCTCCTGTCTGAGTGCTGAGAGCAGGGCCTGAGGGTTGACCAGTCCACCCAGCCAGACAGAGGTCAGTCGTCCTCTTGCTATTGTGGAGCCCTCTGGTATCTCACCATCAACAAATGTGGGCACCATGCTGCGACGCACCCAGTGGTTCAGCTGGTCATAGCGTTTGTTGAGATCTAAGGGAGAGAATTTATACAAAGGGCTATAACTTTACAATTTCAGCTTTCTTAACTTGGATCTAATATACAAAATATCCAAAATATGTTATTATTATTAATTTTTTAAAGATTTTGTACTTTCTAGAAAAAAATTGCAAAGTTAATCCATAAATACTAATAATGTCATACTAGAAAATGAAATGCTTCCTTTTAAACAGGACTCAGAGAAATCCCACAAGATATAACCAAACTCAAAACTGCCCAGTGAGTGGCCTAGTGATCTACCTCAACACCACACCATTCCACTGTTCAACTTTATTTTAATTACTAATTAAATACAAATAAATACAAATAAAATATCTAGCATTGTCTTTATTACAAATTAATAATCCATCTTTGATTATTTTGATACTATCTTACCTTTGAACTGTTACTATTTTGTTACTATCTTAACTTTTAAGTCATCATTATTTTGTTAGTCTCACTTTTGAGCTGTTACTATTTTGTTACAATCCAATATTTTGGTGTTACAATTTCATTACTGTTTTACCTTTGAGCCCTTATTATTTTGTTACGATACTACCATTGCACTGTTACTATTCAGCTACAATCTTACCTTTAACCCATTATTTTGTCACACACACCTTTCAGCTGTTACTATTTTGTTACAATCCTAACATTGCACTGTTACTATTTAGTTACAAAGTTACCTCCTTAGAGCCATTATAATTTTGTTAGTGTCACTTTTCACTATTTAGTTACAAATCTACCTTTCAGCTGTTACTATTCAGTTACAAACTTACCTTAGAGCCATTATAATTTTGTTAGTCTCAAATTTCACTATTCAGTAACAAACCTACCTTTGAGCCAGGAGAGCAGGGAGTGTGTACAGTTGGGGTGTATCCAGTTGATTGGCACAAACCTACCTTTGAGCCAGGAGAGCAGGGAGAGTGTACTGACAGTTGGGGTGTATCCAGCTGACGACACAAACCTACCTTTGAGCCAGGAGAGCAGGGAGTGTGTACAGTTGGGGTGTATCCAGCTGACTGGCACAAACCTACCTTTGAGCCAGGAGAGCAGGGAGTGTGTACAGTTGGGGTGTATCCAGTTGACTGTCACAAACCTACCTTTGAGCCAGGAGAGCAGGGAGTGTGTACAGGGCTGACAGTTGGGGTGTATCCAGTTGACTGTCACAAACCTACCTTTGAGCCAGGAGAGCAGGGAGTGTGTACAGTTGGGGTGTATCCAGCTGACTGGCACAAACCTACCTTTGAGCCAGGAGAGCAGGGAGTGTGTACAGTTGGGGTGTATCCAGTTGACTGTCACAAACCTACCTTTGAGCCAGGAGAGCAGGGAGTGTATACAGGGCTGACAGTTGGGGTGTATCCAGTTGACTGTCACAAACCTACCTTTGAGCCAGGAGAGCAGGGAGTGTGTACAGTTGGGGTGTATCCAGCTGACTGGCACAAACCTACCTTTGAGCCAGGAGAGCAGGGAGTGTGTACAGGGCTGACAGTTGGGGTGTATCCAGCTGACGACACAAACCTACCTTTGAGCCAGGAGAGCAGGGAGTGTGTACACGGCTGACAGTTGGGGTGTATCCAGCTGACTGGCACAAACTCCTCCTGCAAGCTGAACACTGTGGGGAGGAGTCTGCGAGGTAGAGCGCCTGACCCTCCCAGGAGGTTGGTCTCAAGGTCGTGGATCTCCTGCCTGATGTGGCAGAGCACTGTGTTCATCCACAGACACTCCTGCAACAATATCATGCTCTGATTGGTGCGAGGGGTAGTTGAAGTAGAGTTCTACGGACTTCAATAAATGTTCTTTATACATGTGCCATGTAATAAAACAAAGTTATGCTATGCATACTGGGGTAATAGAAGTAGAGTTCTTGTGACTTCAGCACTTTATTTTTTTAAATGTAAGAAAAAGATTTCGACTATGTATAGAACTATGGGACGGAGTGGTCTAACGGTAGAGAGATGGACTGCTAACCCGTAAATCTCGAGTTCGAATCCGGGTTCAAGTCAGTAGACCGTCCCTGAGTCCACCCATCTATGATGGGTACCTAACTCTTGTTAGGGAAAGTAAAGGCGGCTGGGCATAAGGCTGACCACACTATCTCTTCATATGCCGAGGTCACAGAAACAAGTGAACTCTACTTCACTTGCCCCATAGACCGTCAGGTTTGAAAGGGAAACTTTACTTACTTTACTACTTATATATAGAACTGCTGGTGAGTGAACATAAAACTAAAGCTTTATCCTGGAATTTACACTCTAAGAACCTCTCACTAGCTTAAAGAATTACTCACTGACCACAAAAATACTGACATCAAGTCTGACTCAATGCTCTAATGAAAGTAAAGATGGACAGCAATCTTTTTGTTTAAATAATAGACTGACAACAAGAGTGATTGACTGATAATGTAATTAAAACTTAAGACTGGCCAAATAAAATTAATTGGATCATAAAAACAAAGATGAACCATAAGTCAGACCTTATAAAGCTAGATGTATTATATGAGACAAAGGTGAACCACAAGCCAAAAATGATATTATAATAATAATAAAACTATATAGATCGAATCTGACCTTATAAAACTACAGATAGGCTCAAAATGAAAAGATTCACCTAATAAAGCTAGATGAAGCACAAGACTGACTATATAAAACTATAGATGGACTAGAAATGAAAAGACTGACCATAAGTCTGACCAAACAAATCTAAATGGACCACACAAGTCTTACCTTAGAAAACTACATATGGACAAGAAATGAAAAAAACTGTTCACAAGTCTGACCTTATAAAACTACAGATGGACAAGAAATGAAAAGATTGACCACAAGTCTGACTTAAAATACCTAGGTGGAGCACACAAGACTGATGAAAAGATTGACCACAAGCATGACCTTATAAAACTACAGATGGACAAGAAATAAAAAGAGTGACCACAAGTCTGACCTGCAGCAGGACATATCCAATACTCTCCGGCATCAAAGTGCTCTCAGCGCTGCTCATACTGATGATACTGGGACAGTGATAGGGAAAATCATACTCCATCCTGGTCAGTTGTGGGATGTCCCCAAGTTCCAACATCAGAGGCAGGTGCTCCAAGCAGATGTCCAGGGCTGACCGCAGCTTGGGGATGATGACTTTAGAGAGAGGGGACACTGTGGAAGCTATGCCAGAGTCTGTGTTCTGGGTTTCAAACATCTGGTCCAGGCGTGTGATGAATTTAGCAGAGCTGAGGTTGGATTATGGAAACACATTAATTATAGAGTTCTGGTCCATCTTCGATAAAAGTATATTATACAGTTTTAGTGAATTTTCAAATACATAATAATATTACATACTTCTAACGAATCTTCCAAAACATAGTATTACAAGTCTCTACTTCACTTGCCACATGCACCGTCAGTTTTAATTTACTTTTACATGATCATCAATAAATCATCAAGCAATATAATAAACAATCTTATTTTATTTTTAAAAGTTTTTTTACACTTATATATATACACAGAATCAAAAAACAATAAATTATCAAAATTTCATGTGATAATTAAGCTATTTAAATTATCTTCAACTTTAACAAACCTAGAATTCACTGAAAACTTGATTTTGTATTAATATTTGTTTTTCTTCTATTTCTTTTATGTTCTTGGTTTTATGGTTGTATGATAATTAAAATTAAACAATTTATTAATATTTCAAAGATTTAGGTTTATTTTTATTGTAGATTCTTTATAGGCCTACAAACTAATTTTTTTTTTAACATCGTAAAATAGGTGTTGTCATAAAACAAAAACATCAAGAACTAAAACAAACCTAGAATCATTGGTAGATCTTTCTACAGCTGTGTTTAGCTTTAGAGCAGTCAAGGTCATATCTTCATCTGCATTTCTCTCAAACCAGTCAGCAAAATCTTTTGGATCTTTAGGGAACAAAAATAATAATCAGCTCAGTTGGGATTATAAAAACACAAATCCATCATAAATCCATTCGTTAAATATTTACCTGCTGTTTTTCTTGTTTGACAAACAGTACAAAAGTACATTATAATTATATAAAGTTGTTTATATTTATTTTTTCATTATCTAGTTAGTTGTTATAATTTTGAATTATTTTATAAAAAGGAGTTTATAAGTGTGAATTTAAGTCATGAAATACGTTTTTTAAAAGCGAACCATCACCTATGGAGCTAGGTGGTACCGATATGAAGGCTCCACCTAAAGGTATTTTGGCCTCAGGACTCTGATATACACAAGTAAGAATGTGTTGACATAGGGCATTGATGTACATCTTGTCATGTTCTTCTGACAGCATAGCACCATAGACCAGCTACAGTAGGAAATAAACATAAATGTACATTGATGAAACCATTGTTAGAGTATAAGGTGGTACAATAGGATTAGTGATAGAGTACTCTTTAGATATTAAGTTTAGATAAAGGTAGGAAAGTTTAGAACAAAATAACTTTTGAAATAAGGACAAAAGGAAACAAAAGTAGGGTAAAGTTTAGAAATATGCAATATTGAGTTTATAAAGTTTTTTGCTTTAGAGTACGTATTAGATATTAAGTTGAGATAAAGGTGGTGGGGATAAGTTTAGAAATATGCAATATTGGGTTTATACATTTTTTAGAGGTGTCTGTGTCTGAACAAGATAAGTTTATAAGGACAAAAGGAAACAAAAATAAATTTCATTGATGAAACCATCGTTAGAGTGTAAGGTGATACATTAGGATTAGCATTTATAAGAATTTATTAGATATCAAGTTTAGATAAAGGTAGGGGGGTGAAGTTTAGAACAAAATTACTTTTGATATAAACACAGGAATAAACACAAATAAAGTTTACTGATTAAATCATCATTATTGTAAGGTGGTACATTAAGATTAGCATTAGAACTCTTAATAGATATTGAATTTAGATTATGGTTAAAGTGAATTTTAGAAATGTGCAATATTGGGTTTATAAATATTTTTTTGATGGTGCCTGTGTGTGAATCAGATAAGTTTCTATATAAGGACAAAAGGTAACAAAAATAAATTTCATTGATGAAATAGTTATAGTGAAAGGTGTTACATTAGGATTAGCTTTAGAGTATGTATTAGATATTAAGTTTAGATTATGGTTAGGGTGAAATTTAGAAATGTACAATACTAGTTCAATGCTGGCAGTGTGTGAACTAAATAAGTTTTGATATAAGGATGCTCATGTTTTAATTGTTATACTCATCAACAGAGATGAGATGCTTAGATGATACAACAGACAAAGGTTGATGACATGAATATAAATCACAATGATGTAGATCATTGGACTGTATACTAAAGGATTTTACACTACAAGAATGTAGAATTATTTTACTTTAGTTCAAAAGACTAAAGAAAAAAAAGATAAAGTAAATTCACTATACACCACATAACTCAACTCACATTAGGAACAGCATGGCACAAATCTTCCAGAGTCGGCTCCGATGATTCTGCTGCTTTCATGTTAGCAGACGTCAAGAAGTCCACGGCAGCTGTGATTTGAGAGGCCCCTATAGGATGCCAGCGTGAGAGCCCGACACTGCCAAAGAGCTGGCGAGACAGGAGGACGCCATGTACCACAGCGATGGCAAAGGCCAGGGTTCTGACCTTGGGCGAGGCTTGTTGCAGGGTTTCTAGAGAGGCTGTAGGTATCAGCTGCAGGGATGAGATGATGGCTGAAAAAAAAAGATTTTAAATGGTGTACAGGGTGGTTATAAATATGTTTAATAAACTATACATTGTTTGGGTTGAGCTTTAGGTTGTGATTCAGATCTAGATTATGAGGGGGAAAAAAAGAAACATCATCCTATCATTGTATTTTTTCTCAAGAAGCAAAATATTTAGTAGTTTAAAACTCTAGTAATAATAATAATTAGCAGCTTTGCATGTTTTCACACTAACATAAATTTAGCTTAAATTTTTGCTATTTTGCAGAATTTGTGTGATAAACATTTTTTAAGGTTATAATTATTGTTCAATATTTTGTGTTGTCTCAAGGTGAAAAATAATAAGGAATATTAATAAAAATAGGAATAGCTAGTTAAACTTAAAACTAGTTTATTTTTCAATCATTTTAGGGTATACCATGGAGTGCAACTTTTGTGCACTTAAATGATGTAAAAAAATTATATCTGTACTCACCTGTTTTCAGGTAAGACAATGGAGAAAGTGGACTGAAAGTCACAGTTGATTTTTTCACCTCTGTATCTGGTTCTTTTGATACAGCTGGGTAGGACAGGAGTGAGTTCCAGGCTATTTTCAGAAGGTTCTAGAACAGACAAAATTCATGTTGTTAATCAGCACACATTCGTCCTTATAAAAAACTCATGTTTATTTTGGTGAGATGTTTGTTTAAAAATGTGTATGTTAATAATGATATTTTATGTAGGTAGCTTATATAAATGCTAAAGAAATGGGGTTTTTTTTATGCCATTATGCTTTTTCCATTGACATGAATAGATCTAGCCTACTGAGTTTTTAACCTATTATCTTTTTATGAGTTTTATTATCTAACTTCATAGTGAAAATTAAACTTCAGGCTGGCATGCTCAGTTATTGTTATCATAATGTTATCGAATTTAGTCCTTTTAAAACTTGTCGGTTAACCAATAGGAACAAGTGAAAGATAACTCTTGATAAGTAAGCAGTTACCTCAACAAGAATAAAGGGTTATTACTCTTGTTTACTAGTCAGACAAGATTTACGTCACTAAGAACAAGAAGGTTAATACTCATTAAATAGGCGGAATTCCCACACTAAGAAAATGGGGTTATTAATATGGTTAACTAGAGACACAAAATCACCTCAAAAAAAAAAAAGGTTACTACTATTGTAACTAGGAAAGACACAGTTACCTCAATTAGAACCAGGGGGAGATTACTGCAGCAGTGAGAGGTCAACCACACACAGAAGCTGCCTTTATCTTCAGTTTTATCATCTTGGAAGTTGACTGGAAGCAAAGCATGACATGTGATATTAAACAACTTGACATATTCAAAAGTATGGAGAGACTCTTAGACTTTACTTAAAAAGGCCTTGCACAATAATAACTTGACGCTTTAAAAAAATAAAACTAACCATCCATCTTCATCACAACCTACTCTACCTAACCACTCGACATCTTAGCTCCTAATTACAACTAAGTACACACTACATAAAAACTAAATCTTAGCATGTTACAACAAAAGTAGAACATAACCCAGACTGCAATTAAAACTAGATCCACCTATAAAACTAGACCTGCCCATAAAACTAGACCCACCCAAAAAACTAGACTCATCCATAACATTAGATCCACCCATAGAACTAGACCCACCTCTGCTCTTGTGAATCCTCTGTAAGTGATGCATCAAATTTGACACAGCCAAAGGTGTAGCCAAGTGGACAGACTCAATGATAGCCCAACCATCTTTTTTGTCAGCAGCATCCAATGCTTCCTCCAGCGTAGTGGCAGATCCCTCACTGATGGTGACTCTTTGCACAAATATATTAGCTACCTAATAGAAATAGCAAAACAAAAAAGTTAACTACTTTCAATCAATGGGAAGGGGAAAATATAGTATTCAAGTATATAAAACTGTTTTCCTTTTTTAAGGAGAAATAAAAATACCAATAATAGGTCAATAGGCACAAATATTCAGATGGTCAATTAGGTTTGAAACAATTGTTTAAATGCATTAAATATTTTAATTTTTTTTGTCTACAAGTTAATTAGATTATTATTAATATTATATTTATTAAACTCAAAGGCCTTAGAATTTGTTAGAAAGTGTCTAAGTTATTTATCTTGCAAAGCTAGATAACTAGGTATGTAAAAAGACAATTTAATAAGTATAACATAGTGACATACAGTAAATAAACCAGTCTCCCAAATTAATTGATTTTTCATATTCAAAATGGAGGCAAAAAGAATCATTTTACATACAATGACAAGTGAAACAGGTAAACTCTACTTTATGAACACTCAGGTTCAAAAGGTAACTCTACTTACTTTACAAGTGAAAGTAGTGTAACATGTAAAGTTCTTTACATCTACAAATTTAAACTGAATGAACTACCTTAGCCAAGTTCATTAACTCTTCCACAGGTGAAATGGTCAGTTTAAGCCTGGACGCTGGGTGGCTGTTGGCGTCATGGGCAGGGGAGGGAAGGAGAACCAGCACACCCCAGTGTTTCCTAGCATCACTTAGAACCTCCCTGACATTAAAGGTTTCCTCTTCGGGGTCGTAGGCTGCGAGGTGGTTGTGGGTGTACTCCAGCAGAGCTGTGGGCAGGCGGTCTGGCCTCAGCATGCGGAGGATTAACATTTTGTGAAAGTCATTCAGGCCAGAAGACTTGTAGCCAGAGGTTGGAACTTCTGGAAATATTGAATTTTATTTTTTGAAAATTAAGCCCAATGTAAAATTTTATAATTTGTATTTTGGTGAGTTTACAAATTTTATTTTTATTTTTTTATTTTTAAAATATTTCTAAAAATATTATGACGTGTTTTTGGTTTTTTTTAAAATTAGCCCATTAGCAGATTTAATTAAGCTTCTACTCTTTTCAATGCACAACAATTTTTTTAATTAATCAGAGTATATTATTATGCATTTATACTTGTGATAGAAAACAAACCGATTTTTACAGTGTCAGTTATTGGGTGACCGGGAACATGCACAACGGAAAACTGAGCAACAGAAAATTGCGCACAAAAAACTGTGTTTTCTTAAATCAAGCCTTTATAGACATTAACAAAGAGTAACTATATGTACATTATAGCATAAAAAAACATATTTCCACGAAACATGACACAATTAAATTGTATTAGTATAAGCCTAATTAGTTTGTGTTTGCGCATTTCTTTCTTGGAACCCAGATATTTATTAGAGAATGGTAGTTTAGTAAGTAATTACTATAGCCGACAATGCAAGGACTTAGTCCAGGGTTTAAATCAAAAGGAGTCCTAAGTTCACTAATGGGCATTGTGAGATTCCTCTATGGAAATGTAAAAGTGGCTGGACCCTGTGCTGACCACAGAGTACCTTAACAAAAACTGAATAGTATCTCATGTATATTTTCAATTTTAGGATATAATGTCATAAAAGCTTCAACTAGTACCATCTTTTCTATTCTTCTCTGTGCCAACATCAGCTTTCTCATCTTCACCATCCAGATCCTTGCCCCCATCAAATGGAAGCTTCATCTTCTCAGGGTAGGGACTGGTGTACCACTCCTTCCATTGCTCAGCATTTACAGCAACATCCACACAAAGGCTGTCCAGTGGGCCGGGTAGGACTGACAGAGCCAAAACATCTTCCCATTTTTCTTTAGAAAGCCAATCTGGCACTTCTGCCTTGCAGTCAAAATCTGACAATGAGAGTTGTATTCCCAGTCCAGGGTTACCTGATTGGATGATGAAAATAAGAATTTTAAATTTAAATATTAAATGGCATAATGAAAAAAAAATTTGATTTTTATCATGTCTGTGGCATACCTACAAGCAGTACCTTCTTCTTCTTCTTTGTTCTTAATTTTTAGTGTTGGAAGGGATCGAGCCTAATCTACAAGATGGTTTGAACTTGAGACTTTTTTAAATTTATCAACCATTAACTTTAGCCGACTCTACCATGCCTCCATCACAATTAAGGATACGTGTCAACTGGTTATGCGCCATTGAGGCCATTGACTCAGATTTCAGCCTGCTTTTCTTTTTGGATTTGCTTCCATAGCCTTTGTCCAACCAAGAACAAACTACAAGAAAGCAGTTGTTTGATTTTGGAGTTGTCTCTCCTAGAAGAGTGGCTGTCCCCAGCTAACGAGCCTCATCTGCCCGGGGGTTCGAAATCGAAACTTTTCTGTTTAGCAGCCATGAGCTTTACCGACTCGACCACACTGACCCCTAAGCAGTACCTAATAACTAACAAGTTGGTGAAAGTACAGCCAACTGGGCATTGTACATCTCATACTTATCTTCACATATTATGAACATAGAAACAAAATAGCTCTATTTTCATTGCCCAGCTATGTATTAACTGGTTTAATGAGGTAAGACTAAGCCTATGTTTTAACTTATGAAGATTTCAGAAATCAGAAATCATTTTCATTAACAATTATATATATATATATATATATATATATATATATATATATATATATATATATATATATATATATATATATATATATATATATATATATATATATATATATATATATATGTGTGTGTGTGTGTGTGTGTATTTGTATACATTTTCTCCTTAATACAAGCCCTAATTTCTCTAGTACAGTACATATTACAATTACCTTGCAAAAACAGAGACATCTCTTCATTAGTGATGTCCTCCCCTGCCTCTACCTGGATACTCAGACACATCAGAGTAGAGAACAGCAGCCTGTCTTCTTCATACAGACACCTGGAAGTTTACATTACAACCTAGGTTTATATTGTACATGCTGGTAATAAAGGGATGGTTGGGTGATAGAGCTGGTAGTTGAATATTACAACCAAGGTTTATATTGTACATGCTGGTAATAAAGGGATGGTTGGGTGATAGAGCTGGTAGTTGAATATTACAACCAAGGTTTATATTGTATATGCTGGTAATAAAGGGATGGTTGGGTGATAGAGCTGGTAGTTGAATATTACAACCAAGGTTTATATTGTATATGCTGGTAATAAAGGGATGGTTGGGTGATAGAGCTGGTAGTTGAACATTACAACCAAGGTTTATATTGTACATGCTGGTAATAAAGGGATGGCGTGGTTGGGTGATAGAGCTCGTAGCCTGAAAATCTTGTGTCCATCCAGCTCGGATGGGTACCTGACTCACGTCAGGATAACAAAAACTACTGAGTTTAATGTTGACCACATTATAACCCTGTATGTCATGGTCACTAAAACAGATGAACTCTGCTTCATCTGCCCCATGTGTCTTAATGCTGATGCTGGTAAATAAGGATTATTTATGCTTAAACAATTTTTAATTTTGGTAAATAAGGTTATGTTAATGATAAAAGAATTTTTATATAATAGATCAGACAAAAGCTTAACAAATGAACATTGGCATCAAGATAACATTAAGGTTTATCATAGCTAAACAGGGTATGTTGGTTATCAAAATTAGGAATACACTGTTTTAGATAATTTACTGAAGACTTTTTATTTATTTATTTAGCATATGTGCCTTGAAGCGTTAGCTTCTAAAAGTTTAACTTAAGGTTTTTATTCAAAAACGAAAATAAAATTAACTTTTCTTTTCTGAATAAACAAATTGTAAATATTTATATTTTGAATGAGCAAGTAAAAAAAAAAACTATTTAAAATATTCTTTTTATTTCTTATTATTAAAAAATAGTAAACTTATATTTTAACCACAATTCTATGTTCCTTATTTTCAGTTTTTGAACTAATCAAAAAGAAGAACTAAGCTACACCTTACATTTTGACCCTGTGGTAAATGAGACTGGTGACACTGTCCATCAGTTTCTTCACCTGATCACTGGTGTAGCTGGTGTACTCTACTCCATCAGTGGGCAGTGGCACAATGTCTGGCATGTCCACAGATGGGAGGTCATTGGAGTCTGAGCCATGGACCAGCTTGTGGATTGCTGCAGTGCTGGCAGATTCTTTAAAAACATCGACACATTTTTTAAAGAGAACAAATATTGATGGGTGGTTTAAATTATTGAATGAAGTCTAAATGTTTCTTATGGATTGCTACAATTATTTTTAAAAATGTTGAGGTCTATTTGAAAAAAAATATGTGACTTTACTTTTTATACATTCATGACTTCATTTGTTTTATTGTTTGTGTATCAACATAAGCTTTTTTATTATGAACCATGTAATATGCATGTAGCCATTAAACATTTAAGCATACCTTCAGTTTCAGAAGGATTTATTTTCCCACTGGTTTCATCTTCTTGTTCTGCTTTTGTTTCTTCATTCTCTTTATCACCTGTAACAAAACAACAATTTTTTGTCGCAAGAAGTTGATATCAATTAACCATAGAGAACCTATTTATTATTGTAAGAATTTAATAACAACTAACCTCAGATAATCTATTTGCTGTTATAAGAATTTAATAGCAATTAACCCTAGATAATGTATTTATTGCTGTATTTAGTAGCCAAAAGTAAAATATTGATGAAGTAAGCATAGTGTAGCATGTACATAATGCATTAAACTACTACAACTCCATTTCTACTCTGTTTAATTTAAACAGAGTAGAAATGGAGTTGTAGTGATTTTATCTAGGATAAAGTAAACAATGACCTGCTTGTTTATCTTTATTTGACACCTGTGAGGCATTGCTGCTGGATCTCTTTCTTTTTATCTTACTCTCTGTTGTTTCTTCCTCTTCATAGCCCTGTAGAGCAACACACATCTTAATGTCAATCGCATGATATGTAAATACATGCTTGATATGTACATGCATTCAATATCTGACTCTTTTTAACTTACTGCCCAGGTCCTGATTTCCAAGGTGCGATTATCCAATCTTTTTTCAGTCTATGGAGGCATTTATTTATTTATTTTTATACATATCATACATAAACATGTAATGCATATGTTGTAAGTCAAAATCCAGCTATTATGTGTTGGTAAGAGTGGGGTTAAATGTTCAAGTAATAGAGCATGGCACTGTTAACACCAAGACTTTGTATTCACATAGTAGTCTTGCTAGAATCTTTTACATGAATTCTTATTGAATAAGAGATATTCAAAACACAAAACAGCCACACTCCATACATTTTTTAAAATAAAGCAGTGATAATCAGTGATAGTCTAAAATGTAGTGCTGAGAAAACCTTTCCATAAAACCTGTCTCATAGTGTTGATCAAACAATCCCGTGTATACTAAGATCACAGAAACAGATGAACAGATCAGGTTGAAAGAGGTACTTTTACAAGTTAAGTTTCTCTCTAGACCTAGCTATTCATTGGACAGATGAAGTATAGTTTATAAGTTTCTTGACCTTGGCATTTGAAGGGATGGTATGGCAGCACTATTCCTAGCTGACCTTCACTTAAACACACCCATTAGAGCTGGGTGGACTCTAGGACATCCTACAGTCACAAATCTTAATTTAGATCTGAACTCAAGAACTTCAGACTAGCCGCCAAACACTCTAACATTCTACAATGCCATCCCTTTACTTTTAAAAAAGTTTTAACAAAAGTCTGTTTAGTAAAGTAATTCTAATTAAGTAATTAAGTAAAGTAATTCTAAAAAGTGTAAACTTTAATTTCTACCCATACTTCTACCATACTTCTCCATCACTCATCAGTAAACACAAAAACAGATGAACTCAATTTCTTATCAGATGTCAATCTTAAAGAGGTAGGCCAACTTTTACAAAGCTTTAACAAAAATCTGTTACATAGTGTAATTCTAAAAAATGTAAACTTTTATTTCTACCATATTTCTCCATCAACCTCAGTAGTTACTGAAACAGGTGAACTCTATTTCTTATTAGATGTCAAGTTGAAAAAGGTAGGCCTGCTTTTTACAAAGCTTTATTTTTTTTTTTACAAAAATCTGTTAAGTAAAGTAATTCTAAAACATTTAAACTTTCATTTCTACCATATTTCTCCATCAACCTCAGTAAACACTGAAACAGGTGAAGTCTATTTCTTATTATATAAAAGGTTGAAAGAGGAAGGCCTACTTTTACAAAGCTTTAACAAAAATCTGTTAAGCAAAGTAATTCTAAATAATGTCAACTTTTACCTCCCCATCTGCCTCAGTGAAGAAGTCAGGTGGGAACTGCCCTCCAATGGCCTCGTCAAAGAGCTCCAGGAAGTACTGCAGGGTGAACTGGTACTCTGGGTAAATGGCGGCCAGCGAGCGCATGAGTGAGTACATGATGGAAGCTCTCCGTGCTACAGGGTACAGCTCGTCTTTGAGAATGTCAAGGTCTTCAATAATCTCCTGGGTGTTGGCTAGTTGCAGTGCCAGCTTTTTAAAATCATAAAATACTGGCATTACTGTAGAGTCTGGTAACAGCTAACCTGCACTACATAACAAAAAATAGCACCTCTGCTCTATAGATACAAGTCTCAAGACAATTATTTTTGAATGTGCTATGAAGGATTAAATCTGTTAAAATCTATTTAAAGATTACATAGATGTTAAAAATTAGTGTTGTTTAAATGTTTATTTAAAGCAGGTGACCTAAATGTAGGGACTGTAGGCCTACTTGTATCTTGTAGACTGGTTACATATTATTAAGTTTGTAAGTTTGTTAAAGCAAGTATCTAAACACACCTGAATCTTAGTGTTATCAACGATTAAATTAGTAACATTGTTACTTAAAGCAGGTGATATAAATGTACCTGAAGTTTGGCTTCTGTAATATTGGTGATGAACTGTAGAGCTTTAGGGGAGCTAAGCATTGCCTCTTGTCCTCCAGCTAATACTTGGTCTTTGACAGTTTCAGAAAATCTGAAACAAAACGGCTATTAGTTATGGTCACTTATCTAACTAGTCTCCTAGACTTAACTAAAACATTAGTAACAGAGAGCTGAACTTTTTACCTGTGCATCTTATTTCGAAAAATTATTTTTTGTACCTAAACAATCAACTTGACCAGATGGTACCTACTGATTCTTTTTTTACCTGGACAATTAACTTAATCAAATGGTATCTAACAAATTATTTTTTTCCCTGTACACAATGTTTTATGTAGATGCTGGTTTCTTAATGGTAATTTAGTAATTCTTTGTTTACCAGTACAATCAACTTGATCTGATGCTAACCTACTAATTCTTTCTTTACCTGTACAAAGTTTCTTTCTGCAAGTGCTAATTCTTTTAATGTAACCTACTAATCCTTTTTACCTGTACAAACTTTCTTTCTGCAGGTGCTAATTCTTTTAACGTAACCTACTAATCCTTTTTACCTGTACAAACTTTCTTTCTGCAGGTGCTAATTCTTTTAACGTAACCTACTAATCCTTATTTTACCTGTACAAACTTTCTTTCTGCAGGTGCTAATTCTTTTAACGTAACCTACTAATCCTATTTTACCTGTACAAATTTTCTTTCTGCAGGTGTTGGTTCCTTAATGGTACCCTACTAATCCTATTTTACCTGTACAAATTTTCTTTCTGCAGGTGTTGGTTCCTTAATGGTACCCTACTAATCCCTATTTTACCTGTACAAAGTTTCTTTCTGCAGGTGTTGGTTCCTTAATGGTACACTACTAAACCTTATTTTACCTGTACAAAGTTTCCTTCTGTAGGTGTTGGTTCCTTAATGGTACCCTACTAATCCCTATTTTACCTGTACAAAGTTTCTTTCTGCAGGTGTTGGTTCCTTAATGGTACACTACTAAACCTTATTTTACCTGTACAAAGTTTCCTTCTGTAGGTGTTGGTTCCTTAATGGAACCCTACTAATCCTTATTTTACCTGTACTAAGTTTCTGCAGGTGTTGGTTCCTTAATGGAACCCTACTAATCCTTATTTTACCTGTACTAAGTTTCTGCAGGTGTTGGTTCCTTAATGGAACCCTACTAATCCTTATTTTACCTATACAAAGTTTCTTTCTGCAAGTGCTGGTTCCTTAATGGAACCCTACTAATCCTTATTTTACCTATACAAAGTTTCTTTTTGCAGGTGCTGGTTCCTCAACGCACGGTTTCTCTCCTGGTAGAGGCTGGGACGGATGCGAGCAAATGTGCGTGTGAGCAGGTCTTCTGTTAGTGTGTTGTGTGAGACGCCAAAGTTGATGAGGGTGACACTGGAAGCCATGACAGGATTGAACCGTGGCCTTGACAGGTGGGTGGACAGGTAGCACCGGAAGTCTGGGTGGCACAGGGTCCTACGGCCACAGAAGAGGATCATTCTTGGTTCTGTTGAAAAGAAAATTATAATTTTGGGGTTTTTTATTTAAAAAAGCATGTCTTGATGGTCAAGCACGTACTAGCTTACCCTAAAATTCATATGACAGGCTTCAAAGCCAAAGACATCACTAAGCCAATCAAGCTGTCTAGGGTAGATGATTTAAGTAGGGAAATTTAAATGTTGCTGAACATAGTGCTGACCACACTATCCCTTACTTGCCAAGGTAAAAAGAAGAGATGAACTATGAACTCTCTTTTTTCTCTTTTTTTGGAGTAAATATTCCTCTAAATTATTTAAATTAAACTTAGCTAAATTGGCTACTATGGGACAGCATGGTAAAATAGTAGAGCGTTTGGATGCTCTTGAGTTTAGGTCTTGGTTCAGACTTGTGAATGTACCTGTGTACACCCAGCTGATGTGTGCCTGACTTACGTTGGCAAAATAGATTGCTAGTTCTAATGAGGAATTTTAGAATACTTTACTAAACTGGCTACTACTTGTCAATGATCTAAAACTACATTTAAAATGGTACAGTAGTGAGTAAAAGTTAACCTTCTTCAAGGTCTTTTTCATTTGCTGTGTTGCGATGATGCACAAGGGGCATAATCATATTGTCAATGGTCTCTGAACAATTTTTTAGTAAGACTGGTTTCCCTTTTGTGATTGCTTTCTCGAGAGAAGTCATTATGTGTGGGTCAGATCTAGAACAATTAAGAAATCAAATTGTATAACAATAAATAAAATATGGCATAATTTCACCAATTAAAATAATTAACAAATTCTCCATGTCCAGACCTAATCACAGCACTGACCTGCAATTTACTGTCCAGACCTAATCACACACAGAACTGACCTTCATGTCCAGACCTAATCACACACAGAACTGACCTCCATGTCCAGACCTAATCACACACAGAACTGACCTCCATGTCCAGACCTAATCACACACAGAATTGACCTCCATGTCCAGACCTAATCACACACAGAACTGACCTCCATGTCCAGACCTAATCACACACAGAATTGACCTCCATGTCCAGACCTAATCATACACAGAACTGACCTCCATGTCCAGACCTAATTACACACAGAACTGACCTGTTCTCCATGTCCAGACCTAATCACACACAGAACTGACCTGTTCTCCATGTCCAGACCTAATCATACACAGAACTGATCTGTTCTCCATGTCCAGACCTAATCACACACAGAACTGACCTTCATGTCCAGACCTAATTACACACAGAACTGACCTCCATGTCCAGACCTAATTACACACAGAACTGACCTCCATGTCCAGACCTAATCACACACAGAACTGACCTCCATGTCCAGACCTAATCACACACAGAATTGACCTCCATGTCCAGACCTAATTACACACAGAACTGACCTGTTCTCCATGTCCAGACCTAATCACACACAGAACTGACCTGTTCTCCATGTCCAGACCTAATCACACACAGAACTGACCTGTTCTCCATGTCCAGACCTAATCACACACAGAACTGACCTGTTCTCCATGTCCAGACCTAATCACACACAGAACTGACCTCCATGTCCAGACCTAATCACACACAGAACTGACCTCCATGTCCAGACCTAATCACACACAGAACTGACCTCCATGTCCAGACCTAATCACACACAGAATTGACCTCCATGTCCAGACCTAATCACACACAGAATTGACCTCCATGTCCAGACCTAATCACACACAGAACTGACCTCCATGTCCAGACCTAATCACACACAGAACTGACCTCCATGTCCAGACCTAATCACACACAGAATTGACCTCCATGTCCAGACCTAATCACACACAGAACTGACCCAATGTCCAGACCTAATCACACACAGAACTTACCTGTTCTCCATATCCAGAGTGATGAGCTTGCCTTTATTCATTAGCTTGTTTAATGTCCCCAACCAGTGTGAGCCCTCATTGTTTGGATCAATCATCATGGGTGGACGTTGCCAGCTGGTACACAGTATGGCAGCATTTTCAATTTGACGAGGTCCAAAGTCTACAAACGCAATACATAGAGCAGGTCATAGATGGAGGCTAGTAGAATGAATTTATTTTTAAGATAAAACAAATGCAGCTGTGGGACAGCGTGGTCAGATGGTAGGGGGGGGGGGTCGGCGTGGTCGAGTCGGTAAAGCTCATGGTTGCTAAACCGAAAAGTCTCGAGTTCGAACCCTCGGTCAGATGAGGCTTGTTAGCTGGGGACAGCCACTCTTCTAGGAGAGACAACTCCAAAATCAAACAACTGCTGCCTTGTAGTTTGTTCTTGGTTGGACAAAGGGTATGGAAGCAAATCCATAAAGAAAAGCAGGCTGAAATCTGAGTCAATGGCCTCAATGGCGCATAACCAGTTGACACGTAATCCTTAATTGTGATGGAAGCATGATCGAGTGGGCAAAGCTCATGGTTGATAAATTCGAAAAAAGTCTCAAGTTCAAACCCTCTGGCAGATAAGGCTTGATTCCTCCCAACACTAAAAATTAAGAACGAAGAAGAAGAAGAAGAAGAAGAAGAAGAAGAAGAAGAAGAAGAAGAAGATGGTAGGGCATACAACCACTGCTCAGAAAGTCTCTAGTTTCGATCCTGGGCTAAAGTCAGTAAGACATCCCTGAGTCTACCCAGCTCTGATACCTGACTCACATTAGGGAAACTAAGGTAGTTTCATTTACTGAGGTTATTGAAACAGGTGGACTTTACTTCACCTACACTCATGGTTCAAGAGGGTACTTGTGATAAAGCGTTGGCAGACCTATGGATGGTTAGAAATCAAGATGAGGGAAAAGAATACAGTGGACAAGTATGAGTTGAAAAAAAGATGAAGAAATAGGCCAAAGCCCTGTAGTCACAAGTTCCCTTTCGAACCTGATGGTCTATAGGGCAAGTGAAGTAGAGTTCACTTGTTTCTGTGACCTCGGCATATGAAGAGATAATGTAGTCAGCACTATGCCCAGCCGCCTTTACTTTCCCTAACGTGAGTTAGGTACCCATTAGAGTTGGGTGGACTCAGGGAAGGTCTACTGACTCGAACCTGGATTCGAACTCGAGACTTATGGGTTAGCAGTCCATTTCTCTATCGCTAGACCACTCCATACCCAAACCTTTAGCACAACCCTAAATCTAACCCCAATGTGTATATAGTTTAATACGGCTCATTTTTACAAACAGAATAGCAAGAATAGAAATTAGGTATCAATTACATTTTTCATTTATTTTTTATTTACAACTTTATAAATTGATTTTAAAAATTTGAATCTTTACAAACCTTTCATAACCCATTCATTAAGAACTGTCTCCCCAATCAATATCTTGACCAGTGATCTAACATATTTGTTATACTGAACACTGGTCAGTATTGGTGATGAGCTTGCTGTCCCTTCACTTCTAAGGAGCATAAGCAGATTAAATACTTTTTACATTATTAGAGAATTTTTATTTTTTTTAGGTAAAATTTTAGCTTTTAACAGTTTGAACAGAAATCAACAAGTTTTCATTGAAAATGATTCATACAAGTCAGATTTTTTTCATTTAAGATGCAATGTTCACATCGCAGTTACAATTTTTTTTTAAATCAGTAATAGTTGTAAAGCATATAATTGTTGTTCAATCATTAGAAATAAGTTTAAAAGTGTTAGCTAATGCTATGGTAATAAAAAATTATTTTTTTTTTGCTATATGTTTTTACTGAACACTAACCTAAGATCCCCATTGTCATCAGCTTGGATGTGAGCCACATCTTGCCATCCCTCATCATCTACAGTGTTGTTAACATTGTTATTTTGTTGAGTGGATAAAGTTGGTGATTTTCCTGTAAATATTGTTGAAAAGTATTGATTATCTCCCCTTTTTAAATGTATTTCAAATTGTATGTTGTTTTTTTTTCAAGGGAGGGTAATAATTACATTTGATGGTGAAATAAAAGCTGAACAAAATAAATTGATTAAAATTTGAAAAAAAATATACAATAGAGGTACAAAAAAACCTATTAAGCTGCTTCAACAACAAGGGGAATATTTAACATACCTGTTGGTGATTTGGCTTTCTGTTCTTTGGGTGAAACTAATCTCTCTGAAAATAGTAATAACTGTTGCAATTAATTTATAAATTAAAATTGATTATGTACAGCTTAGGAATTATGTTCAAAGGCATTGGAAAAAATGTATCTAAAAATTGAGTGCCAAAATCAGGACAACTTGTAAAATTTAACATAAAATTGGAGTAAATTTAATGTCACTTTTTCATCACAGGACAAAGTATAATATTTTAGTAATTTGTATGGTTGGAAATAATAAAGCTATTTAGGCCCACTACACTAAGAATAACCATTACTAAGAATAACTACTAAAAAAAAACATATTTCTTTACAAATTTGACAGTTTTCTAAAAATAATATTAACATCAAAAGTTTTAAAGGGGTAATCCCTTTCATTTTTGCTCTAGTTTACCTGAAACTCTTGCTGATTTGACTTTATCCTTTTCATTCTCAAATTTCTCCTCCTCATTTTTATTCTCTCCGCCCTCGGCCTGTTCAACATTGCCAGGTTTCATCGCCTCCTTCTCTTGCTGTTTTGCTGGGCTTGTCTTCCCTCCACTTACAGACCTTCCTGTCTCCTTTCCTGCCTCACTGGTATCCATTTCTTTCTCTTCATCATCTGTCTCATCATCTACCTCAACCTCAGGCTGCTCCTGGCAGAGTTATGAGAAATATGTGCAAGCAGGTATTGAATCTATACTTGATATTTTATCTATGGGACGGCGTGGCCTATGTGGTAGAGCACTAGAGTGCTACCCCAAAGTCTCATTCAAAATCAATAGAACATCTCCGATTCTATCAGGCTCTGATGTGTACCTGACTCTTGTCAGGAAAAGTAAAGACAGCTGGGCAAAGTGCTGACCACACCTTCCCTTCATACGGCGAGTTCAAGAAGTATATGAACTCTACTTGATCTGCCCAATGAATCACTAGGTCTATAGAGGATTCTTTACTTTACTTTATAAATGTTACCTGGTAAAGCATTCTCAATACTGTTTTTGCTGTTGTTGCTATCATAACCCTATCCCTAATGTTAATCTAACTCTCATGCTAAAGACTGTACCAGCAGAAAAAAAAATTGTCAATATAACATTGTTACATGAAGATCATTAATACATAACTTTTACAAATTAGTTGACTGATAAATTTGTTCAATTAGTAACGACATAAATGGGTGTTTCGAATATGCATAAGTATAAAAATTAACTAAAATTTCCATTAATAATGGCATAAAAAATAATAACTGAATTATGAGTAATGTAAAACGATAAGTAAAAAGTTTTGAAAACACCAACTGTTTACTATATTTATAAAAAGCTGTTTATATATAAATAGAAAATAATCATTAAATTTTTAATTTTTTGTAAGAACAGCAAACACAATAAGGCCTATAAATCCCCAATGGCTTAGAACTATAGAGCTGACAGAACAAACTCACCTTATTGGGAGACTTGGGTGTTCCAATGTTTTCTAACAGTGAGCTGTAGTTAATCTCATAGATGTCACTTGCTCCTGATGATGTTTTGAGGATTGGAACTGACCAGTCCACAACTCGACCTTTTGAAATAGAATATTAGAGCTATCATAACATTTAATTATAGTTTAAATAACTCAGATTATAATAACTAAGAGCATAAATTATTATTTTAAATATTCATTTTATATAGGAAAATTTTGAAATGATTTCATAGAACATTAAATAAGGTTATAAATATTTAAATAGTTTACGAGCGTGTTAATCAAAGGAATTTTTAAAGGAGAAAAAAATCAAATACCACAGTGCAGTATTAAAGTTTCAGATGTGTGCAGTCATGTAGCACAAAACGAGAATCAAATTCTACAAATCTACCACAATTAACATAAACAAATGGCTTTTCTCAGAACACCAGTAAGGATAATACAAGCAACTTTTTTTTATGCTTGGGTCTAACTGGTATTATAGCAGTAACCGTAATAAGAATACCAGATTAAAAAAAAACCAATATTACTATATGATATTGCCGCATCTGTGTTCTTAAGAGAAAGGAAGAATTTTCGTCCTACCCTTATAAGACCCTCCAAAGAATCAATGACCTGAGAATCAATTTTTGCCCTACCCTTTTGTCCTACCCTCTCCCTGACAATCAATCTTTGTCCTACCTTTAATACCATTCACAGAATCAATGTCCAGAATGAAAATCGATTTTTGTACTACCCTTTTGTCCTACCCTCTCCATGAGAATCAATGTATGTCCTACCCTTTTGTCCTACCCTGTCCCTGAGAATCAATCTGTCCTACCCTTTTGTCCTACCCTGTCCCTGAGAATCAATCTATGTCCTACCCTTTTGTCCTACCCTCTCCATGAGAATCAATGTATGTCCTACCCTTAAGGCCATCCACCGAATCAATGACCAGAGGTATTCCCCTCTCCCTGAGACACCCTGGCCAGTGGTTGGTCAGCATGGCCTTGCGGAAGTTGTGGTGGTAGCACCCCAGGTAGGTGGCGAATGCTGCAGCCATGGCACACCCTCCAGGTATTGCCACCATCCTGCGCTCGAATGAGTCAAAGATCTGCTGGCACCTTTGTCTTTCTCCACTTAAAATCTGGTGAAGACAGATACTTGTTCTTTAAATTCCATACATATAATTTGGCCAATAATATACAATTTCTGATAATACTAATAAAAAAGATTTTTTTTAAAGTAATAATCACAGGTTTAGCTTATGCTAACTTAAAAACTTAAATATATATATATATATATATATATATATATATATATTATATATAAAAGGGTCTTTATAATTCTGTTTAATGTATGAACTAGGCATAAAAACTACATGTAAAGCTCCTCATAAATCTGTTAAATGTATGAGCTAGGTGCAAAAACTACATGTAAAAGTCTTCATAAATATGTTTTATGTATGAACTAGGCACAAAAACTACATATATAGGTCTTCATAAATGAATTTAATGTGTGAACTAGGCACAAAAACAAAATGGAAAGGTCTTCATAAATTAATTTAATGTGTGAACTAATGCATTAAAAAACAATGAAACCTAAATGATCACTTACCCTTCTAAGCTCAGCAGATTTTTTTTAAAGTAATAATCACAGGTTTAGCTTATGCTAACTTAAAAACTTAAATATATATATATATATATATATATATATATATATATATATATATATATATATTATATATAAAAGGGTCTTTATAATTCTGTTTAATGTATGAACTAGGCATAAAAACTACATGTAAAGCTCCTCATAAATCTGTTAAATGTATGAGCTAGGTGCAAAAACTACATGTAAAAGTCTTCATAAATATGTTTTATGTATGAACTAGGCACAAAAACTACATATATAGGTCTTCATAAATGAATTTAATGTGTGAACTAGGCACAAAAACAAAATGGAAAGGTCTTCATAAATGAATTTAATGTGTGAACTAATGCATTAAAAAACAATGAAACCTAAATGATCACTAACCCTTCTAAGCTCAGCAGCTGTGTCCAGCATCTTCTTCATGCGAATAGTTTTCTCTTCCTGCTCATTTTTGTCAATGGTCGCCTCCTCAAAACTACGAGCCAAATCTGCCAGTCTTATTTCCAGAGCCTAAGCCATGTAAAATAAACTTTAATTAAGTTTCTAATTTAATTAAATTAATTATTATATGTAGTTATAAATGAATTAAAATTTGAAATATAATATATATAGTGGCATATATTATAAATGTATGTTTCATTTAATAGTCATATTTCTGCGGCCCCTTATGTCTTGGACACAAAAAGGAAAAAAAAGAATAGTTATATTTTATTATAATAATAAAAAGCCTTATGTTACATCAAACTCAAGTTTAAAAGTTTTTAAAGATCTATTCCTTTAAGCGGAAGCAAATTTTAAATTGAAGACCTCACAATATATTTAAATTTTTGAAACAATTTGAATTTTGTTATGCTATTCATCCTATACAACACACAAAAGTCTCGTGTTTATTTTGTTCTGTACCTTTCTTTTGGTCTCCAGGGTATTCATTCTGTGCTGAGCATTGTCAACAGCCTGAGTTGTCTCCTCTACCTTCTGGTGCAAAGGTTTCACTTTAGACAACATCATCCTGTGGTACCTGTTGGGGAACAACAACTTTCTGTTAGCAACATACTCTTTATCTAACACTTGGTACTGTCTTTTTGTGTCTATGTTTGTGTGTGTGTGGGGGTGGGGGTGTGTGTATGTGTGGGTGTATAAGAAATGAACAACCTACCCAACAACCCCTCTGACCCATTTACAGAGGGAGCCTTTTATCTAACACTTTGTACTGTCTTTTTGTGTGTATGTTTGTGTGTGTGTGGGGGGGGGGGGGGTGTATAAGAAACTATCAACCTACCCAACAACCCCTCTGACCCATTTACAGAGGGAGCGTTTTATCTAACACTTTGTACTGTCTTTTTGTGTATATTTGTGTGTGTGTGTGTGTGTGTGGGTGTGTGTGGGTGTATAAGAAATTAACAACCTACCCCACAACACCTCTGACCCATTTACAGAGGGAGCCTTTTATCTAACACTTTGTACTGTCTTTTTGTGTATATTTGTGTGTGTGTGTGTGTGTGTGGGTGTGTGTGGGTGTATAAGAAATTAACAACCTACCCCACAACACCTCTGACCCATTTACAGAGGGAGCCTTTTATCTAACACTTTGTACTGTCTTTTTGTGTGTATGTGTGTGTATGTGTGTGTGTGTGGGTGTATAAGAAATGAACAACCTACCCAACAACCCCTCTGACCCATTTACAGAGGGAGCCACAGGCCGAGTTGCCAGTTTTTTGTGCCATTGTTTCAGGATCAAATGAAGGTTTCTTTAAGTATGGCTCCACAAGAACCAGGGTGGATTCTGGTAGCTGGAAGTCATCAAATGTGCTGAGTTCCTCAATGAACCTGGTCAGGTAAATAAAGAATCAAATGAAAGTAAGCCTATAACTTGATAAAATAGGTATATCAACAGACAGCCGATTATAGACGCAAAGACTTTAAGTTTTAATGTTGGAATCTTAAGGCAGTCTTTTAGTCCACCAAATTATAATAGGTACCAATTCAGGGGATGTAAGTATGCATATGTCAATATTGTTATTTCAGTAACAACCCCGCTTCCTGGTAAATTCAACAAAAATGTAGACATTACATTGAAATTATAACCACAGCAACCAAATGTAGAGTGAAAATAGAAGCACATTTTTTAAGGTAACACTATCTGTATATTTCAGTGGTTTTATATTTTACCTGTAGATAGTTATTGTGTAAAACAAATAGACTACTAAACGCATTTCTGACCTTTCTAAGTTAGCCATTTGTCTTTTTGCACCTTTTTGCCAAGTCAGGTCAGCTGATGGTGATTTTACTAATGAGAGAAAACAAAAATCAGTTTTAAAATACATATTTTCTATTTCATATTTATTTTTAGAAACTGTTTTTAAATATTAAGGCCTGAATTATTTCTGAAAATGTCTATTTCATATTCTGCAGAAATTGTATTCATTGGATATTTTATTGTAGAAACTAAGGATTTTGTTTTTTTCCAATAGGGCAGTAGTATTTTTACAACACAAATGCTTACACAACATGATGATGGTAGACATGAGACTTACACAACATGATGATGGTTGACATGAGACTTACACAACATGATGATGGTAGACATGAGACTTACACAACATGATGATGGTTGAGACTTACACAACATGATGATGGTAGACATGAGACTTACACAACATGATGATGGTTGACATGAGACTTACACAACATGATGATAGTTGACATGAGACTTACACAACATGATGATGGTGGACATGAGACTTACACAACATGATGATAGTTGACATGAGACTTACACAACATGATGATGGTAGACATGAGACTTACACAACATGATGATGGTAGACATGAGACTTACACAACATGATGTTAGTTGACCCGAGACTTACACAACATGATGATAGTTGACCCGAGACTTACACAACATGATGATGGTTGACATAAGATCTTCTGTATCTAAGGATGGTTTCTGCATGGCCCTGAGCTCAGCCAGCTCATTGACATCCATCAGCTTGATGACTTTCTTGGTGTCTGCAACTATTGCAATGGCCTTGTACACTGCTCTTTCATGGGCCACTTGATACTCAGGGAGGCGCTACAAAGATTACATTGTAATACAGTGCAAATTATCAAATAAGATTCAATATATATGTCCAGTTAAAATTATACTTAAGAAATAAATGAATGATTAAATTAGCTTTAGATAACATTTGTCCAGTTACAACTTTGTATGAGATTGGAATCCCCAAGGAAAGAGGAAAGTAGGTAGTGCCAAATAAAACTTGGAAAAAGGTCAGATTTAAGTTAAGCAGAAGCAGCTGGAATGTCATGGGCCTAACTTGAAGAAATTGCCCAGAAAAGAGTACAAAGGAGAGGTGTGGTTGCATCACTATGCTTCACAAGGGGTCCACATGGATTATAATGATGATGAATTATATTTGACTTCAAAACAAATCCTAAAACCAGCCTTATAGTTCAGGCTTTCTAAAATCATGTGTCTAGTACTATTTATTGGTACTATCTGAAGACTAGACAACACTTACCTTTTTCAGCCGGTCAATTTTTTCCATTTGATTCTTGACCACCTTGACCTGCTGTTCTGTGATGGCTGTGTCTTGACCAATCTGGCTCAGTATTTTTATTGTTCCCTGCAGCATAGAAATGTGTGTTAAAACTTTGTTTTTATTCTGACAAACCAATTCAGGAACAAATAAAATATGTTTGGTCTTTGAACTAAATATTATTAGAAAATTCTGATGGAGTAAGTGTTTGAGTAATATAGTATACTTGTTCAAATTATAAAGCTTGTATTTTAGTCTGCACTCATGCAACAAACTTTTTGTAGTGTTTGTCATTTACAATTTACGACAGAAAGATGATTTTAAAATTCAAACAATCAGCATTCTACCTATGTCTATACCTAACAATGTCTGAAAGAATGATCTACCAACATAGAAGACTGACATTAAGTCAAAGTATTGACGATCATTCATATACAAATGTTAATTGAAATAATAAAATAAACTTTGTTGTGATGTTCATAGTCTTAATTTTTTAAATGAGTTTTTTGTGTGTTCATTTAATTCAGGAGCTCAGGCGCATGGGGATTTTAAGTTCAGGAGCTAAGGGTTCAAAGGGTTAAGTCATTTTAATTTACTATTGATTTCAGCTCCTAGCCCAATCACACCAGTACCCAAACCCAACAAGACCATCACTCACAGCCTTCCTCTACTCCCCCTACCCCACCAGTACCCAACAAGACCATTACTCACAGCCTTCCTCTACTCCCCCTACTCCACCAGTACCCAACAAGACCATTACTCACAGCCTTCCTCTACTTCCCCTACCACACCAGTACCCAACAAGAGCATTACTCACAGCCTTCCTCTACTTCCCCTAATATTGATTTCAGCTCCTAGCCCAATCACACCAGTACCCAAACCCAACAAGACCATCACTCACAGCCTTCCTCTACTTCCCCTACCACACCAGTACCCAACAAGACCATCACTCACAGCCTTCCTCTACTTCCCCTACCCCACCAGTACCCAACAAGACCATCACTCACAGCCTTCCTCTACTTCCCCTAATATTGATTTCAGCTCCTAGCCCAATCACACCAGTACCCAAACCCAACAAGACCATCACTCACAGCCTTCCTCTACTTCCCCTACCCCACCAGTACCCAACAAGACCATTACTCACAGCCTTCCTCTACTTCCCCTAATATTGATTTCAGCTCCTAGCCCAATCACACCAGTACCCAAACCCAACAAGACCATCACTCACAGCCTTCCTCTACTCCCCCTACCCCACCAGTACCCAACAAGACCATCACTCACAGCCTTCCTCTACTCCCCCTACCCCACCAGTACCCAACAAGACCATCACTCACAGCCTTCCTCTACTCCCCCTACCCCACCAGTACACAACAAGACCATCACTCACAGCCTTCCTCTCCTCTAGAACCACCATCTCATGCTCCAGCTGTTTCTTCAGTTTGATGGCCACCTCGTTCTCATGCCTGATCTGTTTCAGTGTCTGGGTGACAGCTTCATGGGTCAGCTTTACTTCTTTGTTTCTTTCATTAGCAAGGGAAATAAACCTGTGAAAAAATGATAAATTCTAATTAGTTGTTAAAAGAATGTAATTTACTATATAATTGCTATTTTTTTGTCTAAATTCATAATGCGTTTTTATACAGATCTTTGATTTGTTTTTCATAACAATAAGTAAGCTTAAGTGCTGTTTCTATATTTATCTAGGGAAATTTATAAACATTTAAAGGCGCACATTAATTTATTTTTAGAAAGTTGACTCCCTTTTTAAAAATATAGGCGTAGATCTTAAGGTATGGCTTTACAATACTAGTGAATACTATTATTTAAAAATAAATTCTTAAAACTGTTAAATACCTTCCAAAAGAAATGCCATCTTTTATTCAGAATTTTAAAAGTCAATTACCACAGAACTTAACCGAATTTCTCCCATTTTTACAAAATTAGAAAATTTATGTATCAATTAAAATGACTCACTGTTAATCAAAATTTAAAAAACCAACCCTAAATTTCTCAATTAAAAGTTCCATGCTCTTTTCCAGAAGTAAAAAAACATTTATAAAAGAATGTAATGAAAAAATTCTCACACTAATTCAATTTCTTTTTTTTAATTGTAAAAGAGCTTCAAAAAAATTCCTTTAACTTTAATTCATTTTATGGCTTATTTTATAATTTAATAAAAAACTTGGAGTAGCATTGAAAATTTGAACAATACCTCTCAACAAACTTTAATTAATTTTATGGCTTACTGAATAATTTAATAAAAAACATGAAGTAGCATTAAAACTTAAACACTACCTCTCAACAAATGAAAACTTAAACACTACCTCTCAACAAATGAAAACTTAAACACTACCTCTCAACAAATGAAAACTTAAACACTACCTCTCAACAAATGAAAACTTAAACACTACCTCTCAACAAATGAAAACTTGAACAATACCTCTCAACAAATGAAAACTTAAACACTACCTCTCAACAAATGAAAACTTGAACAATACCTCTCAACAAATGAAAACTTGAACAATACCTCTCAACAAATGAAAACTTGAACAATACCTCTCAACAAATGAAAACTTGAACAATACCTCTCAACAAATGAAAATTTGAACAATACCTCTCAACAAATGAAAACTTGAAAAATACCTCTCAACAAATGAAAACTTGCACAATACCTCTCCACAAACTTTTCATAGCTTGTATTGTTGACATGACCATACTCTCCCCTCGACCTCTCCCCACCATCTTGCTGTCTCAGGACAAGGTGCATTGATGCCAGCATGTGGGCCACATTCTCCTTCTGTATGTCTGTCATCCAACTGATCTTCTACAAGTATATTTTTAGTACATGGATTACAAAGTTAAGGAGCAGGAATATTTATACAAAACAATTAAAATAGGTACTGCTGGCACTGGCTTGGGATAGAGATGAGCAAAAGGGTTTGGTAGGTTAAGTGGCTGTTTTGGTGACAAATCATGAATTGTTGCAAAAACCCCAACTGCCCAGAGGCCGGAGGACATCCCTGTCCACCCAGCTATTGATGGGTACATGACTCACGATAGGGAAGGTAAAGGCAATGCCACAACATGCTTTGATGTCATTATTTTTGTGATGGAGGGGGAAATGTGGTTGGGGTTAAAAAATCAATAAATACAAATAAATACAAATGGTAGCTGCAGTGAGATTTAAGCAAATAAAAAAAAGGGAAGTGTCAGTATCCTCATAAATTAAAGAAAATTACATGTACAGTAAACATTTTGATGCAAGGTCTTCATCAGCACACTTCTCATCTTTGGTGTTCATAAACACCATCTCGGTTTGCTGCTTAATTTCTTTATTAATTGTATTAATATTGGCCTATTTAACATCTGTTTTACTGTATTATAAACCCAAAAAAGAAAAAAATTATTTTAGAAAAGGGCCTATCTGTATGATATAATACAAAAGGGTTTATAGAAAATTACATCAGAAAATTGTGTATCTTACATTCAAATGGTACATGGCATGCTCAATGAGCTGTGTCTTGGACCAATGAGGGAACCACAGGAAGTTGACATTTTTAGTGAATGCTGGGTACTCTCTACACATGTGCTGAAACTCTTCAGCACCACCACAGGCAACCAGAATGACACGGAAATTATTGCGCACAGTCCTAAGTTGCAAAAATTATAATGATTTATTTTTATTACTGACAAAATTTGACAAATAATTTAGATACAAAACTTTGCAAATGACAGGCACTTCAGAAAACCAGCTAACTCCTTTAACATGGGACGGTGTGGCCAAGCAGTAGACACTGGACTGCTAACCCAAACATCTCCAGTTCGAATCCGAGTTCATGTCAGTGGAACATCCATGAGTCCACATAACTCTGATGAGTACCAAACTCACATTAAGGAAAGTAAAGGCAGCTGGGACTAGTGCTGACAACATTATCCCTTCATTTGCTGAGGTCAAGAAACATGAACTCTACTTCATCTGCCCTATTGATAACTAGGTCTAATGAGGAATCTTTACTTTAACTCCTTTAACAATCAACAGTTTATTTTAATAAGTAACAGAAAAAATGTTTATGTTAAGCATTTCTTCCAACTTCAAAATTTGAAGTGATTAAATCCCACTGTTCTAAATGAATCAATCAGATTCAAAATTTTTACCCTAAAAACATAACTCAGAGAGGCAAGAATGAAAACTTTAATGTCCAGTGAACAATTAGCTCACATGAACAAATTTAGTAAACAAGAAAATGTGAGTATTGTTACCTCAAGAAGAAGTTCCAGGCCACATCTCTTGTGTAGGTCAACCCTGCCTGCGTCACTTCAGTTCTGAAAGAAGAAATTAGTGACATCTGAATACTGTTTTTTTTATTTAATTTAAACTGTTAATAAATAATTTCTTTTCTGTATATCAATGTTCAACTCTTGAATGTGGGTGGCGGACTTAGGTCTTGCTTGACTTACTTGGCTTATTTCCTTTGTGGCCCCTGGGGAGCCAAGGGCTGCAATCAGGGCTTACTCACCTAATAGAATTTATAATGGTTGTCTGTTCTTCCTGACTGAACAGATGAGTTATCGCCCCTGATATGATGAACTCTGTCAGAAAAACTAAGTAGTCGCTATGTGCCAGTTCTTCTTCCCTCAGGAGTAGCAACACTTTTTCACTCTGAACAAAGCACAGCATTGATCATTATTTAAACTTCATACATATTCTACAAGCAACATGATTATAAATAGACTGGGAATTCCCTATGAAAAGTACAAATCATTGAAATTGTGGGAATTCCCATTGAGTATAAAAAAAACTGACCTTAGTTCCAGCTCTGGTGTATCCAGCCACTAGGTCAGCCTTGAACTGCTCCATTTTGGAAGGTATGGAGGCATCAGGTGCTGTGGGGCTGATCTTGAAGATGGTGAACCCGCACAGGTGAGCAGCCAGTCTGGTGATGATGGAGCACCTGGACGGGCAGCCTTCTGCTACCAGGACAGAGTTGGCGCCTTCGTGAGGGGAGGCTATGATCCTAGCCAGCCTGCAGACTTGTTCAATCACACTCTGCAAAAAAAAAAAAAATTAATTTATAACATTAATCAAACATTATATGGCATGGCGTGGCCTAGCGGTGTAGTGCTAGACTCCTTGCCTGATAGTTTTGAGTTCGAATCCAGGTTCAAGCTAGTGGAACGTCCCTGAGTCCACTCAACTCTGATGGGTACCTAACTCACGTTAGGGAATGTAAAGGTGGCTGGGCAAAGTGCCAGGGTCAAGTAACATATGAACTCCACTTCATCTGCCCAATGGATCATTAGGTCTAAAGAAGAATCTTTTTTTTAATCAAACATTATGCAGACCAAGGAAAACCTGGAGACATGATAGGGAAAAAGACACAAATAGATTGGATACACCTGGAGACAGTAGAAGAGACTAGCCCAGGACAGAGATGCCTGGAAAGCTCTTGTCTGATGCTTATGTCCCAGGAGGGGAAAACAGGCTAACCTAAAGAACAATTAAAACTGATATTTGAACAAAAAAATGTCAATTATATTTTCTATAAAATTACTTAGAACTTAAATGGTTTAATAAATTACAATGGAATTATTTTATTTTAAAAAACGTCATTGTTGCTTTTTTTTAATAGAAGAATAATCCTTTTAAAATTGGATAATATTAAATTTTTAAAAAAAATAATAAATTATACACAACACAAATAATTCTACATGATAATACTACCTCTCTGAAAAAGGAAATCAAATTTCTACCTTGTAAAAGGAAAGCTTGATACTTGGGAGTATCTTGTTGTATTCCTCCAAGCCTCTCTCCAGGAGTTCTTTAGTAGATGCATAAGATTTAGCTGGACGATACAGGTCAGTTTTGGCATCCTCTTCTGACACATTGGCACTGCTGCGAGCATCAATCATACCAGCGGTCACCACTCCACTGTCTTGCTCAATCAAATTGGTGAACAATGGGGGCTTGGGTTTGATGATAGTCTGGATCTGTTTAGAGTGCACATTGTTTTTAATGTATACTTAGAAAAAAATCAATGCAAGCCTTAAAACATTCATAAAAATTCATAAGTGTCCTTGATGGGGAGCAGGGCATCACCCCCTCCCCCTCCCTAATAAACACCCAACTTGCGATTTTTTACCAGATCAATCACCTTAAAAATTACCAAAATAGATACAATAGGACATTACCCCAGGGTCAATTACTTCTACCAAAGTCATTAAGAAATAGGATAAATTAGGGATAAGAATAAAGTTAAGGATAGGAATAAGGATTGGCTAGGGTTGGGTTGGTTAAGGAAATTGTTAGGGATAGGGTTATGAAAAGGGATGAAGCTAGATATAGAGAAATATGGAGCTGAATTGAAATAGGTATAGGGATTGGGATAGAGATACTGAACTGGATATGGTAATTACCCAGGGGGTAAATGATTGGAGGGGAAGGATGGGAGGGGTAATGTCCTAGACCAAACCTTCACATAGTTTATTTACTTGTTTTCTTTTTATTCTAAAAAATTCAGTTGCAATATTTAGGGACAGTGGCAAAAATTTGAGAAAAATGTGTGGATAATTTTGAATGCAACACTTACTTGGTCATCATCAATGAACTGTTTTCTGACGGCTGTGACAAATGCCTGCCGGAACCTTCTAAAGTCCACTTCATTGACCATGCGCTTGCCATATACCCAGAAACATTCATGCTGCCATAGCAACAGGAGGTTTCTTTTATTGCAGCCTGGTTGCAGGGAGAGGCAGATGTTCCTGTTGAAGGAAATATTTTAAAAGTATTGGCTAGGTTCTTGTTAGATTTTGTTGTTGTAAAGTAAGGTCAAAATAAATAACAAATGCAATAAGTGTTTTAAAAAATTGGTATCAAATATTTCTTTAATATATACACTTTAGTATAAATACTTAGTTTTTCTCCAAATTTTACTTTAGCTGGTATTTTAAAGTCTCTACTAAAAAAAATTTAATTGCAGAACTCACATATACTGTATACATTTTTTTCTATTTTGCTTTTGATTTTAACCTCATAAACTATGCTGGAATACAATTATAATACTGTCTATGACAAAAATTGATATAACCAACATTTATTCCATGATTTTTATCAAGTAATTGCACTTGAGAATCAGAGTGATACCTGTTTTTATCAAATTGCTTTTATATACTCTCGCATCAATAATGCAATAGTTTTTATTTTTTATTTTACAGTTAGAAAATGTATTAACTGACCTGAAAATGGTGCCCAGATCTCTGGCAGTGAAGATGTAATGGCACCTCTGAGAGGTGGGGAGGAACATCATCCTCATGCGCTCTGACAGCTCGACCGTAACCTTGACGATGGAGCTGACAACTTTTTTCAAGGCCTCCTCCTCAAAGCGGACCATAGCCTGGGCTTTGTCACCGTGGTCAGTGTGGGGGACAGCTTGAGGGGAGCTCTCAGGGGTGAAGAAATGGGTTGTGAGAAGGGTGCTGAAGATGGTTTGTAGCTCATTTGATCTGAAAACAAAAGAAACAGTTTATAGCTCATTTGATATGAAAACAAAATAAATGGTTTGTAGCTCATTAGAACTGAAAACAAAATAAATGGTTTGTAGCTCATTTGATATGAAAGTGAAAGAAACAGTTTGTAGCTCATTTGATCTGAAAACAAAAGAAATTGTAGCTCATTTGATATGAAAATAAAATAAATGGTTTGTAGCTCATTTGATAAGAAAAAAAAAGAAATTGTTTGTAGCTCATTTGACCTGAAGATAAAAGAAATGGTTTATAATTAATTTGATCTGACAAAAAAAACAAAACAAAGAATGGGTTGTAGTTTATTCAATCTGAAAGCAAACAAACAATCTATATATATAATTCTCTTCTGGGAGCCGCTAAAAAACAAGCTGCAAACGCGCCTAGAAAACAAGCTGTAAACCCGCTCCCTACCTCCCCACCCCTACATGGTTTTAGTGAGCTGTGTTCACTCTAAATGTTTACAAGCAGAGCCAACGATTTTAAACGTAGGGGGGAGGGGGGGAGGAAAGGGGGGGGGGGGGGGGTTATGGTCCTTAACGAGCTACTTATAGTGTTTTAAAGAAATATTTTCAGTGGCAGCGTTGGTACTGTCGAATTCACAAATTATGAATAACTGAAAAGTAGAAAAAACAACAACTAAATAGCGGCGTATGTTATGCCGCGGGCCGGCTCGTTTGTTATAAAGTGCTAAGATGGTTTGTAGCTTGTTTGATCTGAAAAAAAAATTAAATTGATTTAAATAAGGTAAAAAACAGTTTTTTAAAACTTTCAATCAAAATGTAATAAATTACCCTGGGAATGGACAGCCAAACACAGCAAAATGTCTCAGCAGTCTCTGGCTAACTGGTGGCACATCTGCCGTGGGGCGAGGGTTGACAGATGTCACATACGTGACGCTCTTGACGTAGCGCCAGGTGTGATTTATAGGACTGTAGAAGCCACCGTCATCCAGGTGTTCTCTTATCAGTTCACAGGCTGTCTGGAAGCCATAGCTGTCAGTCTACACAAAAACAGGGAAGGGGGAAATGTTTGAGAAATATTAAAACTATATGCTAAATATTATAACATTAGGTTTAGAAATAGGTTTTATGGTTATTTTAGTTTTCATCCCCAACCCATGCCCTTAACATATGTACATTTTTGCGTATGTAGATCAATCAGTGTATACGAAACTAAACAAATGTGTATGTTATAAGAACATTAAATTTAAAGAGTAATTCCAAAAGTTAATAATATATTAAAAGTATAGATAACATACATAAAATATTGTATAAATAATAAAAATATGATACTTGTGTGTGTAGTATTTGTAGGTGTAACTCAAGTGTACATATGTTTTTTAGAATTCTTTTAGTCTTATACCAACTTTTCTTTTATTAGAAGGTACATAACTCAAATCTGATCTTCCCTTGCACCTACCTGAGATAAATTGATGTCATCAACCAAACACAGCAGTCGCTTGTTGCCTTTGGGGATGTGAGTTCTGCCATGTTTCCACTCCAGACGCTCATCCAGTTGGTTGAACAAAAGTTTAGCATTGGTGAACCTAAACAAGCAATTGTGTAACTGGTACTGAAGTTGGTTGAACAAAAGTTTAGCATTGGTGAATCTAAACAAGCAATTGTCAACTAGTATTGAAGTTGGGTAAACAAAAGTTTAGCATTGGTGAACCTAAGTCATTGGTAACTGGCTTTAAAACTGGTGATCTAAATAGTCTAAATTAACTAACAATAACAATAGAAATACTAGACTATTCAAAACATTCAATAGGAAACTATGCTATTACTACATTGCCCTAGTTAGCCTTTGTTAAGTAAAATTTGGTAAATTCAAAATGTGTCCATTATATATAAGTAATTAAAAGCAATAAAACTAATAACTGATTGGATGTAGCACATGTGAGAAAATAATTTTAGAATATTATTCACAAAATAAACTAGGCACTGTATTTTACTGAAGTAACTGTATGTTAGGAAATAATTTAAAATATTATATTCCCACAAATCCAGGTTCAAGTCTAGAATATCCCAGCTCTGATGGGTACATGACTCATATTAGGGTGAGTAAAGGTCGCTGAGCATAGTGCTGACCACACTATCCCTTCATATGTTGAGGTCACAGAAACAGGTGAACTCTACTTCACTTGCCCAATGTATCATCAGGCTTGAAAGGGAACTTTGAAGCTAATCAAGTACTGTGAACTGTGCTACTAACCTGTTTGCATAGACAGTAAGGGAGAGAACTTCAGCAACTTCCCCTGAGCACACAGTTCTCATTCTTTCATTGATAATGGCTGTTTTGCCACACCCACTCTCCCCAACCAACATGACTGGTCTCCCTGCATCAGTCAACAGCCCCAAGAGATGAAGCAGTTGCTGGATGGGGGGGGGGGGGAGGTAAGAAATCATTTTTTATTGAATAGCTTTTAGGTGGTACAATCAGAAATGCATAATTAATGTTTTTAAACATTTACAGTATATGATTACAGTAACGCCAATGATAAAGCTAATTCAGACTCGAGATAGCAGTAAAAACAATGGATAATACATGTGTATCAAATTAATTGAAACAAATTCATATCAATTGTGTTTATTTTATTTAAAAACCCAAATTGACTACTATCTAAAATCAAAAACCCTAAATAAAAAACCTCAAGTAAATAATAAATATTTTGTAGACCACCTATACAGAACTTTATCATTTATTTCTAATAACTTTATCTCTGCCTACTATATACTAAGTTAGACATACAAAAGTAGCAAAATATTGGTATTTTACAAGAAAGAATGTAGACAAGATGTTTACCTCAGTATGGACTGTGTGAACAAATGCATCTTGTGGGATTCCTCTGTGTGGGGTACCAGTGTAGGAAGGAACAAGCTCACTCCATTTGCAAAACTCATGTGTTTCATTGTCCACAATATAATCAAACACCTTGAAAAAATGTCATGAATCAATAATATATCTAAATTAAACTCATGTGTTTCATTGTCCACAATGTAATCAAACACCTTGAAAAAATATCATGAATCAATAAAATAACTAAATTAAACTCATGTGTTTCATTGTCAACAATATAATCAAACACCTTGAAAAATATCATGAAAAATATTTCAATAAAATATCTAAATTGAACTCATGCGTTTTATAGTCAATAATGTAATCAATCACCTTAAAACAAAACTTACAACAAATATGTGAATAAAATTTCTAAACTTGTTTTCTATTAAAAGTACTATGGTCTTAATGATGTACAATGGATGCTTTTAAGCACATAATTTTGATTTTGAATTAGCAAATATTGGTGATGCTGTAGCCTGGCTGTAGAGCCCTAGCCTGCTAACCCAAAATCAAAAAGTCTCGAGCTCAAATACACTTTCAAATTAGTACAATATCTCTGAGTCCACCCAGTTCTAATGCATACCTAACTCACGTTAGGGAAAATAAAGACAGCTGGGCATAGTGCCGACCACACTATCCGTTCATGCGAAGGTAACTGAAACAGATCAACTCTACTTCATCTACCCAATGTGTCTTGGGAACAAATGGGAAAAGAGTAAAAATTTATTTTATTTCTTATGATCCATTCTCTGTTTTGGAAATAAGAATACAATAAGCTTTCTTTGACTAGTTGCATTAGTGTTATACTTTAAGAATTACTATCTGTTAAAGTAAATATATGAAATTGACTATTTGGTAAGAGTACTATTTAGACTTGACTGTATTTGTGACAACTGAAGTTGTGTGGCCAGTTAGAATTACTTTCACAGGTAAATTCTGGTGAACATAAAGGTTAATGGGACCCAGAAGTCCTATATTCTTTCACTGTGAACTGTACTTAAGTTAGAAATATAGAATTTGACAACTCAACAACGCCACTGTTGCTAGTAGAAATAAACCTGGTTGAGTGATAATAAACTAATAACATTATTTCTAAGATTTACTCACAGTTCCATCACTGGGGTAGTCAATGTGATCTTGGAACTGTTCCTTCCACCAGTTTGAGAACTCCTCCCTGTGTTGCTCAGCTAATGTGCCAGCAAAGGCCCAGACAGCAGCAAAGTTGAAGTACCTCTCATACTCAACATCAGTCAGGTCATTGAATGGGTTGATCAGAACCTGAATCAATGTATGTATATATATATATAAATATATATACTTATAAAAGTTTAGGCCGAGAAAACCGTATTGTATATATTTCATAGCGTACGTAGCTCTAAATCATACTTGAATGAAATAGTTCATTTCTTTATTTTATTCTAAACTCGGAAGATGACGTCATTAGTTTCGTGCTCTTTTTTAGTGTAAACATTAAGTGACGTCATTGTTAAATGCGCTCTTGTGCCAACAATAAACCTTTTTCTGGTTGCATAATTAAAAATGTTTTTCTACATTTGAATACGCCTTTATTTTTTATTTTTCTTCTTTGAATAAATTTTTTTTATTTTTTTATATTTTTTTAAGGCTAAAGTTTACAGCTAGAGTCTGCTTCACAGTGACAATGAATGCATCTCAAGGACTGAACTCTCAAGATAGCTTATATTGACCTCACTAAAAACAACTACATTAAAATTTTTACAGTGTGAAAGCACTGATTACCTCCAGTAAATAATCACTTCAAGTGACATGTAGTGTTGTGTTGTGAGAGTAACTTTGACTGAACTTACCTCAAGGAGGTTGGTGAATGTTCTAACCATGTTAACTAAAGGATGGGAGATCACTCTTTTAAACTCTGGTAGTTTCCCTTTGGGCTTCTGCTTGCTGCCCAGCATGGAAGGCTGTGTACAGCTTGTCACATAGTCAACCACAGTTTCTATGTAAATGTTGCACAGTTCTGGAACAAATGAGTTATGTATTGATAATTAATTACAGGTCTCGTCAGGGTAAAAATTAAATGACTTAAGAATTTTGATGGAGAAATATCTGAGATTAGTACGGATGTATTCTACTACCATTAGAGTTTTCTAGGTTTAAATTATGTATTAAAAATAACTATAGATTCAGTTTTTATAATTTTTATATTACACGACTGAATTACGATTAAATTTGAAAATATGATTTTGCGACTGATTTCAAAAAATTATTTCACTACCTGATTTTACACAGTCAAATTTTTGTTACATTTACTAAACTTGGAATTGTCACATATATATATATATATATAACATGTCACATGTACTTGTCACATATATATAACATGTCACATGTACTTGTCACATATATACATGTCACATGTACTTGTCACATATATACAACATGTCACATGTACTTGTCACATATATACAACATGTCACATGTACTTGTCATACATATACAACATTTTCACATGTACTTGTCACATATATACAACATGCTACATGTACTTGTCACATATATACAACAAGTCACATGTACTTGTCATACATATACAACATTTTCACATGTACTTGTCACATATATACAACATGTCACATGTACTTGTCACATATATACAACAAGTCACATGTACTTGTCACATATATATAACATGTCACATATACTTGTCACATATATATATAACATGTCACATGTATTTGTCACATATATCCAACACGTCACATGTACTTGTCACATATATACAACCTGTCACATGAAATAGCCTCCTCAACATGTCTCATCAAACACTAATCTCAAACCAGAAAAAAAATCCCACTAGCCTGTGAGCAAGTCCTTGTCTGGTTCATTCCTGTGCTCCAGCCACTGAACCAGCATCAGCTTCCACCCCACATCACTGGGGGTCATCAGCAGGACACCTACAGTAGCCAGCAGGGATGGGGCCATGTTTTCAAGACTCTCCAGCTGAAGGAGGTATGTTTTAACATCCACATTAAATACACAGAAACAAATATAAAGTAGTTATTTTAGGTTCTGCTTCGTTTTTTATGGGTATACACATCAAATAGAAACAAATAGCTATATTAACATTACATTTACAATAATTAAAAATTATAATTAATGTAGCTTCTCTTTTAAAAGTTTAACAAAAAAAAACATTCTTTTAAACTTTAGATATCTATGTAGAGAATTACTTTTTAACAAATGCATTTAAGTTTTATTCTGAAGTAAGTTTTAAACCTACTACCAAGCTATATCTGAATACACACCAAGATGAAATAGTATAAAAAAAAGAAACAAGTTAATTAAAAAGTCTAGTGACAATTTTAGCGCAATTTCCTTATGTTATCTAAAAATAGCTCTGTCGTAGCGTAAATCAAGAGCAGGGTTAGTAAAACCATTGGTTAGTTATTAAAACGTTTTTTATCAAATTTCTTTTTTCAGTATTTTACATGTTTTATTTACAATAGAGTTACATAACTAAAAACCATTGGGCGCCTAGCTACCGAACGTGATGTCGCGGCCATTGAACGTGATGGCGCAGCTATTGAACGTGATGACGCATGTGGTGTGGTTGGATAAAAATGCCTACTAATTCGGTCCAAATTTTAATTAATTCAAAAAATTTTTTGTGACCGAACGAAAGGATATTTTTGAAAATTTTCTCTGGCAATATTGTTCTAAATTACGGCAGGAATCGATTGGTACATGTTTCAAGTCGCTAAGTGGTCTGGTTGCCGAGATATGGGCAAAAAACTGCATTTTTTTCGAGGTTTTTTGGCTTTTGCGGGAAATCCATGAAAGAAACCCGGAATTTTTTTGGCCTATGTTCATCCTCGTAACTTGCTTAACATAATTGCTTTGGAACTAGTCCTCGATATTGCTTCGTTGTGGAGGAGATACGACTTAAAGCTGCGGACACACATACATCCATACATTCATTCATCCATCCATTCCCAGAAATGACGAGTTAATAAACGCAATTCTCCAGAATGGAAATTGCGCTAAAAAATATATCAGATTTTTAAAGAGGTAGAAAAAAAAATAAGACACTATGCAAGTCCTTGTATGTGTTACCTCCCATATAAACTTGAGTGTGTCAGGAATGCTGAGCCTTTCATTGTTGGGCAACACCACAGAGCCTGAATGGTTGAGTATGGTGTAGATGAGCTCTAGCTGGTAGCTGTCACACTAGGAGACACAAATTGTCTTTTAATTTGATGAGTTTTAGCTGCTTAATTAACTTTTATTCTACTAGGTGGTAAAAAATTAGTTAAATGTGTGGTTGCAGCCAGAGTTTCTTCCAGGCATCTCTTCGGGGGGGTCTTAGCCCCCCCGAAACATTTTTACCGCCCTCCCCCCCCCCCCCCCCCCGAACGAAATAAAATTTATATAATTTATATAGAAAATATATACTTTTAACAGTTTCCGCCCCCCCCCCCCCCCCCCCCCGAAGAAAGTCTACCGCCCCCCCGAAAATTTCAAGTGCCCCCCCGGAGAAAAAAGTCTGGAAGAAACACTGGTTGCAGCCCTTTGCTCCCCAGGGGCCACAAAGGAATGATGATGATGATGATGAAATGTGAATATGTAACTTTTTTAGTGTTAAAGAATTATAAAGTGTTATGAATTACCTCCCCATCCAGCTGCATGATCTTCATCATAGATTTGTTACTGTTGGATGATGTTGGTGCAGTTACACAGAATTTTCTCAATAGGGCAGTCAATAAGCCATCATGCCATTCTCTGAAGAATTAAAAACATCCATGGTACAATTTAGAATTTTTTCATGAGTGCGACTAGTAAGCCCTCAGGCCATACAGTTAAAGATTTTAGTAATTTATAAGTTAAAATATTAGGATTAAAAACCAAATTAACAATACCATGTGAATATAATGTTTTGTGCATGAGCCTACAGTATTGACATTTCCTTTCTAATTTACTTTTAATTCGTGTCTATGTATAAAAAATGTTAAAAATGAAAACTAACTTTTATATCTTGAAATTTTTTTCTTGTAGCAGTACTTTTTAATTTTGATTCTGTACCATAAGAAAATAATTAAACTATTTCGATAATTGGTATTATCATAGTTGGTAAGAGTTACTGAACCTTGTCTTCTCATCAAAATGTCCCAGGAGCTCCCCACTCTCCACAGCTTTAGTGAAAACACTCTGTACATTGATGGTTTTCCCTCTTTCTCTCTCTGCCACAGCAAATGTTTTGATGCATTCAGATTTACCACATCCAGGTGGGCCAACAACTAGGATCTGTAGAAAATGTGAAAAGCATTCAACTACAAATTGATGTATGTATAAACATGTGCTATTGTAACATTTTTACAAGATGTTGCTGTGCGTTGGTGTGGCCTAGCAACAGAGCACTAGACTGGTAACCCGAAAGTCTCGAGTTCAAATCTGGTTTCAAGTCAGTAAAACGCCCCTGAGTCCACCCAGCTCTGATGGGTACCTAACTTACGTAGTGGAAAATAAAGGCGGCTGAGCATAGTGCTGACAACCTTATATTTTATTTTATTTCAATTGCCTATGATAAGAGACCATCTTAAAAAATAATGCTCTATAGATGATAGTCTGATGGACAGGAAGTTAATAGATATGATAACTGCAAAAGTGAAATGAGTTTTTTAAAATACGTGATGGTAGATGCAGTGTGCCTTATGTGATTGGTATTAAAAAACAGTAATAGCAACCTCACTATTTAGGACACTTTAACAGCAAGCTAACACATTACAATGTAATTATTACTTTCCTAAAATTGTGAAGTTGTTAACACTGTTCTTTGGATGATAAAAGTAGTTTATAGAAATTCCAAATTTAAAATATGTATGACACACTGCATCTATTTCGAGTTTGGAGATTAGAGCTCTGTCAGATTATACAGTTTAAATTTACTCTGAATATAGCATTAAAGTAAAGTAAAGTTCCCTTTCAAACCTGACGGTCTATGGGGCAAGTGAAGCAGAGCTCACTTGTTTCTGTGACCTCGGCATATGAAGAGATAGTGTGGTCAGCACTATGCCCAGCCGCTTTTACTTTCCCTAACGTGAGTTAGGTACCCATCAGAGTTGGGTAGACTCAGGGACGGTCTACTAGCATTAAAGATAAATACTTTTTCTTTCACATTTCTAGCATAAACAAGTGATGAGAACCAAATTTGTTACAATTCACAGACTGATGGACAGCATTCAGGTGGGACAGCTGCATTACTCTGGCACATTGTAAAATTTAAATTCACTCTGAATATAGTATTAAAGATAAAAACAATTTGTTCCACATTTCTAGCTTAAACAAGTGATGAGATCCAATTTTTTTACAACTCACAGACTGATGGACAGCATTCAGGTGGGACAGCTGCATTACTCTGCCACACAGTAAAATTTAAATTTACTCTGAATATAGTATTAAAGATAAAAATGTTCCACATATCTAGCAATAAAAAGTGATGAGATCCAATTTTTTTACAACTCACAGACTGATGGACAGCATTTAGGTGGGACAGCTGCATTACTCTGGCCTGGAAGGCAGTGCCTGGAAGTAGGCCAAGGTCAGCGGTGGCCACGGCAATGGCATCGTTGATGTCACCCAGCACCTGTTTAGCATCTGGGTCATGTAGGGGTGAAAACTTGGCCGGGTCCAGGTGGAGGGACGGGATCACAGGTGTGTTTAGGCTGATAGAGTCTGCGGGAGGCAAAGGTTTATTCATTATTCAAAGATTAATTATGTGTAATTAAAATAAGCAATTTTGTGACAAATTTTGATTTTGAAAATTCAAGTTTTCTTCAAATTAATGCTGTGTTTAATAAATAGTTTGAAACATTGTGCAAAAAAATGTTTTTGGCTTACAAAAAGGTTAAAATATAACTAAAATTGCTAATGATACAACAATTATAACCCACAACTTTTGCATTTAATTAACCAAAAATAGGTTATGAGAAGTGAAAGTGTATTCTCAGGACTAAGCAGTTTTAAGCAATAACCACGACATTTCTTGAATTCATCCCTATATCCTTGAAAGCTTTGTTGTATTATTGAATAGGGCTGTAAAATATTTCTTAACGTAAGAAATGTATCTATATCTAACCTCTGATTGATCTCTCTGAGTCATAGCTCTTGGATGATTTGGCTCGTGTTTGTTGTCTGGTCATGTGTGAGGCTCCATATCTCTGGTTGCCTGGATCTGCCAACATTCAAACACAACTATAAAACTTCACTAAATACTTTTGGGTAGTGATCAATTGTATTGTAGTGTACCTTTCTCCATAACAACAGCCAACATTTTAACACAACTTTAAAACTCACCAAATACCAAATACTTTAGTATGTTAAACCTTGAGTAAGTGATTCAGAGTATAGTGTCATAACTTATGATGCTAACTTCCCTACACCCATCAACATTCAACCAAAACTTAACAACTTCAGGAAATACTTTTCTTAACCCTTGAGTAGTGATGCATTGTATTGTCATACAATCCCCTGATTTAACCAAAACTTTAAAACTTATCAAATACTTGTGAGCATTAACCCTTAAACTGATGATGCTGTGTACTTTGTTATACCTTTCTTTATCAACTATCTACCAATATTTAACCAAATCTTTAAAACCTCAGCAAATATATATGTAGGGTCTTGCATAAAATCTTTTGTATTGTGTCATACCTTCTCCCCTCCATCAACAACATTCAACCAAAAAACCACTTTAAAACACATCTAATAGTTGTGTACATTAACCCTTCACGAGTGATGCAGTGTTATACTCTCCTTTATCAACCATCTACCAACATTCAAACTAAACTTTAAAAGCTCAGCCCATATTTAGATAAAACCTTCATTTGTGATGCAGTGTAATGTGTGTCATAACTTCTTCAACCAACTTTTAAGTAAAACTTTTTATATCAAATATGTGTGTACATTAACCTAATGCAGTGTATTGTAAGTCATACATACCTTCCTCCCTTACATCTGTCAACTTTCAACCAAAACTTTAAAACCTCAGCAAATGCTAGTGTAATACTTAGATAAAATTTTTAGTAGTGATGTAGTATATTGTGAATAATGCATACCTTCCTCCCCTCCAAATATCATGGGCAGCTCCACATTAGGCCAAAGGTCATTTAGCAGAGTTGCAAAGACACTGGCATCACGAGATGTCATCCTAGGCAGGAATGTGTCACGCAGTGCCATGGCAAGGGATTCTTCTTCCTGTTGAAGTCTTTTAGGGGAGGCAGTCAATGCACCTGATGTCTCAACTTCTCCTTGAAAAGTAAAACACTAAACTTTTATGTTATAGAAAACAAATACTATACTCTTTTAAAATCACTTATTCTAAAGCAAGCAAAAATTATTATTTTATACATTGTTTATATTATTTAGTAAAAAAAAATAGTAGCTATACTGAGTGTGATGGGGGTTTATGTATAACCTCTCTATATTCTGATCTACTACTATTCATACGGCAACTATTATATTCGTGAGGAGGACGGGAATCACTCTTATGTTCCACAGACAATTATCAATGTCAACAACTTCATTTATGAAATAACATGAACTTTATTAACACACACTTATAGATCATTTGCACAATATCAAAGAATACGTCCGTCTTCTACTAAATCTAACCCCCAACTAACTTCACTGCTGCGGTCTACGTCATCAGTACATTGTCGCGTCAAGCTCATGTCACACTCGCGCCACAAATATTTTATTAAACACGCGCACAATACTCTCGCACCAAATCGTCTACCGTCAAGTTCACACCGTCCTTAGTAACCTCTACCAGTCCAGTCCAATTCTATATATCTACGCTATGACACTGAGCAATATATACTTAGTATTACAAATTAAAAACCTCACTTTTTAGGACAAATACAATTGTGACTTAGCTCATTACATTATGACTTTTCTAAAAATATAGTTGCTAATGCCATCCTATGGATGATAAAGGTAACAATAAAGGTAAGTTAAAAGAAATAAGATTTACCCTCTTCATTGGCACCTTCTGCCTCTAGTATGGTAGACAAACCAGTATCTGTGAGAAATTACATGGTCTAGTTCAGTACTAAACTAATAGAAAACATCTTATTTTGTTATTGTTTTAATTCTTATCCCAAAACAGCACTCTAAAAAGTGTATTAATATAAATAAACTTCATATCAAAATCAACAATTAATGTTTAGAAATTTGAAATAAGACATATTATGTTTAATTCTATTAAGTTAAAATCATATTAGATTATTAAGATAATCGTTGAGGTCATTATTAAAATTGTTTTTACTTTTAGTTGTTTTTTTTTTTTAGTTTTAATGTTGATTGGTTTTTATGAAGATACCACCACTTGGAGAATAGTTTGTGTTAATGAGGATATTTCTAATAATATTATTTTTATATCAGAAATACACAAGTGATACAATTTTACTGTATGATAATTTTCTGAGCCCAGAAACTATGTGTCACCTTTCTCTCCAGTCTGCAATTTGTCCAGGAAATACCCAGCCTGCTGTACAACACCCTTCAGGGACTGGATACTCCATCCATAGAAACTTGCGCTCCTTGCTGTTCCTGAGACCAACAATAGAACATATTTTTAACAGAATATCAGAGAAGAATGTTCTTTCTGACTCATGGGTTAGGTAAAATTACCATTGAAAATGTTATTTTCCTATTTGTTTTTAGTATTTTGACTAAGAGCAATAACTACTGCCAACTTATTTGTTTAAGAACTTCTTTTTCATCTTAAATATTTTCATTTAATTCTACTACTAGGATTTCTGACGCTTTTTTATATTTTTAAAAGCATTAATAAAAAGGCAAAATATAAATTATTAACCTATAACCTTTAAGAACTTACCAAGTGTAATATTATTTGAGACAAATGTGTTAGTCCCAAACATGTTCTGGCATGTCTCATATAACTGAGTTATCTTCCCTGCCAGTTCTCTCCCATTGACAAAACCTGAGTGATGCAAGTGATAAAATTTAAATTTATTTCCCCTGCTGTTATGTATTAGTCTCGAGTCATTTAATAAGTAATTTTAATCTGATTGTGAGTAATAGCAGGACGACCATGTATAATGAGCTTACAGGTTAATTAAATTTAACAAAAATCAATTCTTAAAAATTGTTTTAAAAAAATACAAATTTGTATCACCGCAATATAAGTCCTCAATTGTAAGTAACCTGAGACTTAAATTTATTTCATTCAAAATAATTACCTGTAGAAGTGCGCATTATTATAAAAGCAGCTCACATTGAATTAACTTCCTTTGAGTTTAAGATAATTGTTAAATCGAGTAAGCAAGCTACAATTTCAGATGTGTATAAATACTATAAATGAAACAAAAAGATACACTGAGAAAAGAATATAAGCACTAAGGATAACTTTTACTTCAGCAAGTAATACTGATATCAATTACCTTGACCAAACAAGAGAACCTGCAATGATAGCAGCAGATCAGGTTTAGTAAGGGAAACAACTCTAAACTGGTTGAGCAGTGTATCAGGGAGTTGTGCTGCAGCGGATGGATAGATCAACAAGTTGTCAGCATTGCAAGGAGTCACTGGGACAGCTGAATCCATTAATCCAAATATTGCACCCTGTAAGAACACCATAGATCAGTTGAGCTAGTTTCAATTTTTATTTTTTAAAAACTATTTATGCTTTTCAAAAACATTGTTAAAGTGTTTGATGTTTCACACTATTTGTCTGTTAAAAGAAACAATTCAAATAATTAATAGCTCGGAATTTGAAACATTTATATTTTACAGCAACTCCTAATAAAATTCTGAACAAATTTCTAAATTAATTTTCTGTTTAAATCAGAATTTCAGAAAATTTAAAAACTAATACAGAAAAGTCTATATGGGGATGAAACATACATACTCTACTTCATCTGCCCAATGGATTGCTAGGTCTATATTTATAAAAATAAAGATTTGTTCATCCTGGTTACTTATCAATGCTGTATTAAATTCAACCTTTGCTAGTATCCATCACTCTAGCCCTTACCCTAACGGCAATATTGGCACAAAAGTAAATAAGTGTCTTTTCAGGAAACATATAGAAACCAAATAAATTTAAGCTACAAATAATTTAATTTAAAATTTAAAAACTGTGTATGGCCTATACATTAAAAAAAAAAACAACATTAAAGCTTACATAGGGTGAAAGCTGCACATCTTCTGATTGTAAATGTACCACAGGCTTGCCAGATTTCATGGCCTCCATGACAACAGACATCATCTGGGCAACCAGGCTTAAACAAGATGGTTTCAGTAGTGAGATGTCATTGAAGCAGACCCAACAACCTGGTACAAACACAAAAGTTATCAACAAACAATGTGGATACAAGAAATTCTGATACAGAAAATTATTGTATTGTACAGAATATTATTTTAAAAAAGTGGAGTAGGCCTAGAGATATTAAAATACAAAAAGAATTATGAGACGAAAAATTACGAGACAAAACAGTGTTAAACAAAAAAGTATAATATATATTTTTAATATACAGAAAATTATGAAATGGATATTTGCAATTCAAAAAATTACAAAATCTAAAAACATAAAATTAAGAAACAATAGATAAAAAAATTTAAATGTAGTAATTGGTAATTCAGAATATTACATAAAATATTGGAAAGGGGGAGAGAAAGACTAAAATATGGAAAAAAACAATTAAAATACAACCTGTAGCTGCCAGTCCTCTAAAAATGTCTTGAAGCTGGGTGTAATCTGTTGTTTTGGCACAGTTGAAAATGTACAGTGGCTGACCAAGGCACTTGGACATCTCATGGACAAGTTCAAACTTGGTTCCTTCCTGCACAATTTCAATTAATCATAAAGCTACTTACTGAAATTCATCACAGCAAACTGAAGTATATATTTTCATGATTGCAAAAATAAGGCAATTTAAAACTTAGCTAAATAGGGGTGTGTTAATTTAATTTTAAGAAGTTAAGATACTTTTTTAACATGGATTTTTTAAATTATATTTCTTTATAATAGTGAATTTGGCTAAAGAGATCTTGAATTTTTGTATGAAGCTTTTCTGTGCAATTGTGTCAATGATAAAGTACCTGATTTTCTCTATTTCACCTGCATTATTAGCTCCCTTGTCAAAGAATCTACTTTGTAAATAGTATAATAGGTCTTGAATATCTGTATCACTACATATAGTACAGTTAAGTTCCCTGACGGTCTTTAGGGCAAGTGAAGTAGAGTTCACTTGTTTCTGTGACCTCGGCATATGATGAGATAGTGTGGTCAGCAATATGCCCAGACGCCTTTACTTTCCCTAATGTGAGTTAGGTACCCATCAGAGTTGGGTGGACTCAGGGACGGCCTACTGACTTGAACCCCGATTCGAACTCGAGACTTACGGGTTAACAGTCCAGCTCTCCACCGCTAGACCACTCCGCCTCCATCACTACATACACTATAACAGTAAATAGCTCTTTTCCTCTATTTAAGATGGTAAGATGGTAAGAAGGTAAGATGGTAATTTGGCTTTTTGAAACTTAAACAGCACTATGATTGTAACCTACAGACTTACCCGGGGTCCCATACACAACATGCCTGTGTGGGCTTTCACGGCTTGGGCTATCATGAGGAAAACTTTTTCAGTAAGAGGGGAGATAACCTCCCTGTTGGTGGAGCCAAGATACTCAAACCCATACTCAAACTGGGCTTTCATGCACTGGACAGAAAAAAATGAAAACTTTATTTGTCTGCAGTAACAAACATAATGTAAAAAAATGTTAAGAATCTTTGTTGAAACTCACAGGTATGTTGTGATTAAAAGAAAAGTAAATTATTTTTTTATTAAGATATTTCTATAACAAATGTCTAAACATAACAACATTTTAAAAGGAAAGGATGTCTAGTAAGATAAGCATTTTAAAAGGAACATGTCATATGTACACTTTCATATTTTTAAAAAAAAACATGACTAATAATACAAATTCACTAAAGTCACTGAGCAAAATGAACACTTTCATATTTTGAAAAAAAAACATGATTAATAATACAAATTCACTAAAATCACTGAGCAAAATAGGAGACACACATCAAGGCAATTAGTACACTACATTAACATCTAAATTCCCATTCATTAATACAATGAGGGTATAGAAATCTGTAGATCTAGCCATTAATATTACAACCAACATAGATAATTGATGGAATTAACACAACTCATTTTAACCCCTTCATTGACAGGTATGATATGACTTAACTTTAATGAAATAAAGAACAAATACTGTTGGCCCAGTTCTTCTTATAAGGTAAGACACCATATGTAAAGCTGTTAAAGTTTTTGTAATTCTACTTCTGGCTCAGTTGCCTGCTTGTAACTCTTTTGAGGTGTTCAATTCTGAGATAACACCATCCTTGCATGGTTCGGTACAAATTGAGTGAGTGTGGGGAAAAAGCTACTAATTACATATATTAATTAACACTGGCATTAGTTATAGAATACTTACAGTGACAGTTGTGATGTTTCTGGAATGATCATGCTGGTAATTTAATTGAGATTTCCAATCAAAACTTTCTAAAGGTGAGTTGTTGCTAGATATATCTGCCAGTCTCTAAATAAGAGCAAGGATGCAATGTTACATTTAGTCAATTAATTTACTTTAACTGTATGGGACAGCTGTAGAGTAAAAATAAGTTCCGTTTTAGAAGCTAAGAGTCCATGGGGAAAGTGAAGTAAAGTTCACCCGTTTCTGTGATCTCAGCATTTGAAGAGATAGTATGGTAAGCACTATGCCCAGCTGCCTTTACTTTCACTAATGTGAGTTAGGTACATATCAAAGCTGGGTGGACTCAAGGGACGTTTTACTGACTTAAACCTGGATTTGAACTCAACACTTTTGGGTTAGAAAGCTGTAGAGTACATGACTGCAAACACTAAGGTACTGAGTTTAGATGGTGGAGTCTTTAAGATATACCCTAAGTTTAAACAGTTATGAATGCTGACTCAAATCTGAGAATGTAAAACGTGCCTGATATAGTGCTGACAACACTACCTATTTTTATGCTTTAGTCAAAAACAGGTAAACTTTACTTCTTCTACTATTGAACAGTCAGTTAAGGATATTTTTATATACCTTAGACACTGATCAATATTTTATTTTGCCTATAAGGATCAGCTTTTCTACTATTTGTTTTCACAATATCTGTATCACTTGATTGTGAGTTTTTAGTGAAATAAAAATCAACCAAAGATATAGTGGTACTTATTTTATTTATTACATAGAAGCAGTGTTTCTTTTTAGGCATTTCTCCTAGAGAAGGAAGGTGAAAAAGATATCTGAAACACTGAATTTAAACTTACCTGCATTAAATCTCTAAGGTGAGCAAAAAGAGACAAAAGGGAGGTAAGCTTGTGAATCTGACTTGGAAACAGCATCAGTTTTAACTCCCTTAGTTTGTCATCACTGTTGGGTTCATCAGCATCAGAGTTTGCTCCCTTCTCCTCTGTTGGGGGTATAATCATGCTGATGGTGTCAAGAGGAGCTAGAGTAGATGTGTCACCACCTAGAGCAGTCAGATTTGTATTCAATCAGTTTTAGTTTATCTAAATTCAGTGTTCAACTAAACTAGTTGCATCATCATTATCCCCTTGAACCCCTTACCAAACTAAATTACTTGTGATTAACTAAAAAAAAACAAAGACAAAGGCAATTTTGAGTTGGCCTCCTGTTACTTTTGAGTGTTTTAATCTAGTTGAGCCAGTGTAAAAATTAAACATTCATGTAATGAAATACTATATATTGTTTTATATTTTTACTTAACGTTGCTAATTCTGCAAGTTTAACGCATTAAAGACCATTGGCCTACCTTCCAACAGTCTTGATCCCATTTCTTCTTCAGTATTCTTTTGTATCTTTTCATTGTTCACATTTTCATCAGTTGGTTTCTCCAGATTTGGGGCTTCAAATTAAAAGAAACAAAAAAATATAGCAAGAAACAATATGAAATATAAAGATAGTTTAAAAAACAAAATTCATAATAGATCAATAAACTTTTAAAGGAAATAAGTCAATCAAATTTATTTTTAGTTTAAACTAATAATCACTGGTGTCAATTCTGAATCATTTTTGTTTAGCCTAATATATATGTTTGACCCAATAGTATCATATTATTTCCTATCATATAAACTAATCTTAATTACAAAGTTTTTCCTGATGTTAGCCTGATTCTAAATCTAGCCATAAACCTAACCCCATTGTGTAGATTGCCTCAAACAAGGCGTGTTTATTTTCAAAAGTAAGTTCTTTTCATTTAGGATTTTAACAGAATTTTGCCACTGGTATTGCAGTGGGATGGTGTGCAGTGCCGGCGCCAGGTTATTTAACACCCTAGGCAAAACTTCTTGAAACGCACCCTTTCACCCTAATTAATTACTAAAACATATGTGTAAGAAAACAATTAATAAAAAGTGACGTATTAATTTATTATCAATTGCATACACATTATAAGTAGACATCAAAATCAAATTTTATTTGCCTCCTTCGTTTCAAAAGTTTATACTAATTCCTTCAATTCGAGTTTGCAAGCATTATTTCATTTTATTGATGTTGTTACTAAGTCCACGAGTCTACTTTGTACTTAAAGACATAGCACCCCCCTTAGAAAATTGTAAGTGCTCTTTCCACCCCCCCCCCCCCCCCCGGGAGAAAAAAGTCTGGGGAAAAAGCACAAAATTCTTGTAGTGTTGGGCTCTCTGCAGCCCTCCCAAGGGGTGAGTTCCAAAATGGAACTTACCTGTTTTAAGCTTAACTGTCATTAGTTATAATTGTAAAATGTCTATATTGTGTGATTATGTAACATTTTTTACTTTCTCGTATATACGTAGTAGCCTATAGAGAAAGTATTGTAATCATGCAAAAAAAAAAAATCGAGATTTTTACAAATCTCGACGGAAAAACATAATTTTGCAATCTTGTCCGTATGTCTGTGTGTCTGTGTGTGTGTGTGTGTGTGTGTGTGTGTGTGTGTGTGTGTAAACACGATAACTTGAGTACCGTTACAGCTAGGTTGATGAAATTTCATATATAAGTATTTTATCAAAATCGTAGATCCGTATCAACTTTTGAGCAATTTCCGATAACCGGAAGTGGTACTTTTTCTACTTTGAATTTTTCAAAAGCCTATAACTTGAGTACTATTTCAGATAGATAAATGAAATTTCACCTGTAAGTAAAAGATCTAATTCTCTACCTTGTGTTAAATTTTGAGTAATTTCCGTTGACGGGAAGTACTAATTTACGCTATTTCCGATTTCCCAAAAACGCATCTAAATTTATAAAGTACTAATAATATTGCGCACCATTATGAACATCTTTATTCGGCGTTCGCTTGGTGTGCAATACTTTTTTCTATGAGATTCTATTCTATTTTAAAAAGTTTAAGTATTTAAAATGGATTAAAAATCATAACTAGATCTATATCCCGAGTTCCCACCCCCTGTTGTTTTATATAAGAATATTTGAGAAAGTTTAGGGGAGATCACTCCTGGTTTATTTTTTTGAGAAACAAAAGGTTATAAATGTTATAGATTTTAGACTAAAATTGTTAAATTGTTATATATGAATCCTTTAGGAGAGGGTGAAAAACATGAAAAGACAATTAATTAGATGTTTAATTTACAGCTAAGACTCTATGTCTACTAACATTAAGTATTGCAATCTACATTGGCTACTGATGTATTATTTCAACTTGATAGTGCTAAAAGACCTACCAAACTATTTTGTTTAGAACTTAAGCTCTATATAATTTTTAAAATAGCAAATAATAACTTAAAGTTGTATTTATATGTAAGCGGTCAACCTATGGTGCAGGAATTTGAAATGAATGTGAAGTTATGCAACGAATTATCTCCCTTTTGAAAATACAAATACCACAATTTGATTCAAGGGAAATAACTTTCACAAGAATAGCTCAATTAACCAAGTGTAACTAAGACATGCTTGAAAAACACAATAAAACGCTTTAAATTTCAAAACGTAATAATTATAATAAATCTTTTATATTAGCTATGTAACATTGTGAAAACAGTATATTTTACCTATTGAATACTTAACTGTAGGTTTTGTTTGAAAGTCTAAAAAGGTAGCTTTATTATAACATACTTCTATTCTATTTTCATGACATACATTTAATTGTGGTATTTGCCCATGATAGCTTTATTAAATTTGGGATCCCCTAAATGAAGGGAAACCTTTATAAAAATTCAAACACTGGTAACTGTTTTAGACATTGCTAGAATTATTGATTAAATATAAAAAAATATAATTTAAGAAAAAATAAAGTTTACGGTTAGTTATAAATTCCATCCTATTTAATATTATATATTAATACTTTAAGAGAAGTAATATAAATTCATTTGAAACATTTGAAAAATTTAAATTACTAACTTATTTAATCGTTTTCTACATCAATTACGTGACACCAAATTAAAAAGGCAAAGTGACTAGAAAAAAGTGCCCCAATCTTTCCAATTTAGGGAGGTGGGGTTGCATTTTCACCATCGCGAATAAATATAGGCCTATATAGACCTAATTTTGGGGTGGGGGTGCAAAATTGATAGTTCGTCCTGGGTGCCGAAATAGATCGCTACTCCTTTATAAAATTTATTAATTATTAGGTACTTTTTGATAATAGCGATTAAACCTTTTGCGCCCCCCTAAGGATGGCGCCCTAAGCAATGTCCTAGTTTGCCTTATAGACAGCGCCGGCCCTGATGGTGTGGTCAGATGTTAGAGCACAAGACTGCTAACCCGGGGTTTGTATCAGCAAGCACCCCTGAGTCCACCCAGCTCTGATGGGTACCTGACTCACTTTAGGGAAAGTACAAGAGTGGAAAAAGTGTTGACCACACAATTGCTTTTTATGCCACAGTCACTGAAAAAGGTGAACTCTACCTTACTTTTTAATATGGGTATTTCTAATATGTATATAACTTTATGACTTATCAATGATATTTCTAGCTTCACCCTTCAAAGCTTCAAACAGATTCACATCAGACATTCTAAAAAGTCATAAATGAAATAGCCATCACCATGTTGTAGGCCTATTTTAATCCTTCTTCTCTTTACACCTTTAAAATACATCAAGTGTAGATATTTTCCTATCTTAACAGCCATAATAAAATACTAAGCAGAAATATGTTTCATACCATTTTGTGCATTTCTTTCCAATGGAGTAGTTGTAGCTTGTTTATCTCCTTCTAAGCCTTTCAACAGTAAAACTGTAGCATTGATGCTGGCTTCAATATTTTTTAAGGACTCCTGTATAGATTCATATAATTCTGATTGATTAGAGGTTCATGCATTATCATTTTTATTACTTAGGGTCTACACTTTAAAAAGTTTTTTTAAACGGAAAATAATTCCCAGGATGCATATTATAACTATTTATCTTTAGTATATAATCATTTATCATAAAGATAAAAACAGTTTCATTTTATTTGCTTTGTGCCATTATAAATATTTATTTTAGACATAGGGTTTTTAGGCTAGAACCCATTATAAAACATCATTTTTACATTTTCATAATATGATTTATTTTTATTTCATGCTCTGACAAACATGACCATTAGCAAAATTGTTATGAAATAAGAACAATTTTTTTACGCAATATAATTTTCACATTAAAATTAATTGTCAAAGGTCATAAATAGGCCTACATTCAAATAGAACAGTTAAGGAAAAAATTACCACCCCCCTTAAGCCAAGCCAACCCCCCACCTTAAGAGCCTCTCTGTCCCCAGCTGCAAACTTCTCCAGGGCAGACGTGATCTTGTGGGTCATCTGGACCCGGGTGGCCAGGTACACGATCTCAGTCACATGATCCAAGGTCCAGGACTTGGCCCTCTCAACACCGAGGAGAGAGCTGACCCTCCCATCAGTGGGGCTGTCTTTTCTGTTCTCACTCTCAGCTTTACCAACTGTCTCTGGTGTCTCTTCATCCCCCTTGTCTGTTGGAAGATGATGGTTAATAAATGGTTAAAAATAGCCTCAAAACTATACATTGTAGTAGTAGAGTTCCCTTTTTAATCCTGACTAGAAGTTCTTTATATTTTTTAAATAAATTATTTTTAATTTAGAATTCAAACAAATTGGATTTAAAATATCCAGACAATTATCTCCAATTAAGAATGAAAGCTATTAGGTAAAAAAAATGGTCAAAAGATGATGTTGGAAGATGATGGTTAATAAATGGTTAAAAATAGCCTCAAAACTATACATTTAGTAGAGTAGTAGAGTTATCTTTTTGATCCTGACTAGAAGTTCTTTATATTTTTTTTAAATAAATTATTTTTAATCTAGAATTCAAACAAATTGGATTCAATATATCCAGATGATTATCTCCAATTAAGAATGAATCCTATTAGGTAAAAAAAAAAGGGTCAATACAGCAGGTGCAGAGTTCACCTGTTTCTATGAAATTGGCATATGAAGGGATAATGTGGTCAGTTCTATGACCAGCAGCCTTTAATCAAACCTGAGTGGACTCAGTGATGTCTCATTATTAAGTAAAGAGAACAAACTTTTTAAATTTCAAACGAATGTTTACCTTCTATTGGGATGGCAACTTTTCTGGCCCCTGCACTGTGAATGAGCCGTGTTTTAGGTTTAGTGGCCGGCTCAGACCCCAGGGCATCGGTCAGTTGGGACTGTAGGGTGGAGCGTAGCTGGGCCAGGAGGCTGGAGAGCCAGGACTCTACCTGACCTTCGCAGTTGACTGGCTGCTCATGTCAATAGGATGTAATTAGTTTTATTTTATTTTTTTGACATTTCAAAAGTGAAACAATCATAATACTTAAAAAACACAAACGTTCTGACATAAAGTAATTATTCTTTTTGATTTGAAGATCCTTGGAGTATATACAGTAAATCATGTTTCCGTGAACTTGATTATGTGGAAATAGTGCAATAAAACAGGTATTCATATGAACTGGGTGCATGCAGGATTACTGTACGAACTCAAGATCGGAAACTGAACTCAAAATATGAGGAGTGGTACTCACAGCCTTTAATTTCCCAAATTAATATAGGTACCCATCTGAGCTAGGTGGAAGAATACCTTTTGAACTCAAGACTGGAAACTGAGCACAAAATTTGGGGGTCTACACTTTCTAAAAATGCACCACATAGATGTCTTTACTTTAACCAGCTACATTTTGGTACCCATCTAATATGAGTAGATTCAAAATTACCTTATAAACTCAAGAACTGTAAAGAGTGCTTGAGATTTAAGGATTGGCACTCACACCTTTTAACACTGCAAAGTACTCAACCTTACTGTCCAGTACCACATTTAAACAAAGTCTGTCCCCCCCCCCCCCCTGATGAACAATTCCCTCACCTGGATGAAGTTTAACCTCTCCCCTAGGGCACTCTGCACCCCTGTGATAGCAAAGTTACACTTGTCATTCTCCTCCAGCTCCTCGTACTGCAGACAGCCAACATTCTCCAACAGCTTGCTGATGTACAGGTTCACCATGCTGAGGTCATAGCCTGGATAAAAAGTTACAGCAGTTTAAATTTGTATCTACAATCCACCAGTTCACCATGCTGAGGTCATAGCCCTACAATGTTTTACAGCAGCAGTTTATGGTGAATTGTTTCCCAGAAAAATGCACAACAGAAAAACATGCAATAGAATAATGTGAAAATACAATTTATTACACAAATTCATTTTTATTAGCCATATTTCATAGAAAAAAACTTTATTAAGCTACAACGTATGAGCGGCAATTCTTTGCAATTGTCTTTAAACTAATAAAAAAAAAAATTTCTTCAGTATTTTTTTTCTTAGTTTTTTGTTCTGTTATTTTTGGTTGCACATTTTTCTGGTCACCCTTATAGGGCTGGTAAGTAGGTCACCAACCAGTTCTATGGCTCATGTAGGTTTTATTGAGCTGTAGAACTGGTTGGTGACCTACCAGCCCTATTATTCATTAGAACCAAGGTTCTTTCAAGAGCTTACCATTACAGATAATCCTGAGGACATCCTCCATTGAGAGAAAGAAAAATCTGGGGAAAATCTGTCTGCGTCTTTCCAGATGGTGCAGCAGGGATTTGCGACATAGCTCCAAGCTCTGGCTCATGTGCTCAAGGATTTGTAGTATATCTAGGTTAAAGGTTAAATGTCTAGGTTAAAGGCCAAAATCATTGAGTGTCTAGGTTAAAGGAAAAAGTCATTGTATGTCTAGATTAAAAATTTACTACTAATAGACTAAAGCCCTTATAAGTTTAAGATTAGAAAGATCAGTTAGAAGAAGAAATAAATACTGTTTTGGGAAAATTATTGGAAATTAAATTAAGTTACACTTAATTTGGAAAAGGGATGGTGTGGCAGTGTTAAAAAACATTTCTGCCAACCAAAATGTCTTGAGTACAAATTGAGTACAGATCACAGGCTCAAGTCTTTTAGATGTACCTGAGTCAACTCAGCTCTGATGGGTACCTTACTCGCATTAGGTAAAGTAAAGGCCTATCCCTTCATATGCTGATGTCACAGAAATAGATGATCTCTACATCACGTACAGTCCAAAAGGTTATCATGACTTAACTTATATCACAATAGTAAATTTCAATGGAACTGAATAATATTGAATAAATGAGTTAATTACTAGGACAAGAAGAAAAGTTACAGGAACAGCTGTTAAAAATAGAGAAATAAAACAGCCAAAACAAAATAACAAACAGAGTTACTTTTTCTGCTGCAGCATTGCATGACGTTTGGGTTCTTCTCTGTTGCCCTCATCAGCAGCCTGAAGTCTTTGTTCACCAGAGCAAATCTGCTGGCGTCGTTGGCAAGAGCTTGACGCACTTCGTTGCCTGTATACACCTAGAGAAAAAAATTATTCTAATCTACTTCTAACAAAACATATTTTTTTTCTAATTTAATTCTAGCAAAGCATATTTTTCTAATTTACATCTTGGAAATATATAAATTTTCTTAATTTGCAACCCTCTACAACAGCTTGTGTTGCTTATCATCGATTGCTAATTTTGAATTTTTCAGTCAGATTAAAACCATTTTCATTACAGAAAACTTTAATAAATTTTAAAATTAATGGCAATACTCCAATTTTATGCTTAAAATTTCATGTTCTTCAGTTTTGTATTAACCTTCTCCCCCCGCCCCTGGTTAATGTTACCCAGTGCTGCCTGCACCCTCCACTATCATCTTGTGATACTACTGTTATCACTTTATCAATACAAAGAGGAGTAATAACTAGTATAATGTTTTTAGAAACCAAAGATAAACTCTTTTTGTTGGTCAATAATCTAAACCAAATCTATGTCAATTTAAACATGGGTCAAATAGGAATAAAAAAATTGCCATATATAAAAAACACATAAAATAAAACAGACTTTTGTATAAAATTATACAAATTCACTATTAAAAATTATAATTAGGCCTATTCAATTCAAGTATTGTGATTAACTGTTGGAAACCTTATTAAAAGTCTTTGAACATGGAATTTGAAAATAAACACAAGACCACATCTAAACAAACTTCAAAAACATGAGATTTCTTCTACATAAATGTTTTTAGATAGTTCTAACCTCTTCCATCTCCACCCATTTTTCTTGAACCTCCAGCCAGGTCTGCAGTACAGCCTCAATGGTCTGGAGCCTCTTCTGCCACTTGAGAACCTCGTCCAAGAAGGAGCCAGCAGCAGAGTTGGACTGCATGGCCTGCAGGGTGATCTGGTGGTGCTCCAGCTCATCAAAGATGGGCTCTGTGTTGGCCAACAGCATTAAGGCCCCTTGTTCCTGCAATAGTTTATAGTGGTTTATAAGTTAGAATTTAAAGATATGATTTAAACACACTCTTAACTTTGTTGTTTCTTTATTAAACACTGTATCATTTGAGCATCAGTGCTCTTTGACCCAACATAAATATATAGTCATATTTTTAAATTTTAAAAAAAATGTGACAGATAATAGCATAAGTATTCCTTCGTCCAATAGGATCGGTATTTAAACATAAAGCAAACAATTGACTTGTTTTCTTTATTTGACATTTTAACTCTTTAAGCTTCATTTTAGAATCACTGCACTTTAATATTTTTACAAACTTTAACCTTTAAAAATATTGCCTACGAGCTATCCATTTTATTTCTTATCTATATATATATATAATTCTCTTCTGGGAGACGTTAGAAAACAAGCTGCAAGCGCGCCTTACAGTCCCCTCTCTTTCTCTCTATCACTATCACATTGTCTGGTGAGCTGTGGTCACGCTAAATGTTTACAAATCACATTAAGCAACTTGAAAAATAATCAGTATCAATTATCTCATTCTCGTGCTATGTGCATTAGAGATGCATGTATTTTACAGCTGAACTAATGATTAGAAAACTAGCTATATCTAATTTTCTAAGCTTACCTCCCCTAGATTAAGGAGGGATGCTGGGAGTGATGAGACACTGCCCCTCTTATTCTTGCTGTGACTGCTCTGGTTGCTTGTCCTGCTTGTGGCCCTTGTTGTTTTAGTAGGGGGCGCTGTCACTACACCTGTTGCTTCCCCTTGGCTGTTATCACTCTGGCTATCCTGGATCAGGATTTTTAAAATGGTGTGATTAAACAATCAATTTAGGATTGTGTGGTCGAATTGTAGAGCACACTGCTGTTAAAATGCAAGTATGGCGTTTGGAACCTGGGCTAAAGTTAGTAGCATGTCGCTGAGTCCATCCAGCTCTGATGGGTACCTGACATGTATATAGACCCATGTAAGTGAATGACAAAAGTCATATCTCATAGCCATATATAATTTTGTGGAACAGTGTGGCATAGCAGAAGAGCGCTAGACTGCAAACCTGCAAGCCTCAAGTTTGAATCCAGATCAAGTCCACCCAGCTCTGGTGAATATCTGGCTCACATTAGGGAAAGTGAAGGCGGTTGATCACTGTGCTGACAACACTATACCTTCAAATGCCAAGTTCATAGAAATAGGCGAGCTCTTGATTCATCTGCCCCATGAAACACCAAATTAGAAAGGGTAACTGTACTTCCTACTTAAACAATAAATAAATAACTTCAAAAGTTTAAGTCTATTACAATAAAATACAGTACCCCTTAAGCTTGGCCTAAGGGGTAGCTATTAGGCTTCTAAGTTCGAATCCGGGTTCAAGTCAATAGAACGTCCCTGAGTACACCCAGCTCTGATGGGTATATAACTCATTTTAGGGAAAGTAAAGGCGGCTGGGCATAGTAATGACCATATTCCCATCATATGCCGAGGTCAAGAAACATATGAACTCTACTTCATCTGCCCAATGAATCGTTCGTTGTAAAGAGAATTCTTTACTTTACCTTACCCTTTGAATACCAAACATCCAGTAAGGGATTACATTGTTTCAAGCTCCTACCTGAGTTGCCTCTGAAGACACCACTTGGATTCCAAATAACCAATAAGAAATTACAGTTGCATCAAAGTTCCTACCTGAGCAGCCTCTGGAGGGACACCTGCTTTAAAATGGATATGGTGCTTGAGCTCAAATATTTTTCCCAGCCAAATCTCCTCATAGGTTTTCAGAGCATTCTCAATGGCCAAGTCCTTGATGGCCCTCAGTACAATAGCTCTAACATCATCCACATGTTCTGGAAAACACAAAACAATTTTTTACTAATTAATTTATTATAGGATAGAAATAGACTTGTCTGAGGTGGGTCGGTTTGTTAGAAGGTGTTGGGATAAGAATTGTTCTTCAACATTAAGTGTGTTACGGGTCATTTGTAGGTTAGATAGAAATAGGTTAGAATAATCTAGAATTAGGGGAGAGTACGTGTGTGAGCTGAGTTCACCCTACTATGTAGTTAACCCCGGTGTGTTTATGTATTGTTATTGCAAGGTCGATTGCGGTATAAAAGCTGGAGTGAATGGTTGTAAGGGGTCAGTTGGTAGCGGTTAGGGCGAGGGCAACCCTGTAAAGTTAAACGTGAAACTAAATAAAAGTATACTATATGTGTCACAAATTATTGTTGAGTTGAATCAAACCCCGGATGTAATGAAGTGGGCCCACTGTCAATGGACAATTCATCAACAACACATTATCAATTTAAAATTTTAGAAGCACTTTAAAAATTCTGGATGGCATGGTTGGGTGGTAAATGTTTGACTGCTAACCCAAAAGTTTTGAGTTTAGATGCAGGGATAGAGTTCCTATGATGTCCCTGAGAACATCCAGAATTGATAGGTACCTGACTCCCATGAGGGAAACTAAGGCGGCCTGGGATAGTGCTGACCACATTATCCCACTTTATGCCATGGTTACTGAAACAGATGAACTCTACTTCATCTGCCCCATGTGTCTTGGGCACACACAGGAACAGAAGAAGAAACCAGTAAAACAATGATAAGTTTCTTGAACATCTATAAAATAGTCAATCTTACGCTGCAGGCCAAGACTGAGAAGCTCCTTAAACGTCATCCTCTTGAGAGAATCATTGTCTATGGTGAAGGCCCCGCCTGTGACTCTCACAAGCTGTTTCCAGTGCCTGGTTCTCATGGCTGGGTTGCTGAGGTCATCAACCAATGGGAGGCAAGCCTGTATTGAAAGTTTAATAAAAGGTAGAATAAACAGACAAATATATATTTAATGAAAATAACCTCAAAAAGATAAAAGCATTACTTATGCAAAAAATGTTTTAAAGCAACATTTTCTTATTTATAAAGAACTGTAAACATTTTTCTAAATAATTATACAGAACTTGTATGAATATATCCAATGAAAATGTAATTTATCTTACATAAAATGTATTACTCATAGGGAATTTGTTTAAGATTTGTTATTATGCTTTTCCCTCAAATTATGCTGTACAGTTCTATCCATTGAAGGACTTTTTTTTCATCTCTCAAATCTTTGACAAGCTTTATGTCAATGATAATAGCCTTTCAAGCTCGTAAGCAGTTGAATAATCATTTAGACAAACATAATTAGTTGTAGTTAATTTCAAAATCTAAAACTTGACAGTACATAGAAAAAATCTATTAACTTATTTTAATGATTCAATTATTTGAAAAAAAAGTTTATCTTTACTCTTCTTTCTTCTTCTTCGTTCTTAATTTTAGAGTTGGAAGGGATCCTCTCCAACACAATTAAGTATAAGTGTCAACTGGTTATGCGCCATTGAGGCCATTGACTCCGATTTCAGCCTGCTTTTCTTTTTGGATTTGCTATAGCCTTTGTCCAACCAAAAAACAAACTACAATGCAGCAGTTGTTTGATTTTGGAGATGTCTCTGCTAAAAGAGTTGCTGAGCCTCTTCTGCCCGAGGGTTCGTACTAGAGACTTTTCTGTTTAGCAATCATGAGCTTAACCGACTTGACCACACCGACACCCTTATCTTCACTAATTAGTTAACTATTTATATACTATTTATATACTAGTGAAATAGCTTGAGGGAACTAAAAACTTAAACAAAGATCTCTCACCTGTATAGTGATAATGGACTCATGAAGTCCCATGTAGACATCCCAAGCATGAACATCTTCAGGTAGCCCCCGCACCATGTCCATCTGTTTACCTGTCTCTTCCCTGAGTTCCCTAGTGTCAATCTTCTGCCAACGCTGACCCTTCCAGTCTGACTGCTGATTGTCTATCACTCTATTGTCAGAGTATACAACAAATCTCTGTTACTCTATCTTCACATTATAAAATATCAATCTACAGAAAACAATGTTAATATATTTTTTTAACATGCCACAAATGATATGATTTGTAAGCCTATACATATTTAATTATCATTATGTTATAGATTTTTATGTTATTAAAATATTTAAAATCCAAATATGATCTTCAATTTTGTTGCAATAAAAATTCCTTTTTTAAAGTTATATTTTTTTTTTGTTTATGATGTGTAAAACAAAAAAAATGAATCCAAATTTTAAAATTTCTCATCTTACTTCACAGTGTCCCAGACTAGTTTCAAGTTATTCAGTTCATGGCGATGGCTGAAATATAAGAAAATTTTCTTCAGATTCACACATATTTATATACATACCAAGGTGGACATATAGTTATATTTTTATAGACTATATTATTTGTATTCACTGGTAAGATAAATATTTGCACTTTCTTTTTACACAAATTAGCAATATGATAAGACTCTTTATGTTTGGGGAAAGAAACAGTTACTTCTCAGAAGTCTAGTAGTATTAATTTATTACCAATGTTATTTGACATAGATGTTACCGAGCTATTACATTTTAATATTTGTTCAATACTAAAGTTTAGCATACTGTGCTATTTTAATATTAGATAAGGAAGGTTCTATGGTGAATGCTACTTTTTCTTTACAATACTTACAACTGAAGCTAGAATTATAGATAGTGTGTGCAGCACTATACATTGTAAACGGCTCTTACCACACACTGTGAAGTACCTCTTGTCTCACAAGGTGGTGAAGTATGTACTATGCTGAGTAATGTAGCAATAGCTACATGATGTGAAGTAGGAATTAGGTGTAAGCTTGCTATATTAATATGTAACAGCAATTGCTACACATTGTGAAGTAGCATAAGGAAGTAAATGGTGTATATATGGTCTAAACACCTTGGTATGACAGAGAAGCTGACCACAGAAGCTTCCAACAACTCCTGTAGCTCTTTCAAGTCCTGGGCCTCATTCTCCAATACAAGCAGCCTTTTGCTAAAGCCCTCCACAATTTTCTGAGCATCTGCTATGCTGCAATCCCTCTGGTAGATGTCTGAGTTTTGTAGGTCTTCTGAAAGGGAGTTTACTCTCACTGCAAATGCCTCCAAGTCCTGTAAATTTGTATACAATTTAGCAATGATTAAATCTTTAAATTAATTAAATCTGTTTATTAAATTTTTTTAAAATATATTAGAAAATACATTTTATTGATTAATGGAGTTATCTAGGTGAGAGTTCTGGCCCTTCTTTAAATTACTATTATTATACTATAATAGCTGCAGTTTTATCATTTTATTTTATTTATCATGCCCTTTAACTAAGTGTGGCCAAAGGATTATATTTAGAAACTGCTTCTAGTTCATTCAGATTTAATAAACTTGCACTGGACCCTTACTATGCCCAGGCGAAAAGCACTGAACTCCCCATTATTGAAAAGGTGCATTCACACACTATGAGAGTCCAAATAGATATTTCATAGTTAAGATTCTGCCATGAAATTTCACTTTGATTATACTATTACGCTGATGAAGTTCAAGTATTTACATTAATGAGTGACTGCCACACTACTAAGCAAGTTAGAACCAAATAAAAAGTATTTTAAGTACTAAAGGGATGGTGTGGTCGAATGTAAGAGCGTTCAGCTGCTAGTCCAAAGGTCTGGAGTTCAAATTTCAGTCCGGACTCAGAACTGTTAGAGGTCTCTGAGTCCACCCAGCTCTGATGGTTCTGACTCATGTTGGGGAAAGTAAAGGTGGCTGGGCATAGTGCTGACCACACCATCCCTATGTATGCTGAGGTCAAGGTACAGTATAAACTCTACTTCATCTGCCCTATGGATCATAAGGACTGAAAGGGGAGCTTTTCTTTAAAATACTAAAACATTCTGTCACAGTTACAAAAGTAGTGTGTGCTGAAGCTTTAAAAAAATTCAGATTTTATATTTTATAAATTTTCTGCCTTTTTCCATTTTTTACTAATTTTTTATGATGTATTGAACATTTGAAAAACATGAAATTACCTCTATGGAAACAGTCAAGAAATACGCTTGGCCTACCGATACTTGATGAAGGTCAAGATTCTATACACTACTACACATTTCTTTGTTGTCACTCAATTTAAATAGACAATCAAATAAGCGCAATTCATTTCGATGGAATGATTAAAACTGAGTTTCTTTTAGAATGTCAATCAGTAGTGTCCACTAACGGATTGACCTGCCATATTTACCTGTGTTATGCTAGCCGACTCCTCCTGAATCCGGGGCCCCAGTCTCTGTTTGGCCAGGGAAACTTTGGTCTTGAGGTTGTTCCATCTGGTGGGGGCACTAGTGAACAGAGCCTGTGTCTTGTCAGGCAGGGTCTGGGAGTATTTCTTCAGCAGTAGAACCGTTCTGTTCATGGCAGCAAACTTGCCGTCCATCTCCTGCTGTTGGGCTGACACCTGACAAGGTTTAGATGTGAAACATTTTTTAACCACAAAAATTTATTTCATCAAATTTATGTAGTTGCGTTTAGGAATTTCCTACTAAACTAGGGAGAAGTAAGTATATTTACTTCTCCATCACCCATTATTGATTCCTAGCCCCTAACTTTTAAGCAATATTGACCCCAGTCATTTTTCTGTTCTAGGCTCAACAAGGAAGCAGGTTTATCAAGAAAAAGTTTAATTTCATGTTCATTCTCTGAGACTAATTAATTAATTAATTTTTTTTAAATTTCCTCTTCTTTCTCTTTTTTAATTTTTTTTTCCTTTTTACTTGTAGAAAAACTAGTCATATTGTCACTTCCTTTTCCAGCTCCTCACTGAGGGAGGGAGGAAATTTGTTAAAGTCATTTTGATGTGAGCTTGGCTGTAAAGATACTCTTTTTTTTTTTTTTTTTTTTTTTTATAAAAGTTCATTTCTGAAATTTTTACATCAACACCAACTTAACATAGCACACATATTTGTTACACAAGGACATCAGTTGCACACATTTCTACAAAACATGGGATTCAACATTCAAACATATTTGTTCATACTCTCGCAAAAAATTGTCTTTAGTATTTTGTTGGTAAATCTTTTCTTGTCATACTTCGCCTTGTTTCTTGCTTGCCAGATAGTCTGTCTGTATGTCGCTAAGGCATAAATGTTTTTGTCTCTCTCTGTGCCTTCGGTCTTTTTGGGTATTTTATTTAGAGTTATCGCCTCGTCAATAGTCAGGGCTTTATTATCTACCTTGATTTCTTCTTCTAGCGCCCGTTTCGCCATCTGTATTGTGGGGCATGTTAGGAATAAATGGGTTTCTGTCTCTCTAATATCTTTTCCACACAGTACACAACCTGTGTTTCTCTTCTTGTTAGCTGGCATAATTTGGTAGATCGGAGTCAAATTGAAGATCAATCTGTATGTGATCTCCCTCGCTTTGGGTGTGATGGATTTCCTATGAAGATTTCTAAAAGTCTCTGTTGTGTCTATATCGCTGTATATTTTGCACCATTGGATTCTGTTATGTAGTGGAGTGGCTAGTTTCTTTATCAGATGTGAGTAGGTCTTCCGTGTGTTTTCGTGTATGAATTTTTCATTCCCTTTCAGGCTGGTTAGACATTCAATGTAGAAAGCGCTTAATTTCTCTCCTCCGAAATGCGGCGTGCTATTATTATGTTTGAGTATTTTGTTCAGTCTAAGTCCTAAATAGTAATGTGCTAGCGCACGGGTTCCCAACCTGGGGGTCGCGACCCCCCTGGGGGTCGCGAAGGGCTTTCTGGGGGGTCGCCAACTGATATACTAAACCTTAGTAATTTGAAACAAAACATAAATATTTAGAAGAATTTTTGAAATTCGGCTTTACTAACATCACTGGAAAGGGAATAGAGAAGAAGCAAAGCGCACTGTACGAAGTTGTTCTCAGTCACGAGTTTATGAAATCTCCAAAACTTAAACGTCATTTGAGACGAGTCATTCGAAACACACCAAAAAAGATAAGGAGTTCTTTCGTCGGTATGAAGCTAGTTGCAAACGTCAGAGACTTGATCGAACAGGAAGTTTTTACCAAGGAAACACGGCATTAGTGCAAGCATCACATGAAGTCGCGACAGAAAATGCCAAGCAAAAACAAACACAATAGGAGAAAATCTCATCAAACGCTGCATGTTGAAGATGGTGAAGTTAATTCTTACATGTCCGTAGATGTTAAATAACACATTTTTATTGAAATAAAGCTTTCACCATTGTTTGCTTTTCAAGTTGATAAATCAACAGACGTGAGTTCGTGTTCGCAGTTGCTGGTCTTTGTCTATATTCATTCAGATGATAGCAAAGAAGAGTTGCTCTTTTGCGAAGATAGCATGGAAAAAATAAATAGTTTTTTTTTTTAAAATTGGATGAGTAAAATGGGTTAAAACGGCTGTGAGGGTTTGTACGGATGGTGCACCATCTATGTTTAGGTCAAAATCGGGCTTTCAGAAAGCAGAAAAGATTTAGCTCCATAACCATTGCCCTCACCAATCGCCATCAAGACTCCATTGCTAGTATAAGTGGTAAATTATATAAAATCTGGAGCTTTCAAAGAACTGAGCAAAGACCTGAATAAAAATCACGAGGTTCTGCTCTTCTACACTACAGTGCGCTGGCTGTCAAACGAATTGTTGTGAATCGTGTTTTTGAATTGAAATCTGAAACCAAATTGTTCTTGGAAATGCAAAGGAAATAAGACCTTTTGGTATACTTAAAACAACATAGAGTGGTTGGAGAGAGTATCATACCTAGCAGATGTGTTCCAACATCAACATAAGCATAACCTGAAGCTTCAGGGAAAATGAACGAATATTATCACTTTCCATGATTATCTCGGGGCATTTTTTTCAAAGCTGAAAAATCGGCGAAGAAAATAAATCTTGGAAATATTTTAAATTTGAGAAACTCTGCAGTGTTGTAGATGAATCTAATTGTGAGATAATAAAAATTTTGAAACAAGAAATTTCTGGGCATCTTGAATCAAGTGAAAACGAACTGCAGCGCTATTTCTCTGAGCTGAAAAAAAAAAGAATCTGCATTGACGCATATTTCCTTCCATCGATGTTGCAGGCATTCACGATGAATTACAAGATGAATTCTTTGATTTGTAGCATGATTCCGCGTAAGATAAAAAAACTGCACACCTAATTTTGGTGTAGTATTCACCATTCATACCCAAACGTAAAATTGATTGACTTTTCGAGAATAGATCTTCAACACTATTTTTCGATTAAAAACATAATTAAGATAATGATAATGACATAGGTTGGCGTTAACAAAAAAAAATACTTAAAAAAAATTAACCGCGAATGTTTAGTGAATAGTATGCAATTTTACTCATGGTATCAAGAGTAGTTCATATTGAGTCTACTAGAAAATGTTATTTTAGTGCTTATTAATTTCCATACTAATTTCGGCTTTTTAATTCTATGGGGGTCGCGGGTCACTTAATTTTTATAAAAGGGGGTCGCCACTCGAAAAAGGTTGGGAACCACTGTGCTAGCGGATGATTTGGGGGGTCGCTGACTATTCTGCCGACGTGTTTTATTCTGAGTGAGTTGATTTTGGTTTGAATATCATGTAGGTTTATCCCTCCTTGTAATTTATTTTGAATTAATGTGCAGTGGTTAATGGTTCTGACTGTGTTCTTAAAAATGAATTCTCTAATTTTTTGATTGATTCCTTGAATGGTGGCTTTCGGGACGGTTGATGTTGTTGCTACATATATCAACTTGGGTGTTATATCTGTTAACAATGGCCGCTCGTCCAAAGATGGTAGTTGCACTATTTTTATATTTGTTTAGTTTACTACTGATTTTGTCAGTTATCTTTTCCCAAGTTTCCTCGTGTTTTCTATGGGGGTCATTCTCAAAAATTATTCCGTAAATTTTCAGTCTGTCATCGCTTTCAGGTTCAAAGGGTAATTTTGCTTCTCCTTCCATCGTCCTAAGTCCATGATTTGTGTCTTGTCTAAATTTATTTTCGTGCCGCTTGCTTGTCCGAAATCTTGGAAGTGGTTGATTACTGCTATTAGAGATTTTTCTGTCTGTAGGCTAAATGTCGTGTCGTCAGCGTAAGCAAAAAGTTTTCTGTTCTGCGTGTTTGGACAGTCAATTCCTCTAATCTGTGTGTCGAGTCTAATTTTTTCCAAAAGGGGTTCTAATGTCAATATATATAACACAGGGGACAAAGGGCAGCCTTGACTGACAGATTATTTAATTTGGAACGGTCATGTGATGCATCTGTTGATTTGAAGGTGACTAACAGCATTCCTATAAATAATGTCGATCCATGTGCATACGTAATTCCCCAGATTATTGGCTTCTATTATTTTAAGTAAAAAGCTGTGAGACACTCTATCAAAGGCCTTTTCTTGGTCAAGGCTCAATAAAAAGGCTTGTGCTTCTTTTTCATGAGTATATTGGATGAGGTCCCTAATGTAGTGCGTATGGTTTAAGATGTTCCTTCCTGTGATGCTGCATTGCTGGTCTGTGTGCACTATTTTGTGGAGATAAGGCTCTAACTTTCTGACTAACGTTTTTGTTAAAATCTTGTAGTCTGTGTTGAGTAGCGATATAGGTCTGTAGTTTTTCATCTGTTTTTCGTCAGTGTTTGGCTTGTGGATTAAGGAGATGAAAGATCTGTTGAAATTTTCGTGGCACGTTTTCTTGTCTGTCATGTCGTTGAACGTGTTTAACAAAAGTTGCCCTATTTCTGCAGTGAAAGACTTGTAAAATTCTGCCGTTAGTCCGTCGGGTCCAGGGGATTTGTTGTCTTTTAACTGTCGTATTGTTTCTTCGATGTCCTTTATTGTGATAGGTTCATCCAGTTTTTCCCTGTCCGTGTCGTCTAGGCGGCGTGTGTAACACAAATACTCGTCTTCCTTGTCTTCCCTTGTTTGCTCTTTCCTGTACAGCTGCGTGTAGTATTGGTGAAACGCCTGAGTGATTTTACCTTCGTCTGAAGTCTCCTGGCCGTCCCTGTCCACGATACACTGAATGTTTTTGTTTTTCTGAGTGATTTGTTCGAGTATTATGTTGTGGTGTGTCGGGTCTTCTGTTCCTCCTATGTCCAACCTACTCCTCACTAAAGCTCCCTTGTATTTATATTTCGTAATTTCTTCCAGTTCATCTTCGTACTTTGCCACTACATCTTCACTAGCATGGAATGATTTTAGTATGTGCAGGGTCTCTAAACATTCTTTCTCTTTATTCTGTCTCTCGCTCTTCAAATATGTTCCAATTCTAATGGATATTTCCTTGACTTCAATTTTGAAAGTTTCCCAAAGATCTATGAAATTAGTGCTTGGTTGAGTGGTTATGAATCTTGCTATCGTTTCTTTTATATTTGCGATGTATATAGGTTCTGTTAAAAGGGCGTTGTTTAGTTTCCAGTATGTGTTGCGTTGACGTGTGCTAACTGGTGAGTTTAACATCACCAGTGTCGCCTTGTGATCTGTGTACTGTAATGTTCTTTTCAGGTGTACTACTTTCCTAATTGTGTTGTTTGTGTTGACATATACTCTGTCCAATCTTGAGTAACTTTTCCCTGACGGGCTACAGTATGTTGTCTCTATCTTATGGGGGTGTAGCTTCCTAAATGTGTCTACTAGATTGAACTGCTCTATTATTTTGTTTAATGACTGGATTTGTTCTCTGTCCTCTGCCATTCGTATTTCTTCTCTATCGTTTTGAACTATCAAGTCTTTCTTGTCGATGACTAGATTGAAATCCCCAGCCAGAATGATTGACTTGTCCTTGAACTCTTTCTTCAGGGTACGTTTCAAATGCTTGTAGTAGAGCCTTTGTTCTAATTTGACCACGGGGGCGTATATGTTGACAATGGTGAACTGCGTGCTGATGTCCCCGACTGTTATAATCACCAGTCTTCCATTCTGTCTGTGTATGTTTGCAATGTCTTGTATTTGTCTGATGTTTTAATTATTGACGTTCCCTTGCAGTTCTCTCCTAAACTATGGTATGCTTCAGTTGTTTCTAAGCCTAAGCTACTTATAAATTTATCCGTCTTATACTTATTTTTAAAATTAGTTTCTTGTAGAAGGATGTAGTCTGTTTTGAAAGTGTTTATGAGCGATATTATTAGGTCAGCTTTCTTTTTTGCCCCCTTGATGTTGATGGTTATCATTGTGAGTTGTCCTACATTAGTTTTATTCCTCGAACTAGCCATTCTTGTTGTTGTGAGGTCGCATGTATTTATCTAGGGGTTGGTTTTTTCCCAGTGTGATGTTTTGGTGAGTCACCGCTGGGTCGCTTGCCTGTCTTCACCTTGTCATCAGCTGATGTGTGTTTTGGCCTGGCTGAGTGGTCTTTAGGGTTCATGGTTAGGGCTGCTTTTCCTTGCATGAACGCAGCGAACTGGCCGGTGTGTTTAGCGTTATCCGTTGTTTGACTCATTGATGCCGTGGGTGTCTCTGGTGTTTCTTGTGTTAATGGCGTTGTCGTGTCCTCTGTTGTATGCGTCCTGGGTGTTGTCTTGGTTACTGCGGTCGCATATGAGGAGGTAGGCCTTAGAGGGTCTTCTTTGGTCGAATCTTGTCTGTCCATCATTCTCATCTCCTCTACAGCTTTCCCATCAATGTATTTTTTGTTGTCCGTCAAGATTATATCATCCCTTGATCTGATGTCTTCTCTTCTGCACTGGCCTGGGTGATGCCTGCTAGTGTGGCATAGATGGCAGTTTTGCCTTCTGCCTCTAAACAGAAGCAACATGGTGTGGGTAAGATCTCCCATTACCCCTTCAAGATAATGGGGTAGTTTCTCAACCGGCATCTTGGCGTTAATGATTACCGCCCATCTCCTTTTCTGAGAGGTTTAACAGTAATCTGGGTGTTGGGGATGCCGAAATTTTCTACTATTTTTGTAACCGTGTCTTCTGTAAACGTCGGTGGTACCCAGTGGAGTTCACCGTACAACACAGGCTTGTCCACGTGGGTAAACACCACTTGTGTTATGCCGTAGTCATTGGTGGTGAATTCCCTCATGTGGAGAGTGGTGTACACTTCCTGACTTTTAAGGGTGACGTACCACTCTGTGGGCCGTCCTAGATTGTAGACTTTTAAAATTTCATCAGGGTTTATTTTGGTGACAGCCTGAGTTACAATTTCAATAACTCTATCATCCACGTGGATGGTGCTGCCGGCTCTGAACTTTATTTCTACTTTTAAAGTTCTTGGAAGGTGTAGGCTGGTGGGTAGGTCAGCAGTAGCGTACGCAGGGGGGGGAGCAGGGGGAGCGGCCGCTCCCCCTCTGGCCATTTTCAGCAAAGTGGCGCCTTTTTGGAAACTTTTTAAACTCTAATTTTTAAACAATGATATTTGTTTAAAAAATATTTTTGGTCGGCACATCTATGTGAATCACAAGATTTCTTTTCATGCAGCAATTAAGCATTATTGTACTAGTCTAGTAGTGTCTACGTTTACAACACGTATTAACAGCTGCGTCAGTTTGCCATTCTAAAAATAACCATTACAATGCATTGCAATGTTTAAAAAACCTCTACGGTAAGAGGGGTGTTAAGTTTAAGGCAACTGTATAATGTATTTGCTTACGAATAATTGAATTAGAAAATGTTATACATAAAACTTCACACAACATTACTTTATATATACAGTTTGAATCGTGTGATTAATTTAAAAAAAAATTACAATACAGAAACAAATACAACTGATGTGGCACCTCTATTTAAATTTACTTATGAGCAAACTGCGTAGTGGTGGGGAAATTTTGACAAGGTTAACAACATCATCACGATGAAGTAGTAGTATTCTTACAGTTTGGGCGATAGTGGTTACGATTACAAATTATATGAAACAGTTACAACCCCCCTCCCCTATGGACCCCTCTGTACAAAAATGTTGTCATAATACCATTGCTACTTATTTAAATCTATTTCTGTAATATATATTTGTGTAATATATATTTGTGTAATATATATGTATGTTAAGAACAGTCGTCTAAAAATTGACGCTATGTTCACTCTGAGTTGGTTATCTCCCCCCCCCCCCCCACACACACACCTCACCACGACAATTGTGTAGAGCGACATAATGCCACACCTAGGTATACACTGGGTTGGATAATTGACCTACAGTTAACGGACAGTGGTGAATGAAGTTGAACCCACCCCCCCCCCCAACCCACCCCGAATTGATCTGTTAAGTACATGTAGAAAAACGCGTAATGATGTACCAAAGTACCATGCCGCCAGAAAATGAGCTTTTTAAACGTAAAACTGTGAATATTGTTTTTGCAATTACTAGTAAAAAGGTGTGTGATCAATACAGTGATCTAACCCATACCTATCACTATGTTAAAAAATGATCTTAAAAGAATACTATGAAGCAGTAGTTAATTAAAATGTAGGTTCTGAACTAAAAGACCGATGTTCAGTTAAATGTAAGTTGTTATTCCGATTATTTCCTATTATATCGAAAAGCGTGATTTTATACCAACTCTGATTTTAAAAACTTTCATTATGCTGTAATACTTTAGCATTTATGATGACGATATATTAAATTCTGATTATAGACAAAAACATTTTGTAAACAGGAAAAGTGTTAAACAATTTCATTATATTCTAAAGTAGTTATTTATTAGTTTTGATATTTATAATTAAATGTGTAGATATATACATATTTATATTAAGAGAGTGATTATTTCCCCTATTTCACTTGTCTTCAATAATTTCCCAGGAATTATTATGTAAGAAATTTTTTTTTACAAGAATTACAAAACATATTGTGTTACGTTCATTGGTTTTGGTTGTAGTGTGTATATATATATATATATATATATATATATATATATATATATATATATATATATATATATATATATATATATATATAAAATACACGTATATAGAACTTGTTAAAAATTCGGCGCCTTTTTTTTGCTCTTTTCGCTCCCCCTACAACGAAAACCTGGATACGCCTCTGTAGGTCAGGTATGGTAAGTTTAATGGTTGATGATATACTCACTGTGGTGTTTGAAATTTGTCACAGTGAAACACAGAACACAGTCCACGAAATATAAATAAACACAAATCTTGAAACTAGGTCACGTGCAGTCAAGATTATCTTCGTAAGTTATGAAAGAGTATAGAGGGCTATCCATTTTTAAAAGTTGTTAGCTGCTATGTATTTTTTGGTTTTGTTGGGTACATATATCTTTGAATTATTTCTTTAAATACATAGCAAGTATGTTAACATGTGTTTCTAGTAATGAACAATAAAAATGAACAAATAAATTGACTTAATCTATATTTATTAGGTAATATTAGTGAGACAAACCTCGTTAAAGAGTCGCATCATCTTCATGAAGCTAGTTGTGTCCCTTTCTTCACCTGTTATATTTTCTATCTCTGGTTCTATCCTCTTGAGGAAAATGTCCAGCTTTTCCAACATGGATGTCACCTGAGTTGGGAGGTTGTTGTATTTAAATTCACATATAAAGTTACCATTTCTGACCTGATGGTCAAGTGAACTAGAGTTAACCTGTTTATGTGAAAGTATATGAAGGGATAGTGTTGTCATTGCTATGCCCAGCCACCTTAATTTTTTCCTAATGTGGGTCAGGTATCCTTTCGAGCTGGATTGACTCAAAGACACCTTATGGCCTTGAGCTCAACATCTGAACTCCTGACTTTCAAAGTTGGCAGTCCTGAGCTCAACAACCTGGATACGCCATCCCATAAATTCACATGTATCATGTATTTCTTCTGATAATTTTTTTTTTTTTGCTTTGAGAAATTTGAGTTTAAGAGTTTAAAACTTTGCAGTGTAGCATTACTCGGTGTTTCGATACTAAGTCTTATCAACATTGGTCTTAGGAGTTAAGTATCATAACATAAAAAGGTACAAAAAATATTTACAACAGATTTTGACCTTAAGTAGAAAAAGGTTAAGAAAAAAATATCCATTAAGTAATTGTTATACTGTCTCACTTAAATTATATATTTTACACATGTTGGTGCTCCAAGAGTAACAGATAAAGTAAATTTGCCTTTTCAAACCTGCAGGTCCATGGGGCAAGTTAAGTAGAGCTTACTTGTTTCTATGAGTAACTTATGGAGTGATAGTTTGGTCAGCACTATGCCCAACTGCCTTTACCCGAGGACTCAGGGCTGTTATACTGACTTGAACCCGGATTTGGATTCAAGACTTGTGTTAGCAGTATAGCGCTCTACCACTAAACCAAACCATTTTCATAATTTGGAAGTTTTTTCCTTATTGATAATGCACGAACTACTTAGCCAATTAGAAAGAAGGGATTATGGGTTCAATAAACTAATTATTCTTATAACACAAACCTGTTCTGATAAGTAGTTGGTGAATGTCCACATCCATTTTGATGCATATGTTGTAAGGACTTGTTTGATTGGCTGAAGATCAACCCTTATCCAGCCCACATTGTGATGGTCATCAAACCCCATCACCTCATCCCTGGCAGTCTGTGGAATGAGTTACAGGACTTTGATTTTTATGGTCAGTATCATACACTAAAGGAGGTACAAACACAGGACATTGATTTTTGTGGTCAGTATCATACACTATATGAGGTACAAACACTTACAGGACATTGATTTTTGTGGTCAGTATCATACACTAAAGGAGGTACAAACACAGGACATTGATTTGTGTGGTCAGTATCATACACTAAAGGAGGTACAAACACTTACAGGAGATTGATTTTTGTGGTCAGTATCATACACTATATGAGGTACAAACACAGGACATTGATTTTTGTGGTCAGTATCATACACTAAAGGAGGTACAAACACAGGACATTGATTTGTGTGGTCAGTATCATACACTATATGAGGTACAAACACAGGACATTGATTTTTGTGGTCAGTATCATACACTAAAGGAGGTACAAACACAGGACATTGATTTGTGTGGTCAGTATCATACACTAAAGGAGGTACAAACACAGGACATTGATTTTTGTGGTCAGTATCATACACTATATGAGGTACAAACACTTACAGGACATTGATTTTTGTGGTATCATACACTATATGAGGTACAAATACTTACAGGACATTGATTTTTGTGGTATCATACACTATATGAGGTACAAACACTTACAGGACATTGGTTTTTGTGGTCAGTACCATACACAAAAGGAGACACAAACACAGGACATTGATTTTTGTGGTCAGTATCATACACAAAAGGAGACACAAACACAGGACATTGATTTTTGTGGTCAATATCTTAAACCCATCTCACCACATGTAAAACTTGTAAGTTAAATTACCAACAAACTAACCACTCAACTCACCATGTAAGTATCAATCTCCTGGTCAAACTCATCCAAGGATGGAACATTGATTCTTTTTCCTTCTTGCCCTTTAGGGGTTAGGAAATTTCTTTCAGCATTTTCCAGCATCTCAGCTGTGATAGCACTTCTGGCTGAAGAAGACCTGAAACATTGGTTTAATAACTTGTAGTACAGAATATTCCAAGAACACAACACATGTCACTTTGATCAACTAGAAATGATGTGATAACCCATGGCTTAGTGTGTTTATGGGTTTAGAATCAGGTCTTTGATGTAGTGTTTGTGGGATAAGGTCCTTGGTGTTGTGTGTATGGGTTTAGTATCACAGGTCCTTGTGTAGTGTTTTTGTGTGTTGAGAATCAGGTCATTGACTAGTGTGTTTGTGGGTTTAGAATCAGTTCTTGGCATAGTGTGTTTATGGGTTGAGACCGACTAAGACCAACTTCATGAATCATTAAGTTAGTTAATTTTCATGAATTCAATACAATCTGTCTTATCATATTTTCCCATTGACGCTTAAGACACATGGGGTAGATGAAGTAGAGTTCATCAGTTTCAATGACCTTGGCATATGAGTTATGGTGTGGTCAGCATTATGCCTGGGATTCGATCTGGATACTTTTGGGTTAGAAGTTGTAAGCTCTACTATCTGACCATGTGTTCCATTATGTAAGTTCATTTTCATAAATTTAATACAATCTGTCATAAACTCAACAAATATTAACTTTATAATAATCAGTATAAACTTAAAGAACTAGTACTAGTTATTATAGTAAGATCTCAATAATTCAATCTTAATTTCTGCTATACCTAGAAGCTTGAGAAAGCTTTTCAAACTTTGTAGCAGGAAGAGCGCTTTGTCTGCCTGATTTCTGTGCACTTCTTGACCGAAGAATATTTGGCTTGACAACCCCATTGATAAAGTCTTCAAATGTTTGGTTCACATCTTGTATCCAAAGAAATTCATAATCTTTGAATATTTCTAAAAGTTTCTGCAGAAAAAAAATATTCATTAAAAAAGTAATTATTTTAAATTTTTGTTGTATGAGTTTGAGGGGTCATACTTTAGTGATCATTTGTTGTGAGAGGAAGGGGAGTGGGGAGTTAGGGAGTGAAAAGTCCCTGAAATTTAGAAGTTATTATGCATTTTTTAGACTATTTTATAAATTGTAGTAAAAGTTTATCAGGACCATAATGTTGACCCAGCTAAGTTACTATTTTATAAAGAAATTGTGGTTTTTAAAAAAAAAGTATTTTAGAGTGGAAGGGATGCTGGAATTTGTCATCATTTGGAGGATTTGTTTGTCAAAATGTTTGATGATGGTAATAGGGCAAGGTAAAAAACAAAACAAGAAAATGTTTAAATGTAATGTCATTTATGGGCAACACCCAAGACACTACTCCAGAATACATAATTTAGAAAGGACATAATATCTGTTGTTAAATCCCAAGGTAATAATTCTAATTGATATTGTAATTGTAAGAAAATACTAACTTTACATTCCTCACTGTTGTCCTCTACAAGCCTGTTGATGTGAGTAAGCAGATCTTTAACTTCTTCATCCATTTTTATGTAGTCTTCATAGGAACCCTAGAGTAATTAATGACAATCTTAATGTTATTACAATTTTTTTTTTAATATCATATGGAATATTCATTTGATGTATTTGGACATATTCTTCAATTATTTTTACATTTTTTAACAAAGAGATATCAGAAACTAAGTAATCAGAATAATTTTTTAATAAACTAAATTTCTGTTTTTTAAAGAAATGTAATTTGAAGTTACATTATTATATTTACACAAAAATTTAAAGAATAAAAAAAAATTGTTTTACAAGACTAAACATGAATCAGTTTAAGAATACAAGTTGCAGGGTAGGCATATTTTTAGAAAATAGCAATATTAGGACCACATAGGTCAACAACTTTTATAAGTATCACCTTTGGTCCTAGCATTTTGACCAGCTTTCCTCTGTCCAGATAACTTTGTAACCAAGCCTGGACCATCTCCTGGACACTGATGACTGAGGTGGACTGGTCAAGTGGGGGCCGGAAGTCTACATTGCTCTCAATCAGTTCCAGTCTAATGGTCAAGATGGGCACAACAGTGGTGTCAGACATCTCCTATGTAAAGGAAAATATGCCTCAAGTTATTTCTCTATTTTAAACAAACTAATTTTTTACTGTATAGTTTCTACACTGTCACAATGAGATGGAAATTTTAATATTTTAACAATTTCTGAGCAAAAACTAAAAAAAATTGTTTTTATTTTTATCAAATTTTATGAAACTAGCCTTTTCCTGTAATGGTTTACAAATAAATTTTTATTTATGATACTTATTGAGCCTCCACAGAAAACATCTTCATTTTCTATCTGTACATGACCATTTCTTAAATTTAGCTATACAAAAATATGTTCTCATTATCAATAGAAAATACTCCTGGAATTCAATATGTTACTAAATCAAAACTATAGTTTATCAATCTAAGGTCAAAGCTTGAAACAAAGTGAAAGAGAAAACAATTTGCTTAAAAGACACAAATATTTCAATCTGTTTTAAAAACAAACTAATGTCAATTTGATGGAGCTAAAAAGTGTTAATTAAGTAGTTTTCAAGGTTAGAAAAACACTGTATGGAAGAGATAATTGTCATGATACTATGATGATAAGGGCGTCCAATGAGGCAAACTATAACATACCAAAAGTGAAAACATAGTAATTATTTACTGATTATATACTGATTTCCTTTCAGCTTGTGTTTAGGGTTAAGTTTAAATAAGTTACAGCTAGGATGATGAATAAGTTAAGTACCCTAATGTAAAGACCTAATGTCCCCTAGATAAGATAAAGTAGATTTTATTTATTTCTTTGATCATGCAATATGAAAATATTGTACGTTATTCACTATGTAGAGTTACCTTAATTATTATCGACTAGAAAATCATCCGATTTAGGGTTAGGCTTATAAGTTAGGACTAGGATAATGGCTGGAGTTACATCTAGGTTATTAGTTAAAAGTGGACTGATTTATTAAACAAGTTGTCATTCAATATTAGAGCTTAACAGGCAAGTACCACATTTTTATATTAAAAAATTGTCTGTGTAAAAAAGAATCAACTAATTACAACTCCTCACCCCAGCCAAGTTTGCCTGCACCAAAGTGTTGAGCATGTTCCTTAAGCTGGCCTGTGTAGCCTGCTTCAGGCCATCCAACACTATAGCATCTATGTAGTCAATGTAGTTCCTCCAGGCTGGAGATGCTTGAGAAATCTGGACAACCTCGTAGGATTCACTGACCAAGTTGTGGATCTTGCTGGAGGCAGGGGACACCACACTCTCTAGTTCATCATTCAAGGTTCTAATATAAGAGAAAACAAGTTAATTAAAAAGTCTAGTGACATTTAAGCGCAATTTCCTTATGTTATTTAAAAATAGCTCTGTCGTAGCCTAAATCAAGAGCAGGGTTAGTAAAACCATTGGTTAGTTATTAAAACGTTTTTTATTAATTATTTTTTTCAGTATTTTACATGTTTTATTTACAATAGAGTTACATGACTAAAAACCATTGTGCACTTAGCTACCGAACGTGATGTCGCAGCCATTGAACGTGATGGCGCAGCTATTGAACATGATGACACGTGTGGTGTGGTTGGATAAAAATGCCTACTAATTCGGTCCAAATTTTAATTAATTCAAAAATATTTTTGTGACCAAACGAAAGGATATTTTTGAAAACTTTCTTCGGCAATATTGTTCTAAATTATGGCAGGAATCGATTGGTACATGTTTCAAGTCGCTAAGTGGTCTGGTTGCCGAGATATGGGCCAAAAACTGCATTTTTTCGAGGTTTTTTGGCTTTTTGGGGAAATCCATGAAAGAAACCCGGAATTTTTTTGGCCTATGTTCATCCTCGTAACTTGCTAACATAATTGCTTTTGGAACTAGTCCTCGATATTGCTTCGTTGAGGAGGAGATACGACTTAAAGCTGCTGACACACATACATCCATACATTCATTCATCCATCCATTCCCAGAAATGACGAGTTAATAAACGCAATTCTCCAGAATGGAAATTGCGCTAAAAATGTCAATTGAAATCTGGACAACCTCTTAAGTTGTGGATCTTGCATGAGGCAGGGAACACAACCCTATCAAAGTTCTAATGTGGTCTCATCGACACACAAATAGTTTAAAGTTTCAGTCTTTGTATTAAATAATTCCCATTCAAACAAATGCACAGGAAAAAGTAGAATTTGTGTAGAATGTAAACAGCTATTTAGAGCTCATAGTCTCCAAGGCCCTATAGAGTTCATTGGTTTTCATGAGCTCTCCGGAAGAAAGAATCTGTGGGCAGCATCTTGTCTGGTACCCTAGCCTTAACTTCACTTGATGTAGTCTTGTAAGTATAAAAATAGGTAAACATAGGCACAACGTATGGACTCAAACTAAGGAATCAAACTTTAGACTTTTGGGTTAGGCTATTGCATGCTTTACCACATTATGACACAACCCCATTGAGTTAATTATAATGTTTGCTTATTATGTTTTATTGTTTTGCTGTGTATAAAGATTCCTTTACTTTTAAGTTCAATGCAGGATATGTACTGAAGAAAACTAAAACGAAACATAAATTACAGTTAGCTCTTTACGTTGGTTTTATTGTAAGTATGCATTTATCAGTTTTTTAATTACTTATTTTTTTATCTGCGATGAATGAAAGATGTAAACACAAGACCTGTGCATATCCTGCAGCTCATCCATAGAATAGGACTTGAGGCCATCTCTTGCACTAAACACGTCCAGGGTCCCTTTTGACCAGGACATGGTCATCTCGGCTATGTCGTTACAGTTGGTCTGGATGATGTCCAGGTTCTGGTGGACATCAAGGCACACAAGGGACATGGCCATCTCGATGAAGTCTGCAGATTCTTTCATCTTCCAGGTCTGCTGGTGGAGACCTTGCTCCAAAAGCTGAAAAAAATTATTTTACTGTTAAAGGTTTGGTTAAATTCTATACTCTAGTAGTACCCTAGTATGTCTCTAGCAGAGACCTTGCTCCAAAAGCTGGAAAAAAAAATGTTTATTGCTACAGGTTTTGATAAATTTGATACTCTAGTAGTACCCTAGTAGGTCTATAGCATAAGTCTGGTGGTAGAGACCTTGCTCCAAAAGCTGGAAAAAAAAATTTTTTTATTGCTACAGGTTTTGATAAATTTGATACTCTAGTAGTACCCTTGTAGGTCTCTAGCAGAGACCTTGCTCCAAAAGCTGGAAAAAATTATTTTTCAGGTTACAGGTTTGGTTACATTTGATACTCTAGTAGTACCCTAGTAGGTCTATAGCAGATACCTTGCTCTAAAAGCTGGAAAAAAATATTTTACTGTTACAGGTTTGGTTACATTTGATACTCTAGTAGTACCCTAGTAGGTCTCTAGCAGAGACCTTGCTCCAAAAGCTGAAAAAATTATTTTACTCTTATAGGTTGTATTAAATTAGATACTTTAGTAATACTATAGCAGGTCTACAGCATGCACAGTTTAAACTAATATTTGGCATTATACAAAGCCCATTCTTTTTCATTGATCTTAATGGAAATGTTGAAAACTATTTTCTCCAAAACAATTAAGCATTACATGTCAACATGTTATGCACCATTGACTCCAATTTCAGCCTGCTTTTTCTTCTGGATTTACTTCCGTAGCTTTTGTCCATCCAAGAACAAGGACTGATTTTTTTTCTTTATAAGAGAAAAAGATTTAGTATTTACTTGTCTTCCTTTTCAATAAGCTTTTCAAAATATTTTAATTTTGCTGTGGAGTAATATTTTTTCACTTGGTATCTCCAGCTTTTAACTGAAATAAACCCTAATAGGAACTTGTCAGTTAACCAGATCCAAATAGGCCTACATGTACAGCTTGCATTGTAGGTTTTAAAAACCTTTAAACCTAATCCTAACTTAAAATATAGAAAATTAAAACTATCATATTTCACAAATTAAAAATAGATGTGCCCAACTTCTAAGTATAACTGTTTTGCCTGTAATTGCTTTTTATTCTTTCCTAACAACACACATTTCTTTATTTTTTTTTATATCCAAATGCTTGAAGAGTAGAATACAGAAAGTGATTGAAAAAGAATTAAATAGAAAAAAAAAAGTTTATGAAATTGAAATAAAATAGAATAAACACTGATAAAAGGGTTAGAACAGAATAAAAACAGTTACCTTATCAATCTGATCCAGCTTTCTCTCAAACATGGGCCTCTCAAAGTCTGTGATGGATCTCATGATGGCGTTGTACTTGGACACAATGGTCTCCAGTCTGGCTGCTGTCACACTCAGGTACTGGGCATTGGTGTTTCTCAACAGCTCTTTTGCTGATTCAGGGAGGTGGATACTGTCAAATGATTCAAATATTGTGTTATTTTTTTTACTGCTGGGTACTGGCATTGGTGTTTCTCAGCAGCTCTTTTGCTGATTCAGGGAGGTGGATACTGTCAAATGATTCAAATATTGTGTTATTTTTTACTGCTGGGTACTGGGCATTGGTGTTTCTCAGCAGCTCTTTTGCTGATTCAGGGAGGTGATTACTGTCAAATGATTCAAATATTGTGTTATTTTTTACTGCTGGGTACTGGGCATTGGTGTTTCTCAGCAGCTCTTTTGCTGATTCAGGGAGGTGAATACTGTCAAATGATTCAAATATTGTGTTATTTTTTTACTGCTGGGTACTGGGCATTGGTGTTTCTCAACAGCTCTTTTGCTGATTCAGGGAGGTGGATACTGTCAAATGATTCAAATATTGTGTTATTTTTTACTGCTGGGTACTGGGCATTGGTGTTTCTCAGCAGCTCTTTTGCTGATTCAGGGAGGTGATTACTGTCAAATGATTCAAATATTGTGTTATTTTTTACTGCTGGGTACTGGGCATTGGTGTTTCTCAGCAGCTCTTTTGCTGATTCAGGGAGGTGGATACTGTCAAATGATTCAAATATTGTGTTATTTTTTTACTGCTGGGTACTGGGCATTGGTGTTTCTCAGCAGCTCTTTTGCTGATTCAGGGAGGTGGATACTGTCAAATGATTCAAATATTGTGTTATTTTTTTACTGCTGGGTACTGGGCATTGGTGTTTCTCAACAGCTCTTTTGCTGATTCAGGGAGGTGGATACTGTCAAATTATTCAAATATTGTGTTATTTTTTTTACTGCTGGGTACTGGGCATTGGTGTTTCTCAACAGCTCTTTTGCTGATTCAGGGAGGTGGGATACTGTCAAATTATTCAAATAATATTTTATTTTTTACTGCTGGGTACTGGTATTGGTGTTTTTCAACAGCTCTTTTGCTGACTCAGGGAGGTGGATACTGTCAAATGATTCAAATATTATTTTATTTTTTTACTGCTGGGTACTGGTATTGGTGTTTCTCAACAGCTCTTTTGCTGACTCAGGGAGGTGGATACTGTCAAATGATTTAGAATATTGTGTTATTTTTTACTGCTGGGTACTGGGCATTGGTGTTTCTCAGCAGCTCTTTTGCTGACTCAGGGAGGTGGATACTGTCAAATGATTTAATTATTGTTTTATTTTTTACTGCTGGGTACTGGCATTGGTGTTTCTTGGCAGCTCTTTTGCTGATTCAGGGAGGTGGGATACTGTCAAATGATTCAAATATTGTTTTATTTTTTACTGCTGGGTACTGGTATTGGTCATTCTCTGATTCAGGGAGATGTATACTGTCCAATGATTCAAATATCATTTTGTTTTAACATAGGTACACTTTTTAAAGGAAAGAAATGGTTTGGTATTATTAAGTTCTATTGATAATTTTTGATGAGGTAAATGGCAGTCTTATAATTTAAGAATTATTTTAATATTAAAGTTTAACTAAATAGTTTATAAAACTGCGAAGAAAAGAGCTTCGCTTTTAACTTATTGGATCTTATATTTCAATTTTAAGATGGGTAACTTGGATGTGAATAAAGCTTTTAACTAAATAACATAAATTTGTCAATATTTGCCCATCAAAGCAGTCCTGTGCTTTTTTGAGTAAAGAAAAAATTCTAAAAGTATTTTTAAAAATTAAAGACAGATATCTTTAAAAGATATGTTAATATATAATCAGTCAAATATTGTAACTTTAGAATCCAAAAAGAAATACATCAAAAATGCCATATAAAAACTGAAGGTAATAAAAATGTTCTCACCTGAAAGGTGGCTGGCTAAGGTAGTGTATCTCTTTAAGGACAAGCAGAAGTTTGGGGTCAAGGTTGACATGAATAACTTTAGGACGAATGTCAAAGTCTTCATCATATTCTTCTGCTATCTGTGAGGAAATTGTAGTTTACTTCAGGTTAATGTAGTATTACCATTTGAAACAAAGTCAAGTCCTAAGCTCTAACAGTTAACATTTTCATGAAAATGAAGAAATGTTAATTTGACAAAAACTGTTGGTTAACCTGCACCAATGTTTCCTCTAAGCTGCGCAGTTGCGTGGCCGCGCAGTAGTTTTTAGCTGCCGCGCAGTGATTTTGTAAAATAAATATATATATATAAGGATTTTAGAACAGCGCACACAGAAAATACATTTTGCACACTAGCTTTTACCCCTTAGAGGGAACATTGACCTGCACTACAGATAAGTCAATTGAAACCAAACCAAACAGATAGTCATATATCATTAACAGACATTATAAATTGAAAAACTTAAAATGCAGAAAAAAGTGTATATTATAGAAAAATAAGTTATATGGTTTTAATAATCAGAACTTTTCAAGAGGAAAAAACTAAACAGATTGTGAGGCATCCGTTTCCCAAACTAACATTTTTAATTGATGGCATAAGAGATGGCAACATCCAAAAGGCAACAGATTTTTTTTATTTGCAAATCACTCAAGTTGGGATGAAGAATGATGATACAAAGTTGTTACAAGGAAATTAGTAGCTGATTGGTTAGGCTACATTACAAAAATTTAAAATACTAGTTCAAAACTGAATTGGTCAATGACCAATAAGGCACGTACCAACAAGGGTTCCTTTAGCTTCTGTCTGAGGTCTGACACTGTTTCAACCTGCCACTTTGAGATCACTCCATTTTCAAATCTAAAAAAATTAAAATGAAGCAAATTGACTGTCTTTTTAAATAGGCTACTAATCATGAATTATATTTTATTTAGCACTACGTATAATTGTACCATGAATTGTATGTTCAATTAATGTTAAAACTAGAAAAGAACATTAAAAAATGTTGACTAACTTGTCTAAATCCTTGATGATATTATTGTATAAGTTTCTCATGTGCCATCCAGCATCTCCTTCTAGTGAGTGGGGGCTGACATGTTTCATTTTGTCCATGGGATTCTAAAATAGATTGTAAAGAAGATTTTCAGAGACAGTAGAACTTTATATACACATGTTTCATTTTGTCCATGGGGTTCTAAAATAGATTGTATAGAAGATTTTCAGAGACAGTAGAACTTTATATACACATGTTTCATTTTGTCCATGGGGTTCTAAAATAGATTGTAAAGAAGATTTTCAGAGACAGTAGAACTTTATATACACATGTTTCATTTTGTCCATGGGGTTCTAAAATAGATTATAAAGAAGATTTTTAGAGACAGTAGAACTTTATATGTTTTATTTTGTCCATGGGGGTTCTTATTTCAATAATAAAATTTATTTTGTCAGAAACAGTAGAACTTTATATAATGAGCTAACATGTTTCATTTTTGTCCACAGGGCATTTACATAGAGGATAAAACAGATTTTGTTAGAAACATGTGAACTTTACCTACAGATTTTTCATTTAGTCTATAGGGATTTAAATAGACTATAAAATAGATTTAGTTAGAAATAGTAGAACTATATGTATAATTTTTTTCAATTTGTACATCAGATTCTTATTTCAAGTATACAGTAAAATTTGTAGAAACAGTAGAAGCCAATGTATAGGGAATACTACAGTAAGTATAACATGGAAATGGTAGAGATAGGGTGATTTTTATTTCTAGGGGATGGTACTGAGTTTTTGTTAGCATCAGTAGTGTATAATGCAAAACAAACTCTACTTCATCGTCCTCATTACAATCATGTTTCTAGCCAGTAGCTTACTCTACTTTTAAAAATGATGAATTAAAAAAAATTAAGACTAATTTTTAGAAAAAAACAAAATGTGAACATACAGATATCCTCTCCTTGAGTGCCCTGGCCCACATCAGCTTGGAGACAGTGTGAGGCATGTTGTGGTGGGATGGAGGGGAGATGTAGGACTCATCGAAGATGTGTTTGACCTGCTCCAGCTCCACTGTGAAGTTGTGGACCAGAGTCTTGTCAATGTCTTTCAGGTGTTGCTAGAATCAGAATATTGGCCAAGTTTTAACTTGAACGCAGCATATGGGGCTAAGGTTTAAACTAAATACAGCATATGGGGTTAAGTTTAAATGAACAAAGGATATGGGGCTGTTTTAAATGAAATAAAATATATTGGTGAATAACATCAGTGTTTCTTTCAGATATTTTTTGAGGGGAGTGGGGAAGTAAGATGGAACTTAAATTTCAGTGGGGGAAGGGACAACAGAAATGCTATCTTTATCATCTGTATTCTATTTTACTTTTTTACAATTACTTTATAAAGAACTAAATTAAAATATGTTTATTCTACGAACTATTCAACAAAAAACGATGTCATTATTTTTTTTTCAAAATCTTTACAAAATTTAGAAACTACATTATATAAACTCGTGGAAGAATTCAGTACTGAGCTACTTGGCACACAACATACCTGTACAAGTTCTCTGCCACTGATCCCTTCAAACACTTCTAGAAGTCTCAATTGAGCCTCCACCAGAGGGCACTGATCAAATGCCAGGCGTAGGATGCCAGACAGGCTCTTCTCTAGTTCCTATTCCACCAAACAAGACAGAATACACTAGAGCATTTCAAAATTAACATGTATTTAATATGTCTAAAGACTTTTGCATAGAGTTATTCTTCAATAATGTTTTTGAAAACTTAATTTTTTTATTAAAACAATTCAAAGGATTTATTAAAAAGCTTACTAGTTTTGACTAAACTCACTAAGTGTTGATATACATAAAAACATAAATTAAATGAAAGCTTTCAATAATAAATTTTGAAACTGTCTTAAGACTTTTTTGTAGAATTATTCTTGAAAACTATGTTTTTGGAACATTAAAATTTTAAAAAAATATTTATAAATTTATCTAAGGTCTTCATAATTTTGACAAAACTTTGTATTGATAACGGCCTACATAAAACCAAAATTATCCTGAAAGCTTTTTTCAAAATAATAACTTTTGAAATTAAATGTAGTGGAAGATTTCCTGACCTTGACAGTGGTTCTAAAATTGAAGAAAGCCTTCTCAAACTGCTGGCTGCCATCAATACATAAAACATTCTGCACCTGAGAGAAGAACTCATTCATGGCGTGGGAGTACTTATTGTGCAGCTCCTTGACCATGGCGTCCAAACTTGGGCTGCCAGCGCCACCTATTTCAGCCGCTCCGGCCAGCAGGCGAAAGTGGCGAGTTGTCTCCACAAGTTCAAGGACGTCATTGCATCTGGTTGTGGAAAGTTTATTATAGTTGTTAAAATATTTTTTTATTACTTTGTAGCTTATATTTGTTATAAATTCTATTCTATTACTCATTGTTATTCTCATTGTTACTCATTGTTATTCTAATTTAATTTAATTATAGGGAAAATTATCCTAATTTTTAAAAATTTTATTTAAAAATTTTATTTGAGATCAATTACCACATTAAACCTAGCAAATTAGTAAACCACTGCCGCACAGACCTTCATCAGTGACAAATAAATTTCTCTTACAGTAATTCTAACTTTTTAAATGAATTTATCAAATTAAAGAGAAGATGGGTTAGAAACCTTTCCATGAAGTTATTGAGCAGGTCAAAACAAGGGGCATTCCTGGCAGGCCAGGGGCTGTCCATCCACAGTTCCTCCTCATCTGCCGAGTCTGTGTTGTTGCCGCCATCAACTTGACGGAGTCCATACCTTGGTGTGTAGGCATGGGGGCCGTACAGTTTGGTTTTAAACAGGTTCCCTCTAGGTCTAGCAGCACTGTAGGAACATTAGAAATAAATAAATTTAGAGCTTACAGAGGAATAAAAGAAAAAAAATTTGCATGTAATGTCTATTTATAACTGTACTGTATCTACATAAAGAAATAAAGGTAGTACACAATGATGAGACAAAAATTCACGGTTTTAAAATCTTTGACAAAAATACAGTAGGTTTTTCTGACTAGCTTACAGTTTTTCAGCATTTTCTGCAATGTTTTTGGCATTCTGATCATCTGCCTTCTCTTTGAAATCCAAGTAAGTTCCCCTAAAAGAAGCACACACTCTCAATGCCTCCTTCAATTTGGCATATGACTGTTGATAAACATTATTTTTACTCAATATGTAAACCTAAAACGTTTTTTTATTTTCTATTCAATACATGTATTCTGTACATAGTGCCCACTTTGAGAGTAAAGTGGTGTTTTAGAGGTATAATATCTGTTGTTTAACAAAAGATTGGCCAAACTAAAAGCTACCAGGATGATAACTACATTTATGTGATGGATGATTGGGGCCGCGTGGTTGAATGGTAGAGCATTTGGCAACTACACTGAAGGTCTTGAATTTGGATCTCGGTTAGGGCTTGTGACTGCAGGACTTCTCTGAATCCACCAGCTTTGATGGGTACCCAACTAATGTTGGAGAAAGTAAAAGGTGGCTGGGCATAGTGCTGACCACACAATCAAGAAACATGAACTCTGATTCTTCTACCTAATGGATCACTGGTATAAAGAGGGATATTTACTTTTTTTAAGTGATGGATAAAGATGTAGGAAGGATGAATATATCTCACACAACTCCTAAGCCGATTAAAATTGTTAGAATTTAGTCCCTGTTAGCAATTATTATTGAACAATGTTGGATGGATAGCTCTACTATATTATATAAATGAAATTACATGACTAATTTATCAACTTAAACTCTTTGTTTGAATCAATCTTCATCATTATCATTCCTCTGTGGCCCCTGGGGAGCAAAGGGCTGCAACCACTTTGAATCACTATGAAAACATAATTTTTTTAAAGGTTCTCGCTATATAAAAGTGTGTCCCCCACCTCCAATGGTTCCCTGAGGACATCATCACCAACCATGGCTATGGCTCTGTGGACAATCTCATTGGACAGCAGCCTCAGCAGGTTGTGGAACTTGTCAATTTGGTGGTAATATCTGGCAGGTGGAAACAGGTGAATGTTAAATTGTCACACTTACATCAACAGGACACTTTACAACACCTAAGCTCTTACCTGGGGGTAGTTATACCCAGAAATGTATATATATATATATATATATATATATATATATACATATATATATATATATATATATATATATATATATATATATATATATATATATATATATATATATATATATATATATATATATACTAATCATTGAATAGTCATATATAGTATCTCAGAAAATAAAAATCACAGCCCTGGGAAATTAAGACAACCAATTCCAATAACTAATGTATAATTGAAAAAATAAATTGCAAGTAAACTTTTGTAAAGTTTTATTGGAGGTATATTAAACAAATATTGTGCTTGGTCAAGCATATGAGTACTAATGCAACAGTCTGAAGTTTGGTTCACAAGCACATAAATATAAGATGCTTCACTTAGTTACACAGTAGACAAGATTTAAGTTTTGTAAGGTAAACACAATAAAGCTTGGTGCAGACCATACTATCCATCCATTAAATTCTGAAAATGTACTTTATCCTAAACATCTGGATCCCTAATGTCATGGCCTTATTGGGGACATAAATAGATGCCTCTGAGTGGCATTATCAACAGATTAGCTTGAGAGAATGATCTTTCTTTAACTACAAACAAAGCAGGTAATAAACAAGAGAAACTTACGTGGAATGATTCCAGACCAAGTTCAACACATGCATTAGAGGTTTGAAGAACTTGACAATCACTTTAGGGTTTTCCTCATTGTGTAGTTTTTTGTACCAGGGTTCCAGAGTGCTGAGAAATTTCAGAATTCTATGCACGTCTGCCTGAGCCTGTTGTAAAGAAAATGGTAACTTTTATTGTTATTTTAATCATTGAATAATTGTTAGGTCTCGAGTTTGGATATCGGTTTATACTTGTGACTGTAAGACGTGACTGAGTCTACCCAACTCTGATAAGTACCTGACTCACACCGGGAAAGTAAAGGTGGCTAGGCATTGTGCTGACCACACCAGCCCTTCATATGCCAAGGTCAAGAAACATATTAACTCTACTTCATCTGCCCAATGATTGCTAGGTATAAAGAGGAATCTATTTTATCCCTTGCATTACTATAAAAAATTAGTTTAGACTATGCATAACAGGATGACATGGCTTAGTTAAAGAGAGAGTTAAATTCCTAATTGGAATCTTAAGTTTGGCTAATAAGGGAAAGTATGTTGGAAGTTCCTGTGTTTATTAGGTTCTGATTTATAATGTTAATGGTGTTCATTCATAAGGCCAAAATCACAACAAACAAACTTTGCAGATGAAACTCACACCTTGGTGTCTCAGCTCCCAAGCTTACCTCAGTATCTCAGCTACCAAACTTACCTCAGTATCTCACCTACCAAGATTTACCTTGGTGTCTCAGCTCCCAAGCTTACCTCAGTATCTCACGTACCAAGCTTATTTCAGTATTTCAGCTACCAAAACTTACCTTGGTGTCTCAGCTCCCAAGCTTACCTCATTATCTCAGCTACCAAAACTTAACATTGGTGTCTTAGCTCCCAAGCTTACCTCAGTATCTCAGCTACCAAGCTTACCTCAGTATCTCAGCTACCAAGACTTACCTTTGTGATATCCTTCCTAACACCAGTAAATGAATGAGCGTACTGGCTATCAGCTGCCTCTAAGTTTTCCAGGATATCTTTAGCCACATCTCGGCTACCCAGAATTACCTTTGTGTCTCAGCTACCAAGACTTACCTTTGTGATATCCTTCCTAACGCCAGTAAATGAATGAGCGTACTGGCTATCAGCTGCCTCTAAGTTTTCCAGGATATCTTTAGCCACATCTCAGCTACCAGGACTTACCTTTGTGATATCCTTCCTAACACCAGTAAATGAATGAGCGTACTGGCTATCAGCTGCCTCTAAGTTTTCCAGGATGTCTTTAGCCACATCAGAGTCAAGCTGGTCATCTACTGACTTGAGCTTCTCCAGGTGTCTCTCCCACATGATTATCTCATCCAGTGGACCAGGCTCCTTGCCAAACTGGTGGGACAGGTCAGCTTGGGGGTCATGTCTCAGGACACTCTAATCAGAGAAAAATAATTTTAGTTCAGCTCTTTGGGGGGATGACAAGGTCAAAGGTCAGCAGCGTTTCTATCAGGCATCATGTCTACAACCCCCCCCCTCTCCCACCGACTCAGTAACAGCCGACAGATTTAAAAAGAGCCCTTGCGTTGATACTTACCCTGATTTGCTTGATCCACCCTATGACTGTGGTTTCTAGCACATGAAGCACTGCAGCCCTTCTGGAGGGTGAAGCTGCTGCCTCTGCCAGAACTTCAATGGCTGGGAGGTTCAGAACCACCTGACCCTACAGTCGATAGGAAACTCATAGACTTAAGTGTGACGCAATAAACATTATTTAAACTGCTTTTTAAAATTGTGTTTGGCCTTTTATTAAATTAATTCACATGTATTGGCCTCAATAATAGAAGTGAAAAAACACATCTGCTTTTAAAATTTAGTGAAATTCAATTTTTTATCAATTTTAATTTCTTTAGAATGATCCAGAAAATTTTTTAAACACATCTTAGATCAAGTTTGTTCTAATTCAGTGGTTCTTAATCAGGGTTTTGATAGAGCCCCAGGGATTCAGTGAGTCAGTCTCAGAGGTTCAGCAAAGGTAATGACACACACCTGACTCACAATCAGTTCAATCAGTTATTGTCAGTGTGGAAGAAGGAACTATTAAATAGATTTGGGTGAATGCGCAAATGAAACTAGTGGGGTTCAGTGCCTCCAAAAATGTTAAGAACCACTACTCAAATTAAAGAATTAAGATGTCTACAAAACAATTTTGTTTATTTATAGCTTATTGTTGGCCTAAGTATTTGATCTTTAATGTAAAAGTAACATCCTATAAATTTGTAAAATGACACCATTATATTAGTAAATTAAGTACATTTACAAAACAAAAACGTATTCTAAATACTGGTCAACTTTGGCTAAACTGACCTCCACATGACCCTGTGAGACTTCAACAGTAGCCATTAGCCTGTGTAGAATATCCATGATTTTGTCCCCGTTCCCAGAGGCATTAGCTAAAGTGTGTGTGTTGGTTGTTAGCAGGGGAAGAAACACCTCTCGTATAGTCATCTCTAAATGCTCAAGCGGGGTACTTGTGCAGTCCAAGTAGAAAACTTCATTATCTGTTGTAATAAATGTATTGGTAATAATTAATCATTGTGGTATAACTTTGGAAGGTGAGAGGGGAGGGGGGGTTCAGTCCATAAATTCAATGGTGATATTGATAAGCAATCATAGTGGCATAATGTTGGAAGGTGGGGGTTCAGTCCAGAGTAGTGTTTTTTATTCTAGGGATATGTGAGAATGTGTAAGGTACAGCAGAATTGTTTGCCAGTTATGATGCTAAAGTACTCGTAGTGGTAACCTTTATGCAATAACAAAAATACATAATAGTGTTTCTAACCTAGGGAACATAGACTACTTTGTTATTTCAGAATATCCACATTAAGATTAGACTGTATTACAGAAAACTACATTTAAAAAACTTCCTTAAGAAAAATTAAGAAGAGTAATCTTGACAAAGTAAAATAAACAGGCTGTATATTATGATATATTGACCGTTCAGCCAAACAGCTAAATTTCACTAAAATTCATAATGATTAATTTTAAAACTAAAAGCTAATAAATATATGATTTACTAATTAAAAAAATAGTACTTGAAAACTTTTTATTGTTAAGTATGATACTTAAAATTTTAAATTACCAATATTATCCTTTGTAAGCTTTGTTCCAGGATTGCACTTTAAGAAAAAAATTGCCTTAGTTTTTAGCTCCATAGGTGGCTGCAAGGATGCTACTATCTGTCTTTCAGGGCGCATGTAAACAAACAGCTTTTTCACATCTTCGTTGTTGACAAACTCATAGAAGGCAAGCCTAGTAAACAAACAAGATGAAAAATAAAAACAGAAAGTTATTTGAGTTTAATTCACCTCTAACGTTACATTCATGTTTCGACTTTAAAAAGTAGAATGATATTTCTTCTCTTAGATTTAGGATATGAGCTAGGATAAGGTTACTTCCATGGCTAGGCTTTGTAATCAACCAAAAGATACCTAAAATGTAAGGAAAGTATAAAATATTTTCATTAATATGTCAATTAACCCACAACTAATATCAAAAGCATGTTTTACCTGTTATCATCATTCAGCAACATATTTTTGAGATCTTCATTGCGAGGTCGCAAGGAGGATCCTATTCTGACCTCCAGCCACTTAAGTCTTTCATCTGTTGCCATTTCAATTGATACTTCTGGATGAATGAGCCAATAAAGGAATTATTGAGGAAGCAATCGATCACAGGTTAACAATAGGATTGCATGTCATAATCAAACCTACTATTTAGGCAATATAACTAAGCGTATAGGGGTCGGCGTGGTAGAGTCGGTAAAGCTCATGGTTGCTAAACCGAAAAGTCTCGAGTTCGAACCCTCGGGCAGATGAGGCTCGTTAGCTGGGGACAGCCACTCTTCTAGGAGAGACAACTCCAAAATTAAACAACTGCTGCCTTGTAGTTTGTTCTTGGTTGGACAAAGGCTATGGAAGCAAATCCAAAAAAGAAAAGCAGGCTGAAATCGGAGTCAATGGCCTAAATAGCGCATAACCAGTTGACACGCAACGCTTAATTGTGTAGGAGGCGTGGTCGAGTCGTCAAAAAGCTCATGGTTGATAAATTCGAACAAAGTCTCGAGTTCAAACCCACTGGCAGATAAATCTCGATTCCCTTCAACACTAATAATTAAAAACGAAGAAGAAGAAGACTAAGCTTATAAATAAGCCTATGCCTTTTTTTTTAAGGTTTTTTTTTGCATTCATAGTCATAATCACAATGAAATAACAAGTGAAATATAGAAATATAGAAACAGCTGCCTAGAATTCTAGAATCTTTAATTTTTTTATATAATAATTTAATGTCATACTTCTAAAGACAAAAATGATAATAATGAGTATAGAATGATCATTGAACAGATAAGGATTATTTAAGCCTAATATTAATTTAGAAGTGTAAGTGTTTAGTTTAGGTTCTGTTATAGTTATGGATTATACTATAATCGTTATATGATAGGCCTAATTAGGATAATATAAGTAATACTAATAGTAATTGGGTCTACTCTTATAAATAAATAATAATTAGGCCAAGCTATAGGCCTAGTTATATAGGCCTACTATACAGAGCCGGCGTTAGGAATACGCGGGGCCTAGGGCCAACCATCCGCGCGGGGTCTTTCCATTATATATATATATATATATATATATATATATATATATATATATATATATATATATATGTTACGGTCAAAGCCCGAAGTGCGGCCAAACCCCGGATTGGCCGGCTCTCTTGGCCAAAGCCCGAAGAACTTAGAAGTAAGATCGTATTTCGTACATTGGCCGGCCAATGCGCGCACTGGCCGGGACGTACTGGCCAAAGTCCGAAGTGCTTAAACTTGACAGCGTATTTTGTACATTGGCCTGCCAATGCGCGCATTGGCCGGGATGTCCTGGCCAATGTTCTATCTAGACTAAGTTGTGATCGCGTTTTCATTATTCTGGGTGCGGTTTCATTGTGAGTAACGTATTGTTTAGCTCTTGTTTGTACAGCTCATTCTTGTGGATCCTGTGGCAAAGATGTCCATGCTATTTGTGGAGTATCCAATGAAGATGACGAAGGGTACGGAGGGAACATAACCTGCAGATTGTGTCACAACAAACAAGACATCATGGAACACAGGTCAGCAGCTCATTCTGGCTTGCAAAATCAAGGTGCTAAGATGCTTAAAACATCAAATACAAAATTAAAAGATGGTGAAGTGGTTGACAATGTACGCATCCGTGTCCCAGATGTTGACAGAGGTCGCGGTGATCCCCGAAGCGTGATTGCAGTTGTCATGAGCGTTGAGGGCGGTTTCTACAAATTAGGAACGGAACATGGTGTTCTAAAACAACTGTATGCTAGAAGTGAGTTTTCAATTCTTCACGAAAAACTGCTCTTATTGTCGTCAGTTGGCACTGAGGAAAAATCACTATGAACCATCGCATCTTCAAAATCATTGACTGGGGGCCAAGGCTACACCCGCTGCAATTGCACAACCAAGTGCACAACAAATCGCTGCAAGTGGAAAACAACAAGCTGCTATGTAATTCTAAATGCCATAAAAGTTCAACTTGTTGTAACAAATGATAATATTGATTGATTGAGACTATAGTACAATAAAAAATTTGAATGTTTCTGTCATTTACTTTAATTAATAATCAATAAAAACTTAATTTCATGATCCTTACGGCATTAAAAAACCCAAAATCTGCTCATGATTTTCTAATTCGGACTTTGGCCGGTCGTCCCTAGCCAGATGATCTTCTAATTAAGACTTTGGCCGGTCCACCATGGCCAGTCCGCGGACTGGCCGGCCAAAGCCCGAAATCAAGCAAAGTTTCGGACTTTGACCGACCTATGGGAGGCGATATTGGCCGACTTCGGGCTTTGACCGTAACATATATATATATATATATATATATATATATAAAGGCCTATGTAATGTGATGTACACATATTAACACACATGTTTTGGAGTTTATAAGCTAATGTCAAACTTTCCATTATAATAACAGATTTTTATCTCTCCCATGTATTAACCCAATGTTCGTAGTTTTTTTTTCCTTTGCTAAAATATTAAATCACTTTTAACATTTATGTAATTCATACCAAATCACTTAAGAAAATTTAATCACGTGCCGAATAATTAATAAAAATAAAGTTTACAATACAGCGAACTCGGCCTGATGTATCAAAACAGTATAGACTTCAAAATTTTGTTTAGAATTCATACAATATTTTAAAACCAAAATCATTGTCTTAATTATTGAACGGGTGAATCCTTAAGGTGACACAACATAACAACAGTTTTAACTTTCTTCAAAATAATAATAAATCACTCTGTTTAATTGCCGCCTGATATAGATCCTAAGGGCCTTCCCCCACCCCCCCCCCCTCGTCACCCTCCTCCCACCCCTCTGCAAGCAACTGAATGTTAATTTTAATTTTGTTATACCAAGACAAGTAGGCCTACATATAGAGTTTCTTCCAGGCATCTCTTCTGGGGGGGGGGGGGGGGGGGGGGGGGGGGGGGGGGGGTCAAGACCCCCCCCCCGAAAACGAAATGAAATTTATATGATTTATAGAGAAAATATATATTTTAACAGTGTCGTCCCCCCCCCCCCCCCCGAAGAAAGTCTACCGCCCCCCCCCCCCCCGAAAATTTCAAGTGCCCCTCCCCCCGGAGAAAAAAGTCTGGAAGAAACACTGTACATATACGACATTATACAACATCTACAACAAGAAAGTCAGGACTAGAGTTCATCAGGTCACTAAATGTCTACTATAGACATCCCGTCTGCTCACTAAAAGGACGTCTTCATCGGTCCGCATACAATAGGGTATCTCTTTACGTCGTGGGCTAATTCTCGACGCCATCTCCTGTCAGCTCAGGTCAAATGCCAGGCGACCGTACCCTACACAAAGGGTAGGTGTGACACTATTTTTTGTATCGAATTACGGCCTGTCCCAGTTCAGGTGGGACTCACCAACATCAACGTGGTCTCAGTTATAACAATCAACAACGTCGGCA